CACAGAGCGTGTTGGTAAGGACGACTTACCTTTTGGCGTGAGGTGAGAACGACTTACCATAGTGCACAGAGCGTGTTGGTAAGGACGACTTACCTTTGGGCGTGAGATGAGAACGACTTACCATAGTGCACAGAGCGTGATGATAAGGACGACTTACCTTAGGGCGTGAGATGAGAACGACTTACCATAGTGCACAGAGCGTGATGATAAGGACGACTTACCTTAGGGCGTGAGATGAGAACGACTTACCATAGTGCACAGAGTGTGGTGATAAGGACGACTTACCTTAGGGCGTGAGATGAGAACGACTTACCATAGTGCACAGAGCGTGGTGATAAGGACGACTTACCTTTGGGCGTGAGATGAGAACGACTTACCATAGTGCACAGAGCGTGGTGATAAGGACGACTACCTTATGGCGTGAGATGAGAACGACTTACCATAGTGCACAGAGCGTGTGGTAAGGACGACTTACCTTTGGGCGTGAGATGAGAACGACTTACCATAGTGCACAGAGCGTGATGGTAAGGACGACTTACCTTTGGGCGTGAGATGAGAACGACTTACCATAGTGCACAGAGCGTGATGGTAAGGACGACTTACCTTTGGGCGTGAGATGAGAACGACTTACCATAGTGCACAGAGCGTGATGGTAAGGACGACTTACCTTTGGGCGTGAGATGAGAACGACTTACCATAGTGCACAGAGCGTGATGGTAAGGACGACTTACCTAAGGGCGTGAGATGAGAACGACTTACCATAGTGCACAGAGCGTGATGGTAAGGACGACTTACTGCCTTTGGGCGTGAGATGAGAACAGTGCACAGAGCGTGATGGTAAGGACGACTTACCTTTGGGCGTGAGATGAGAACGACTTACCATAGTGCACAGAGCGTGATGGTAAAGACGACTTACTTACCGACTTACCATAGTGCACAGAGCGTGATGGTAAGGACGACTGGGCGTGAGATGAGAACGACTTACCATACCATAGTGCACAGAGCGTGCGTGAGATGGTAAGGACGACTTACCTTTGGGCGTGAGATGAGAACGACGTGATGGTAAGGACCATAGTACACAGAGCGTGATGGTAAGGACGACTTACCTGAGGGCGTGAGATGAGAACGACTTACCATAGTGCACAGAGCGTGATGGTAAGGACGACTTACCTTATACGAGGTGAGATGAGAACGACTTACCATAGTGCACAGAGCGTGATGGTAAGGACGACTTACCTTTGGGCTTGAGATGAGAACGACTTACCATAGTGCACAGAGCGTGATGGTAAAGACGACTTACCTTTGGGCGTGAGATGAGAACGACATACCATAGTGCACAGAACGTGTTTGTAAGGACGACTTACCTTTGGGCGTGAGGTGAGAATGACTTACCATAGTTCACAGGGCGTGCTGGTAAGGACAACTAACCTTAGGGTGTGAGAACGACATACCATAGTGCACAGAGCGCGTTGGTAAGGACAACTTACCTTAGGGCGAGAGGTGAGAACGACTTACTATTGTGCACAGAGCGTGTTGGTAAGGACGACTTACCTAAGGGCGTGAGAACGAATGACGATCGCAGAGAGCGTGGGGTAATGGGAAATTGCCATGGTGAGGCCGATTTGCTAACGGACATAGAGCTTTTGGTGAGGCTGACTTACTGTATAGGGTGAAATAAGGCTAACATAACATGCTGCATTGGCAGAGGCCAACTTACTGTATAAGCGTGGGGGTTGTAGGCGACTTACGGAGAAGCATAGAGTGGAGGCTTGCAGGCAGTGTTTGTTCGTCGCCAAACAATCTACAAGCTGGTTTGTGTTGTCCATTGTTTTGTTGCTTTAATTGATAGTAGTGTTTTGAGAGCTGCCCTTGGGTTATTGACAGTTTCATTAGGGGGATTAAGTCATTTGCAATACCCCTATGGGCTCTACCACGCACATCACACGAGCAAGGGTTACCTCCCCTGGGGGCCGCCTCAACACATGTTAGTGTTACTTAGAGAAGCGGAGCGGAAGATATGACGAGTTTCAATATTTTCATAATAAAATATTTTCCCTGAAATACCGGATTAATAATCTGACAGCCGTAGAAATTCCATTTATTCCTATTGGTGTTAACGATAATTTGAGTATTCATCTGGTTGGCGCTTCTGTCGGCTGTCATGTAGAGATACTTTCGGGAAGCGGAAGATGGAATGGGGAATTGGCGTGATAACGTCCCACGCTGCCAGCAACAATGTCAGTCAATATTAGCATATGTTCTGAAACAGAGCAGCCATAAGGTCTAACAACAGCAGTGCATGATATTAGTTTTATTTCCCATGTATGTAGTTTTATTCTACTCTTGGACCTCGACATTTTACGATAATTAGACAATTTGGACTTTATGAGTGTATATATATGTAGCACTAACTGCATACATAACTCTGATGTATATATATATATATATATATATATATATTGCGCTCACTGCGCAGATAACTTAGATTTATCTAATGCGCTCAGACTGTTTACTGTACATTTGTGAAGCAGTTTATAGGTTGAAAAACGATGCGAGATGGCTTGCAATGTGCATTTTCCTTTATGTTGCGTTTTCATTCGTGAAAAAGGATACAACATAATAAAAAAGCATAACTTATCAATCAATTTACCATTTTAATGTTTTAAATAATTCAAATGATTTTCACTACTGCGAGAGATAACTTCATTGAGTGATCAAATGAGTTTGGTTAAGACCGAATTCAACAGTATATGATTCTTTTCAAAACGTGTTAGCATAATGTGAGAAGAAAAAGTAATAGAGTTCTTAATGCTTTGTGAAACCCATGTGTATAGAAATAACAAACCAAGAAATGTACTCAGGGCGAACCGGGATTCGACCAGATTGTCGCAGGTTTCTGAGTGAGTGAGTTTAGTTTTACGCCGCACTCAGCAGTATTCCAGCTATATGGAGGCGGTCTGTAAAGAATCGAGTCTGGACCAGACAATCCAGTGATCAACAGCATGAGCAACGATCTGCGCAGTTGGGAACCGATGACATGTGTCAACCAAATCAGCGAGCCTGACCACCCGATCCCGTTAGTCGCCTCTTACGACAAGCATGGGTTACTGAAGATCAATATTCTAACCCCGATCTTCACGGGTCTGTAGGTTTCTGAGTGAGTAAGTGAGTTTAGGTCTACGCCGCTTTTAGCAACATTCCAGCAACATCACGGCAGGGGACACCAGAAAATGGGCTTCACACATTGTACCCATGTGGGAAATCCAACCTAGGTCAACGGCGTGACGAGTGAACGCTTTAACCACTAGGCTACCCCGCCGCCCCCGTAGGTTTCTGATACACCTAAGGGACGAAACCCCGTCCAGAAAACTTAACACGACTAACAATTTTACTCCGATTTACACAGATGCTTCCAAGGATCCCAGAACTGGACATGTTGGTGGAGCTTTTTATATTCCCGATCTAGGTTTATCCGAAAGATTTAGATTGAATGATCATCTGTCTGTATTTGCACAGAACTGACAGCTATACTTAAAGCTTTAAAATGGGTAAAAGATAATGAACACGAAGCAATATTTTTTCTGATTCGTTGTCAGCTGTACAAGCAATTCAATCAGGTGCACAAGGCCCCCGCAGTGACATACTATATGACATCTTATATCTTGATACTGTTATAAACTCCATGTACATCAGCTGTGATATTGTTTGGATTCCTGCATATGTTGGTTTAGCTGGAACCAAAGAAGTTGACAAACTTGCTAAGATGGCTTGCAACGCTCAGCAGCCAAATATTGAATCTATTAAGCCAATTCCAAGAGATTACTTCTTTGCCATTTCTTCTTCAATAAATGCATCTTGGCAAAATAAATGGGATATTGACACTACTTGTAGACACATGTACTCTACATGTCCAGTAGTAAACAAACATTTTAAAATTCGTCGGCGTTGTCACAGAGATGAAGTTGTTTTAACTCGCCTCAGGCTAGGACATTGTGGATTGAAGGCATATAAAAGTATTTTAGATAAAGACCTATCTCCTCTATGTGAATGTTGTAACTTACACTGACCAGAAACAGTTCAGCACAAAGAAATTGTACTTAACAAAACCAAAAACATTTTCACAATGAACACAATACTTGGCGATAATTTAGTGTATGGTTGCATACAAAGAGCTGTGTTAGGCTTCCTCGTTAAAACTGGGAAGTATGACATAATTTAACTGAACATAAATATAACAGTTTGTTAAGTGTTGGGCGCATATAGGCCTTTTGAGACCCAGGGTCGACCTAAAAACTGACCTACCTACCTTAACACGACTGGATCAACTATTGGAGTAGGTCCAGGAACTATGTAAAAGAAACCAGGATAGAACGCACATAGACTGTCAGTAAAGGATAGCAAATCTGAACAGCAATTATTGTCACAAGGTCGTACAAACACTTCTGTGTATTTATTCCGAGATATTGGCTTGAACGATATGACACACTCCTACACTGCAGACCATATGTTAGCACTGAGTTGACACGTGCGAAAAGGATCTGGTTCTTGTCAATGTCTGTGGCTGGGGACGTCACAAGCATTGCACAATTATATAGTAGGCAGCTGACAATCCAGTTGTAATGATGACAAACGGACAATACAGCGAGTGACCGCAAGGGGATACGTGACATCTAAACATGTACAAACGGGTGAGGTGTATTTTCATCTCGTCGGCTTTTCCGACCAGCACTGTCGTGCTATGGATCTACGCTGACATGGAACCCTGCAAAGGCACACTGGTTATATGAAGGCTAAGACTGACAAAAGAAACTTTACTACCAGAAAATAAAACTACAACAAAGCAATATGACAAATTCAAACTAAATCAAACCAAAACCAATAGTCCAAACACAAAGGACTCTATGTAGAAGGTAGTACACGTCATCAGTACCTCTTGGATCTTTGTTTCCCTTTGGTGTTGACGTTTTGTCTTTTGTTGTTGTATTTGTAGCTGTTGTTGATGTTGCCGTTGTTGTTGTAGCTGTTGATGTGTGGATTCCTTTAAGGAAACGCGAAAATGTCAAAAACACGTGCCGCTAGGGGCTTATGCAGAGTTGGATACAACTTTTTGAGAAAGGGGCGGGGGTGCACTCTTTTGAGGAAGGAGGGGTGCACACTTAATTTTACGCGAGTTTCAATGATCATTTGGTAATCTTTCAGGACAAAGGATCCGCCAATGCTATGAATTAGAAGGACGGCATGTGAGATACGTACTGTGATAAAAACGACACCACTGAAATTCCACGACTGACACCCAGACAATTTCTAGAAGTTTTGGCTGCTCCCGTGTTGCTGTGAACAGCGCTACAAAGAGGCCGGGTTGACACCAGACAGGCCACGATCAGACACACCCAACGAACACCCTCACCTGCGTACTTATCGTATCCGGAATCGATTCCTGACAGTGACGTCTTCAGCGACGAATGCCTTGAGGCATACATTCAATCGACAGAACATGTCAGGCAACTCGGTGTTCATAGAATTAGGCGTTTACAGACCTTACAGGGGAGGTTTATCGACAGCAGAGCATAGTCTTCAGAGATTGAGAGTTCAAGAACTGTACGTCGTTGGCAGCGACGTGACTGGCAGAGGATCGTATTCACCACCGAAGGGGAAAACGAACGGCGACATGTTACGTTCAGGTGGTCGTGCCATATGTTTGCTATATAACAAGCATCTGTACTCAACCATCTTTACTCTATAACAAGCATTTATACTCAACCATGTTTGCCCTATAACATGCGTCTATACTCACTCCTGTACGACATCATGCATCTGTACTCAACCATGTATGCTGTACAACATGCATCTATACTCAACCATGTATGCTGTACAACATGCATCTATACTCAACCATGCATGCTGTACAACATGCATCTATACTCAACCATGTATGCTGTACAACATGCATCTATACTCAACCATGTATGCTGTACAACATGCATCTATACTCAACCATGTATGCTGTACAACATGCATCTATACTCAACCATGCATGCTGTACAACATGCATCTATACTCAAACATGTATGCTGTAAAACATGCATCTATACTCAACCATGTTTGCTCTACAACTTGTGTCTTTACTCAACCATGTTTTCTGTACAAAATGCATCTATACTAAACCATGTATGCTGTACAACATGCATCTTTACTCAACCATGTTTTCTGTACAACATGCATCTATACTCAACCATGTTTGCTGTACAACATGTGTCTTTACTCAACCATGTTTTCTGTACAATATGCATCTATACTCAACCATGTTTGCTGTACAACATGCATCTATACTCAACCACGTATGCTGTACAACATGCATCTATACTCAACCACGTATGCTGTACAACATGCATCTATACTCAACCACGTATGCTGTACAACATGCATCTATACTGAACCACGTATGCTGTACAACATGCATCTATACTCAACCATGTATGCTGTAGAACATGCATCTATACTCAACCATGTTTGCTGTACAACATGCATCTATACTCAACCATGTACGATGTACAACATGCATCTATACTCAACCATGTACGATGTACAACATGCATCTATACTCAACCATGTACGATGTACAACATGCATCTATACTCAACCATGTACGATGTACAACATGCATCTATACTCAACCATGTACAACCATGTACAACATGCATCTATACTCAACCATGTATGCTGTACAACATGCATCTATACTCAACCATGTATGCTGTACAACATGCATCTATACTCAACCATGTTTTCTGTACAACATGCATCTATACTCAACCATGTTTGCTGTACAACATGCATCTATACTCAACCATGTATGTTGTACAACATACATCTATGCTCAAACATGTTTGATCATAACGGAGTACATGGAGTGAATTAGGGTGAGTGAGTGTGGTTTTACGCTGCTTTTAGCAATCTTCCAGCAATACCACGGCGGGGGACACCCGAAATTGGCTTCACACATTGTACCCGGGCCTTCGGCGTGACGAAAGAACGCTTTAACCACTAGGCTACCCCACCGCTCCTCAGTGAATTAGAAGGCGAAACACTTTGCATGTAGCACGAACGAATCATTCCTGCCGAATATATTTTTCTACTTATTTACACCGTCATTTTTTCTCCTTTTTCGTTTTTCTATTTGTTGTTGTTTTCATGTTATATGCCATAAATAATCGCGTCGGGCAGACATCCCAGTGAGTGACATCATGAGCATCGATCGATGCACTTTGGATACGATGACATACATCAACTACCCGATACCTTCAGTACCCTATTACGACAAGAACAGATTGTTGAAGATCAGTTTTAACCCTGACCTTTATAGGGTTTATTTAGCTAAATGTAGAAAACAGTACAAACGTTTGTAAATATCGGCTGTATAGTACACGTTGAAATATACAGTATATCATAATTCCCACAGCAGTGGCAGAAGATGTACAACCCCTCAATTAAGAGACTACAGTAACAACGGTAACTGAAAGTTTAATCGACATAAAACAATAAAAAAAAAAAAAAAGACAACATTCACATCATGATATTTATCTGAAATGCATGATTTCATATGTGATATCAAATGTTATGATCACTATGATTGAATGTTATTAAACCAAAAAAGTAATCTTTCAGTGTAACACCTTGTCAAAACCTTTTTAACGAAGAAACGGTAATAAGTTGTGCAACAGCTGAAACGCTCAGTAAAACAATAACGACAATGGGCAAAATGCACCCGAGCCAGACTGGAAAATGACAAGTGCCTTGTCAAAGGTTATATAAGTTTTCCAATAAAGTTGCTTGCTCACGTTCTACTTTAATGGTTCCTTTTGCCGTGAGTGATGGACGATGACAACATGTGTGATATAACTCTATAAGTTCGGCGTGTCTATATGGTGAAGTGATCGAAGTCGGCTTTGCTAAAGAAGACCTGCACGTGTGCATATCGATAACATATCGATGTATTGATTCGTGGTCTATACACCGTGTGCCAGACATGTATAACATGGGCGTGCAAGAAGGTGTGGATTTGTATGTGTTCTGTCAAGCCTGTATAATTACAGTCTACTCTAGCCTTCTGAAACAATGCTGGAGTCTGTAATAAACTGACGGGCCTGAATGTTTAAGGCAGAGGGACGATATGTGTGTCAATGTGCGTGGTATCTAGCCTTCTGAAACAATGCTAGAGTCTGTAACAAACTGACGGGCCTGAATGTATAAGGCAGAGGGACGATATGTGTGTCAATGCGCGTGGTATCTAGCCTTCTGAAACAATGCTAGAGTCTGGTAACAAACTGACGGGCCTGAAATGTATAAGGCAGAGGGACGATATGTGTGTCAATGCCGTGGTATCGTGGTATCTAGCCTTCTGAAACAATGCTAGAGTCGGTAACAAACTGACGGGCCTGAATGTATAAGGCAGAGGGACGATATGTGTGTCAATGTGCGTGGTATCTAGCCTTCTGAAACAATGCTAGAGTCTGTAACAAACTGACGGGCCTGAATGTATAAGGCAGAGGACGATATGTGTGTGTGTCATGTGCGTGGTATCTAGCCTTCTGAAACAATGCTAGAGTCGGTAACAAACTGACGGGCCTGAATGTATAAGGCAGAGGGACGATATGTGTGTCAATGCTAGCGTGGTATCTAGCCTTCTGAAACAATGCTAGAGTCTGTAACAAACTGACGGGCCTGAATGTATAAGGCAGAGGGACGATATGTGTGTCAATGTGCGTGGTATCTAGCCTTCTGAAACAATGCTAGAGTCGGTAACAAACTGACGGGCCTGAATGTATAAGGCAGAGGGACGATATGTGTGTCAATGTGCGTGGTATCTAGCCTTCTGAAACAATGCTAGAGTCGGTAACAAACTGACGGGCCTGAATGTATAAGGCAGAGGGACGATATGTGTGTCAATGTGCGTGGTATCTAGCCTTCTGAAACAATGCTAGAGTCGGTAACAAACTGACGGGCCTGAATGTATAAGGCAGAGGGACGATATGTGTGTCAATGTGCGTGGTATCTAGCCTTCTGAAACAATGCTAGAGTCGGTAACAAACTGACGGGCCTGAATGTATAAGGCAGAGGGACGATATGTGTGTCAATGTGCGTGGTATCTAGCCTTCTGAAACAATGCTAGAGTCGGTAACAAACTGAATGTATAAGGCGGGACGATATGTGTCCTGGTATCTAGCCTGTATAAGGCCTGAGAGGCAGACGATATGTGTCAATGTGCGTGGTATCTAGCCTTCTGAAACAATGCTAGAGTCGGTAACAAACTGACGGGCCTGAATGTATAAGGCAGAGGGACGATATGTGTGTCAATGTGCGTGGTATCTAGCCTTCTGAAACAATGCTAGAGTCGGTAACAAACTGACGGGCCTGAATGTATAAGGCAGAGGGACGATATGTGTGTCAATGTGCGTGGTATCTAGCCTTCTGAAACAATGCTAGAGTCTGTAACAAACTGACGGGCCTGAATGTATAAGGCAGAGGGACGATATGTATATCTAGCCTTCTGCAGAGGGACGATATGTGTGTCAATGTGCGTGGTATCTAGCCTTCTGAAACAATGCTAGAGTCGGTAACAAACTGACGGGTCTGAATGTATAAGGCAGAGGGACGATATGTGTGTCAATGTGCGTGGTATCTAGCCTTCTGAAACAATGCTGGAGTCAGGCAGGGGCGCTGGGGTAGCCTAGTGGTTAAACAGTTCGCTCGTTACGCCGAAGACCCAGTGGTTAAACACCCGGGTTCGATTCCCCACATGGGTACAATGAGTGAAGCCCATATATGGTGTCCCTCGTCGGGATATTGCTGGAATATTGCTAAAACTATACTCACTCGCTCACTCACTCTGGAACAATGCTAGGGATTAAACCGGAAGGCCTCAATGTTTAAGGTTTACGACAGTGTGTGTGTGTGTGTGTGTGTGTGTGTGTGTGTGTGTGTGTGTGTGTGTGTGTGTGTGTGTGTGTGTGTGTGTGTGTGTTGTGTTCGTGTGTGTTCGTGTGTGTGTTCGTGTGTGTGTGGTATCTAGCCTTCTTAAACAATGCTAGAATCTGTACTTAACAGTTACTGAAAGGCCTAAATGTTTAAGCCTTACGACAGCGGGACGATGTGTGTGTATGTGCGTGTTTGTTTGCTTGTGTGTTTGCGTGCGTGGAGACAGACAGACAGGCAGCTACAAACATGGCAGTCATTTATAGGCTAGCGCTTTCAAATAGTGCAACCTATCCAAAATGTAAGCCAATGTACCAACAGTGCAGTATGGTCCGGTTGCGCCAGCATACTCTCTACCGTTCTCAGCCAGACTGTGACCCTTCCAGTCCACACCAGACATCGCGCCCCTTCTGAGTGAGTGAGTGAGTTTGGTTTTACGCCGCTTTTAGCAATATTCCAGCAATATCACGGCGGGGGGACACCAGAAATGGGCTTAACACGCGCCCCTTCTGAGATGAAGACCGGTTCTTATGTCTCTGCGCATCCCATCCCAAGTCATGATACCCTCAATCGAAGACCGTGAATGTCACCCATATTGGTAGAATACACTGGTACGGTCTGTCTCTGTTGCCGTTTCAGGACAATGTCAAATATCGAGTATACTGGTAGTACAAGAGGCCAAAGAGTCGCATTTGACGGCAGCACTACAGAAAACAGTCTTCCACCACGACACGATTTGTATGTATAGAAATATGATTTCGGTAAACAAATGCACCTAACTGAGATTACTTTTGCAATTAACTAAGTTTTATTCAATATCACGTTAGCCGAGGAGTTGAGCGGAGTCTTGACAGCCATTTGGGGAAACGCAGACACGTTAACATCAATGCAGGATTCAACGTCCTGGGAGCCGCTCTAACTCATCTCACGTGGGCAGTGGACAACCCAGACCATGGATTCTACTGGCTACATCTGGAGTTAATCATCTGAAACATGTTGTGCTGCTTTGATCCACCAAATCAATTACCATGCTGTTGTATATTCATATAAAATATGTATATTTTTATGAAATTCAACATTGCACTGTTTAAAAAACTAAATATATTAAAGCGTTATTGAGATTATCAATATGGATGCACATATCAATGTACGTCCATACATGCTCTTACTGGTCCTGACCTCTCAAGTTTAGTCTTGCGTTGTACCTAGTCACCGAATTATCAGATTCACTCAAATGTATCGGTACTGGGTCACCGACTTATAAGATTCACTCAAATGTATTCAGTACAGGGTCACCGAATTTTTTTTTATTCACTCAACCAGGATACGATTTTCCCCTGTTTTCCATCGATGTCCCGGGACGCGACCGTATCCTTTCAAAACTGACCCTGGGCGGTGGGGTAGCCTGGTGGTTAAAGCGGTCGCTCGTCATGCCGAAGGCCCGGGTTCGATTCCGCACATGGGTACAATGTGTGAAGCCCCTGTCTGGTGTCTCCGTCGTGATGTTGCTGGAATATTGCTAAAAGCGGCGTAAACCCAGACCCAAACATGTGATGAAAGCAATGGTTACAGTTCCAATATGTTGGTCATGCTACAACGAATGCATTCTGGACACACGCACAACAATCCTGGACGAACATGTAATTTAAAAAAATTGAGGCAGGCTCATTTTTTATATGAGTAAGGGACCGTTCAAAATTTATGGCGAGGGTGGGTGGGGGTGGGGTGTTTGGATTTTTATGGAGGAGCATGTACAACGTGAATAACCCACCACCCCTAAAATTTATGTGAAAAGAAAGTGACACCCCGTACCCTCACCCTGCATGTCATGTACAAAATCAATTACCCCCTCCCCACTAATGTTTAAGCAATATTTTTAATATTCTTATGTACAAAATTGCTGACTGACTCCCCTAGTACAGGTGTGCCCTAAAATCATCATCACCCCTAGCCACAAATTATGAACGGTCCCTATTACACAAGAAAACAGAAAATATTACCAATCCTGCCAGTTTGACTTGTGAGCTGACAGTCTCTTCACATTCAAAGCTCCATTGTTTCACATTGTGCCATGTATAGTTTCACAGCATGCATGGCTGGGGACACCGTTTCGTGGAATGACTCCATGGTGTCATCGTATTTCTCCACTGAAATCCGTGAAGGTCCGGGTTAGAATAGTGATCCTCGGTAACCCATGCTTGTCGTAAGAGGCGACTAACGGGATCGGGTGGTCAGCTCGCTGACTTGGTTGACACATGTCATCGGTTACCAATTGCGCAGATCGATGCTCATGCTGTTGATCACTGGATTGTCTGGTCCAGACTCGATTATTTACAGACCGCCGCCATATAGTTGGAATAAAACTAAACTCACTCACTCACACTCTCCATTGATGTGTCATCGCCTCGGACCATACCATACAGTGTGTGAAATAGTTCCCAAATTTTGCTAGCCAGTTGGGCTAGGAATGTCTGAAAGTAACTAGCCCACAAAATAGTTCACTAGCCCGAAATTTGAATGTAGAAACTAAGCAAAAGATTACAAAAATACATGAAAACAAGATATTGTCGGCATGACACGGGTTTCACCATTAAGCTGCTATTTTTATCAGGACATAATCTTGCGTGACTTAAAACTGTCTTATAACTTAACAAGTCAGATATATCTACAAAACGACTCTATGAAAATGGACTGTGGAGATTTACTGGCCCGACTGGATTTTTACTAGCCATGGGCTAGGGGGTACTGATACCATACAGTGGTATTGTTTCATTGTATGGCTTAACTACTTCGCTCCATCGTTTTATCGAATGGTTTATTCGTGTTGCTCATCTCAGAACTATATACATTGCCAAGCTATTTTGTGGTGTTGGTTAATCGTATCGCATATCATGACGTTCGTAGCAGCGTTTCATCATATATGCTTACCACATAAATACATCGTTCAGTCATTTCGCGGCATGATTCCACTGTATCGCTTATCGCATATCTACATCTCTCCATCATATCCTCGGATGGTTTCATCGTATCGTTTATCATGTATCTACATCTCTCCATCATATCCTCGGATGGTTTCATCGTATCGTTTATCGCATATCTACATCACTCCATCATATCCTCGGATGGTTTCATCGTATCGTTTATCGCATTCTACATCACTCCATCAATTCCTCGGATGGTTTCATCGTATTGTTTATCGCATATTTACATCACTCCATCATATCCTCGGATGGTTTCATCGTATCGTTTATCGCATATCTACATCACTTCATCAATTCCTCGGATGGTTTCATCGTATCGTTTATCGCATATCTACATCACTCCATCATATCCTCGGATGGTTTCATCGTATCGTTTATCGCATATCTACATCACTCCATCATATCCTCGAATGGTTTCATCGTATCGTTTATCGCATATCTACATCACTCCATCATATCCTCGGATGGTTTCATCGTATCGTTTATCGCATATCTACATCACTCCATCATATCCTCGGATGGTTTCATCGTATCGTTTATCGCATATCTACATCACTCCATCAATTCCTCGGATGGTTTCATCGTATCGTTTATCGCATATCTACATCACTCCATCATATCCTCGGATGGTTTCATCGTATTGTTTATCGCATATCTACATCACTCCATCATATCCTCGGATGGTTTCATCGTATCGTTTATCGCATATCTACATCACTCCATCATATCCTCGGATGGTTTCATCGTATTGTTTATCGCATATCTACATCACTCCATCATATCCTCGGATGGTTTCATCGTATCGTTTATCGCATATCTACATCACTCCATCATATCCTCGGATGGTTTCATCGTATCGTTTATCGCATAACCACATGTCTCAGTCATTTTGTGTTATGGTTTCAACGTATCGCTTATCGCACATCTACATCGTGCAGTCGTTTTGTCACTTGGTTTCATTGTATTGCATATCTATATCTCCCCATCATTTTATCGTATGGTTTCATTGTACATCTACATACATACATCGCTTAGTCATGTTTATTATCGTATCAATGTATCACTTATCACATATCTACATCACTCCATCATTTCGTCGCATGGTTTCTTTGTAACGACATCAAAAAGTCATTTCGCCTAGAGGTTTCATCATACTTTTTTCACATGTCTACATCGGTACAACATTTAGTGGCAACCTGTCGCTTACCGCATTATTACATGGCTTCATAGCTCAGTCTTTTGCACTGGAACAATGGCTGCTCTCGCCCATCACATAGAGACAGGCTTTTAAATAGTCCTTGGTAACTTCAAACTACAACAAAACATCAAACAGTTTTCAAATAATTTCAGTTTTTACATGTAGCTTCAGATCTTCTTGTTAAAAGAATTTTAATATGGAAACGTCACGCACATTTCCAATATTTTAATTCCATTAAGGATCGTTTACTATCGTATACAGACCGTGATAACACAGTTATATTTTACCTCAGTGCAGTCACCTGGGTTCAACTTCTCTGTAAATCATTTCGTTTCTCCTTTTACATCCATCTGTGAATAGTAACGTTTGTATTTTTCAGCCTTTCTGTGTTTTAAAGATGTATAAGAAAATCATTCGACACTATTGATCGGAAATATGTAAACATAGAAAGAAGTTCCCTGTCAGGTTGTGTGCAAAGTAACGTCCACTTTAGAAATGGAAAATCAAATTAGAATTCTTAAGGTAATAATTAGAATTCTTAAGGTAATAATTGGAATTCTTAAGGTAATAATTGGAATTCTTTTCTTTTACTTTTTCTTTCTTTTTGTTTGTTTTGTTTTTACTTTTTAACCCCGTGTTACACAATATTCCAACTCCAAGGCGGTGGCCAGTAAATAATAGAGTGAGAATCATACAATATCCAGTTCGAGTGTATCAGATACAATGTTTTTTAACGGGAACAGATACAAGAACACACAGAAGTGTATATTTAACATAAACCGACAAACATGCCCGTTGACTAATGGGGTTGGGTTTTAGTATAGAACCATACTGTGAACCTGCCTAGTCGATTAAAAACGAAATGTGTTGTAAATTTCTAAAATAAAAACATGGCGGAATATCTCACTACACGAAAATACACCCAAATGCGATTTTTATACAAAAATCACAGTTTGAACACTGTTTTGTTAAAGAAACGCTATAAATCACTTCCAAATAACAACCAATAAACGTCGAGCAATATAATCCCGAGCAAATGAAGCATGGCAGCCCTAATGACCAAGATGGCGGGCGAGCGACCAGACATATGGAAGGGAGCCTTGTCAATTCATTTCTCTGTCATGGCGCTGGGTAATAAAAACACACAACAATGCTGGGTAATGATCTGAGAATGTCTTTTCTTGGAATATAAACAAGTGGGACCATTGCTGGTGCTGATGTTTGTGCCTGGAAGTCGAAGGTATGAATCGACATTTTGAAAGTTAAATCAGCGTGGATTGCAAATTTCATCTCTTTGAGCGGATTTTTATTACTCTACATACTTTGTTAATTTGTCGATGTGGACAGCCTGAAATGAATGGTGGAGTATTGCAAGCATCTTAAACATGTGGGGAATGTATTATTGTACCCGCCTACCTTTGCGTGTTTGTCGTCATTATTTGTGACGAATCCATCGGTCCATGATGTCGTTAATCGGTCCACACAAAACTGTCTCAGGTTTTACACGAAAGCATCTCCAAAGCGTGCAATTCATTGTTAAGGTATGATTAATCGAACACCCAGGAATGCATACACACCTTGTTTAAAAACATAAACATGCAATGTTAGAACATTTCGTTCAAGCATATTTTTTAAGTTAAAATATGAAAATTGATTTTCACACATTTTACAATAATTAAACTTAATTGATAATTATCGAACTTAATTAAGGGTTTAATGATGTAATTTCCTTCAGATATGTTGCTGGTGGGTCTCGCTCATTGACCTTGCATCCCGCATTGGAAGGACTTAAAGTGGAGGCGAGCTTCATTGTAGCACTCTTTATCTGCTAAAGGGTTAAGTATTAGGAAGAAGACCGCGTCTACAATTTGACTGTATAGTTTTCACAAAGAACACCTCAACCATTGGTTTACTATCAGCAACATAGTTGGGTGGGAGAATTGCTGTCACTAAAACCGTAAATTAAAGCATGTAATTACTTTTCCGAAATTGGAGAGTTACATTGTTCCACATTCAGTTAAGTATCTACCCACTGCCGTCATGCTCCTTCCTGTTCGCGACTCATCTCGCTGGCATGGAAGCACCGCCATCAAAGGATCGCGCCATGTGAAGGGAATGCTCTTCCAGTGGGGATTTTAAAGACGCTTCAATCACCCCGAGGAACGCCACAGGGGTGATGAGCCACATTCTCCTTCCCATTCTCCCAGCACATATCTGACTGGACATCCGTCGTCACAGTTACTTGAGTAGTTTTGAAATTCACTGTAATGCCACGACAATTCACAATTCTAATTCAGCTAACAATTTTCATTCCTGTTTTTCGGTACTCATAAAACTTTAGCGCACATGGACGTGGACGGTCAATGCCAGTGCGGTTAAGCCCCAAGTACATAACATTAGTGTCTCAAGTCAAGTACCCACACTTTTTTAACTTGACGAAACCAGACAGAATATCTCTTAAGAAGATTTAATATGATGTTAGTTAAAACGAACACCCTCGCAATAAAAACAACAACTACACCTTACAACGATTCTATTCACATCTTTTAAACAAAACGTCAGCACTGAAATAAAGAAGTATGAGGTCTGGATTACTGGACCTGGTGTTCCCCGCCGTGATATTGCAGGAATATTGCTAAAAGGAGAGTAAAACCCAACTCACTCACTATAACAACTTTCTAAGTGTTTTAGACATATAAACAAATTATACGCTTTTCTATAGACTAACGCTTAATCCCTGAACATATATAATCTGGATAGTAACAAATAAACCCATTTAATAAGGACAAAACTTTATGGATGTACAACTTCTTTATTCGGATGATGCGACGTTTCGATACAGATTCTTGTATTGTTGTCCAGCAAGTATGCAACGATACAAGAATCTGTATCGAAACGTCGCATCATCCGAATAAAGAAGTTTTAATCCATAAATTGTCCTTATCTGATTCTCCAACTTCTAAACATGCCACTCAAAGAAGAAACCCATTTAAATTGAAAAGGAGCCCCAGTGATGTGAGAGATTCAGGCTGGGGAAATCTAGACTTGCTTCATTTAGAGCTTTAGCATTGCTGGGGGGATAGGCATCATGGAAAATAATGTGGTTCAGGGACTGTGAGACAGACCAGCTTTTCTTTTGTTCCACCACTTCAGTCCGGGAATGCCAATACATAAACAAGGAATCATCAAAGAGGATACATATAAATGTTGTGTCTTCAATGAGGCGTTAATACTGGAACCACCCCTTGCTAAAAATAGCGTCATAAAGGCCCTAGGTTTACAAATTCCGTCACTTGAATAGCAGCTGTTTTATGCATGCCATAGCAGTTTAACATTAATCACTGTACAACTGGTCCTCGTTATAGTCATGCTAAGCCATCGACCTCCACATAGTAAGAGCACATAAACAGAAATCATTCTAGGACTTAATTAAACCACACCCTTCAGCCATTCATACATACATCCAGGCGGGTACATGCCGTTTTGGTTGTTACTGTTGCTGGCATATACATAAAACTATATATTCTCCACTCCACCCACCTGCCCCAAGCCAGATGGGGTCGTAAATTACCCTCTCACAAGTGGCTTTAGCGATCTGGCCTTTAATCATGAATAAACAGTCTTATCTATTATGTATCTCGCCGACAGGCAATAAATGAATATACCGAGTGAGTCAGTCAGTAAATATTTCGTCGATAACATAATAGACCGACAATGTGACCCTGATCGTACCTAGCCCATTTTGCAGATACACAAGGATCTTTGTTTTCTTTTTTATTGGGTATTCTTGGGGTTGTGTTTTCGTTATAGTGTGTGGGTTTTTTTGGTTTGAAGGTGTTGTGGTTTTTTCTTTGTTGTTTTTGGGAGGTTCAGGTTTTCTCTTAAAGGTGGGGGTGATTGTGGTGGGATTTTCTTCTTTTTTTTCGTGTTTTTTCTTTTTTTTTCATTTTAAATTGTGTTTGTTGTTGTTGGTTTCTTTGGGTTTTGTTGTTGTTTGTGTTTATTCTTCATTTCATTTTAATTATTATTATTTTATTTATTTTTAATTATTATAATTTTAAAAATTGGAGAGGGGGTCTGGGGTTTTTTAGTTTGCGGGCATGGGTGTAGGGTGTATGTTTTCTTTACATTTTTGTTAAGGAGGGTTTGGGGGTTGTCAGGCCCGTGATGTCCCAGCTCTATCGCGGCGGCCTGTAGCAAGTGGCGAATTCACTGGAAGAATGTACAACGTCAACGTCGGGATACGGTGTCTTTGAAACCACCATACCAATTCTATCCATAGTCCCTGCATCTCTCGCCAGTACATGTAGAGGATAAATGTCTCTGTTGTCACTAAATCCGACCTTGAATCAGTGACACATGTACAGTTGCACTGGAGATCCTACAAAACATCCCACACGATACATAACTGGTCATGTGAGCGGTCTAATCCAGTCCACCAGCTTCCGGGTTTTCTCGAGTCGAGCGAGGCATACGGTAGCGTATTTGATTTATGTATATCGAAAACGAACATAAACAAGTAGTTCTGAATGCTAAGAAATAAACGTCGCACTATGTGAATGTGGATATTTCGAATCCGGGCACCACTGCATCTACACTGAAAGCGGTGTATTATCTAGGGTATATGTACCCGTGTCCTGTGGTGGCGTCACCGAAATGGTGGAGAAATGAAGCAGAATCCTGTTAGAAAGTTGTGATCTGCTTGTTTGGCTGAAGAAACCGAGCATCCTTCATTTGGTGTTGGAGGTCAAATTTCGCTTAATGTTCATCCAAGACTTCCAAGGTGGGTTGGTTGTTTAAAGCCGCACTCAGCAATATTCCAGGTATATGGCGGCGGTCTCCGTTGGGACTTTGTTCCGAAGAACCAGTTACAAGGGCAACCGGATCGGATATTCACCATCTCCCCCTTGTCCACAGTCCTTGGGCCTGATTGAGTGAGTGAGTTTGCTTTACGCCACACTCAGCAATATTCCAGTTATATGGTGGCGGTCTGTAACTAATCGAGTCTGGACCAGTCAGCGAGCCTGACCACCCGATCCCGTTTGTCGCCTCTTACGACAAGTTGCTGAAGAGCATTTCTAGCCCGGATCTTCATGGGTCAGACTTCCCAGGAGACTGACTGAGTTTGGTTTTACGCCGCTTTTAGCAATATTCCAGCAACATCACGGCGGGGGACACCAGAAATGGGCTTCACACAATGTACCCATGTGGGGATTCGAACCCGGGTCTTCGGCGTGACGAGCCAACGCTTTAACCACTAGGCTACCCTCCCGCCCTCTTCCCAGGAGAGGTGGAACTTCACTGCTTGTGGATCAAGCCACATGCATCATGTTTATGTTGGGAACTGATTCTACAGGGATAAAACATAAAACGTGACATTATTGGTATGTTGTTTAACACAGCACTGACAACAGTTATGCGTCGGCAATGGTCACACAGTGAAAAGATGGTAATAACAAAACCAGTTTTGATCTACTAGATGTCACTCGTTGTCACTCGTCAGTGTTCCGGCTTTTTGACGGCGTTGTGTAATTAAATCTGACCCAGTCAGTCCAGTGATCGAAATCGTGAGTAAACATCCACGCAATGAACCAAGTTTCTGAGCCCGACCACCCTTACACAAATACACTCGCTCACAAATAGTAATCTTATATTCGGCCTAACGAAATAGTGCCAATAAAGTGATGAATTCCCCAAGGTTTCTGAATGACTAGCCAACATATTAATTGCTGGCTGGTGGAGGAAGGAGGGTGGTTGGAGGATCTGGCGGCCAGAACCAGTCCAGGCTGTATCATTAGTGGCGTGTGCAGGACTGGGAAGCTGTCTATTAGTCATCTTGGACACAGGGCTATTGTGTGGGTCTGGTTTGGGGGCGATTATTACAAGGATAACCAATTAGTGCCAGATTGAACTTAATGAAGAAATGTCTTCCTTTCTTCTCAGAACAGAGTAGGAATGGGGTTAATATCAAAGTCCATCTGTAGGTTTTAGTACAGGAATATGCCATACCACAGTATCCCTCTGAGGGGTTGGGAAGTCTGTTTGATGGCAGCATGACAGAATGGCAGCTATACGTCAGGGGAATCTGTTCAGTGTAAAAAGGGCTTCTTCAAGCGAGCAGGTGACCAATATTATTACACATCAGCATCGACTTACCAGAGACCACATGATAATTACGGTCTCTGGACATACTAAACTGTAAATTGTGAATGTGTACCCAAAAAGATGTAAATTAAACAAAATATGACATGAATATACTATCACTCTGTGAGTGGGGTATGAATGCTAATCTGACACATGGTATCTATGGTTGCAATGGAAAACTGACAGTGTAGAAAGACGCATGTTGACACGGTGCATGCATGTCACTATGAAGGTGCAATAACCTTGACCATTAACAGTGTATGAAATAAGCCAAAAATCTAGCCAGACATCAGGGCTGGTAACTTCAAAATGTTACCAGCCAAAAATGGATTTAACCAGACCAAATATGGTGAATTTACACAGATGCAAGGAACATCAAAACTTTTTACCAGACCATCGGACCGGCTAACTCGGGTAACTCGGCCGGTCAGACGGGCCTTATTTCATACACTGCTATTAATCCCAATCCCACCTTTCCTACAACAGAAAAACCACAGGCTAATAATATGCTGACAGACCAACCCAAGGATCATAACTGAGTTTGTTGTTTAACACCACATTCAGCAATATTCCAGATAAATGGCAGCGGTCTGTAAATAATCGAGCATGGACCAGACAATACAGTGATCAAGGGCATGATCATCGATCTACGCAATTGGCTGACTGACTGAGTTTAGTTTAACGCCTCTTTTAGCAATATTCCAGCAATATCACGGCGGGGGACACCAGAAATGGGCTTAACACATTGTGCCCATGTGGGGAATCGAACCCGGGTCTTCGACGTGACGAGCCAACGCTTTAACCACTGGGCTACCCCACCGCCCCCTACGCAATTGGGATACGATGACCTGTGTCAACCAAGTCAGTGAGTCTGACCACCTCTTATAGCAAGCATGGAGGAAGGTTTAAAAGGTTACATAAAATGGTGAGTGTAGCTGTGGAAGAGGACTGTATTTGTCAAAATAACATTTTATCAAAATAACAGTCCTAAGACCAATCTGAGCACCCTCCCCACACACCCCATAACCAGTCCATTAGTATGGGTGTTACAGAACCCTGGACCACTCAGCTATCCATGCCCTGTCAAACAATTATAATATAAGGGTAATGCTATTTTTGAGGGCATTATCATTTGCAGAAGCCCGAGGTCTTCCATTAACTGTCCGACGAAGGAGGGCAGTTGAAAAAGACCAAGGGCTTCTGCAAATGATAATGCCCTCAAAATAGCATTACCAAGTCATTATTAACTAAAATACATGGAACTTGTGTTGAAAAGAAAAAGGAAACAATGAAGGAATTTGACTGTAAGTTTACCCAAATCAACTTCTGACGGGGTTGACTGCCCGAATGCAATTACGTCATCGAACAATGCAAGTGACGTCACAACGGAAAGTGACGATATTCGACCTTGGCCTTTGACAAGACCATAACCTGCAACATGTCAAACTATGTCCGTGTTCGGTTTCGGTCCATCAACAGTCTTAATAGTGCAATTGTTAAGGTTAGCACCAACAAGAAAGCCAATATTACCGCTATTTAAAGCGGGAATTTGGGTTGCTTTGACTTGTTTGACCAAGAATATCTGCCAGTCGAAAGCCAATTAATGCTGAATGAACCGTAAGCCCACGCACCCACTATGACGTCACTTGACAACAGAACTGATAGTGGCCCATCGTTAAGGTTGAGCGGTCCAATATCATTTGCAGCGGCCAGCAAATTTCTGATAATGGGAGGACCGTTTCATTATAATTCCATGTATTTTAGCTATAATCAAACTTAATCAATGTAAATACTACAAACAGAATATCGTGGTAAACATTTATCACAAATCTGTCATGAACACCGTGGTACAAATGTGACTGGCTGTATTCGAACAACCTCAGCTGTGACATCGTCAAACCAGCAGGTTACATGTACCGTGTCTATAGAGAAGAAGTAGAGACTGTCTTTACACTTCTGTCTTCGGTACACTGACCGAGGGTCTTCATTCAGCACCTCCTGTATAGCAGCTTCAACATCACCTACACAGCTGAACAGATTCAGTCTGTAGTTGGAGTCAGGCGAATCTGATGAAAACCTCTGAAGCTGCTCAGTTGCAGTTGGTGTAAACCGGACTCTCAGCTTCCTGACATTACTGATCCAGTCAGCTGTCTTCACAACATCTGTGCAGTCACTACTTTTTGTCTCAGTTGATACAGAAAGGAGACTGGACGACAAGGTGTCAGGAGTTACCTCCCCTTCATCTCCATGTTTTCGTTTTACCATATCATCCTTTTCACAGGTAGTTATATTTTCATGGATGTTAAAACTATTTTCAGATTTATTACTTTGATTACTTCCTGAGATCACAGTACCCCCTGAATCTTCATCAGTCTTTTCAAAGTCAACTTTCGAAGAACTCGGCAGATTCCCTTCAGTTTCCAAACTTTTGGAATCCTTCAACAAACATGGGTCTCTGATTGAGTTGGCAACACTTTTATCCTCCTCAAGTGAAATGTCTGTTGGGTCAAGTCTTGGTGATTCTGTTTCATGATATTGGTCAGATTTTGTAACCATGGTAACAGGAACATCATAGTCGGGGATGTACGGCTTAATATCCAGAATTGGGGTCCCATCTAGGATATCAATGCCTTTCAAATATATCGTGGCACCTACAAATAGCACATCAAAGTCATTGACTGTTTAAATCCCACATTTACAGCAAGGTGTTCAAAATTAAGATCTGAATGATGAGCCATTAAATCACAAACTTGTCATATGCACAAAATTACCAAACGTTGAGTGATAGACTCTAACAATAGTTTCTTGAAATCATCACATTCTGAGGGAACACTGAAAATAATGTGGCATTGAAAATTGACCTGTACATGGACAGCTACAGTATAACAAGAGATTCCAGAATCACTAACAAGCACATCTACGTAAACAAAGAGTTCTTAATGCTTTTGGTCTTTTCCAACCTTGACACTGTATAGTTGTTGCAAGTAGACCTGACACTAACATAACTAACACAAAGTTCTCAAAGAACATAAAATCACAGCGACAATAAATAAATATAAATATGTTTTCTGTATTTAAATTAAATACAGCTGAACATTTATTTTTATCATAAACACATAATTCTGGAAGCACCATAGTGTATGCTGTACAATTCCTTTACCTTGTATTTTGTCAACAGCTGCAAGGGTGAGGCCTATAGCATTCGGTCGGTAGGGGGACCTTGTAGAGAACACCCCCACCCTCCGTCCATCCAGCCTCGGGGGTTTCACCTTGGCCTTGGTGTGGGCATTGTTGTTCTTATGGAACAGAAACATAATCCTGAAAAAGAATGGAGTGAGTTTAGTTTTACACCTTTTTAGCAATATCATGGCGGGGAACACCAGAAATGGGCTTCACACATTGTACCCATGTGGGGAGTCGAAGCCAAGTCTTCGGTGTGACGAGCGAATGCTTTAACCACTAGGCTACCCCACCGCCCGAAAAGAATAGAAGTTCATACTGTAGATATCATCTTATAATGTTTTACCGGCATAACATTTCTAGCAAGGTCAAAACCTGAAAACTCTGATTATTTTCCAGTAAGCAGGGACAACAGGCCAAACACACTAATCACAGGAAACGAGTAGAGCTAGTTCTGTGCTGAATATTGGAGCCTGTGTGAATGACTCTAGCATGATTTAACATTAAGAACACATTACACTCATCATTACAACCGTGTCTTGGCTATGGGAACATTGGGAGTACATGTATCTGATACATTTATCAAGCTTTCAAAAGTCATATATCATCAATATCAAGGATGACTTCAATGTAATTTGGAATATATCAGTACTTGTATTTGGTATGTGTAGGATTTAGATAAAAATGTATACTGAGTGTATGTTAGGAACAGATAAGAAAGATATTAGTAAGCATACTAATTGAGAGTTTACCACACATGAGAGAAGTTATCCAGGTCTTCTAAAGAGTGTTCAGGGTTGTTAAACACAGCCTTCTCAATTGTAATACTGCCTTGTGCATGTGCACAGATGGCTGGTTGACGTGGCGTTCCATTCTTATGGTGAAACACAGATGTCATGTAACCAATTGGCTTCAAGTGCCATAAATCTGAAACATTAATAAATGTACGTTTTCTACCATCAACATGGCCACAATATCACTTTTCACATTAACAAATAATTAGAGATTAATCATTGCATTAAATATATATCTAAACATATATCATCTAAGAATAAATGGAAATCACAATGTGAACCATCATAATGAGCCTTGCTTGCCCAACTGACATTCAATCAATGATGAAAATATTCAAAAGATATGAAAGATTAAAACATTCATCATCTTTTCAGTTATGTTGGGTTTTTTTGTTGATTGCGACTGTCCCTGCCTTAACAAAATTCTTTTAACAAAGAATAATACACAATCTCTTTGAGTTCATGAAAAGCTGATTTATGAAATTATTTTTCATATAAATCTACACTTCACCTATGAGTTCACCAGCGTTTATCTGCAGGTTTGTATTTTCCGGATTTTAATCTCAGGAAAGTGATCTACACGACGAGGTCATTTCAGTAATTCACGTCAAAATAGACTGTCTCTGAAATATTATAGTCAGGTCGGTGTTATCATTTTAGACACAGTTTTGTTCAAAATGTACAAACCGCCCATCACAACGTGTTTATCGTAAAATCTCCTGCCCCGACTTTTCGACACGAGTTGGACCACGTTATTACACTGAAGCAGAATGGATTTAAAACGAATTGATAACGTCTTTAATATATTTTAAATGGAAATAGAACATCAGTTAATCATAATCCCAATATAATATCATGTCATTATTGTCAGTTGTTAAAGGGTGGGCTTATAAAGATGTATTTACGTTTTTATGAGAAGTCTCTAGTTCGTTAAAAACAACGATTATACATTTCTAGAACACCATCAATGAGAAACCGGAAGCGAGTTTCTGCATAGCAACAAAAGGATTTACAGGTTTAATTTTACAACAGCTGGAAATGTCTTCATAAGGAAACTTGATTGTTATGGAAACTGTACAACGATGTTGGATTTAAGAGAAATTTTAATCCGAAATGTGAGTCGATATAAGTTTGTGAAAGCATTCATGTTGACTTGACCGTCGTGAAGATAAACTGTCATGGCGGACATCGTACATTGTAGCATCTGAATCTGCTTGTGTCGATTTGATATCTGTCGTATATGTACAAGCGTTTTCGAGAATGTCTTCCTACACTGAAGAAAAATAAGTATACTGGGTATTAACATTACGCCGAAATATAGATCAGGATATCAGATTTATGTTCTAGACTAAAAATATGCTGACATATTTCATAAATACAGGTGTTTTTTTATAGCTGATATGAGAGATGGTTCGCATATGATTCAAAATCGTTTTTATTTTGTATTTATTTTGTGTATTGATCAGAAGAACATTTCTGGGAAAGACTTCTACCCCTATCCCCCCTTAAATTTCATTCTAGTCAAATCATATTACCAGAATATAAATTTTTCATCTGATAAGAATGAGCTTTAACATGTTTTTTTATTAACTGTATCTGAACATACTGAAAGACATATCCAACTTCTAAAACTGCCACTCATCGTTAAAATTTTAGGGGGGATACGGGCGGAAGTCTTACCCATTTCTGAGTATCTGAAACTGCAGAAAGAACATCCTCTTTCTCCCTGGATTGTGTAAACATAGTGCCCACATTACAGCTGGAAGGCGCTTTAATAGGTCTTGTTGTATGTGGTGTACAGCATAGCATCCTCATCCCCATCAACCAGTTAAACATGATCAAGTGGACAAGGTGTTCCATCTTTATGTGCACAAAATGAATAATGTAATAAATGAGGATAGATATTTCACAAAAGACAGACTGATCCTATCTAGGCCCTATTACGTAATGATTAGTGTATGCTTATAGTTCGTTAGATATTCAGGTATATTACTTACCTTGGTATAATCTTTAGGGATTTAGAGTTTTTGTTTAAAACATTAATTTTTAAACTTATCCTATCTCATGACTTGCACCTCTCTCTCTTGCTTCGACTTTTAGTGGAACGACTGTAAACTTTTTTCCATAGGCCTCCTTGTCCATTCGCCCATGCACTCCATGCTGCTCTCCTTAATTAGCTTCCTAGTTCCTAATAAAGCTTGCAGCGTGCTCCACTAATTGCCCACGTGACTACCTTGAATGATCATTCTCTTTCTTGTCGCATGACTGTGTGGATGTGCTGTATATTAGGGACATTATTTCACCCCAACATCATGGGGGAAACTGATAATCAGTCAAGGAAAAGGAAAGTTTGTGCTCAATGCAAGACGTATTATTCGTCCCTCGACCCTCACTCATCTTGCAGTGACTGTATTGGACAATGTAACTGGAACAAACGATGTGGCAAGTGTAATTCGCTAAAAGATGAGGATTTTAAGGCCTACCCCCATGTTTGCTCGCTGGAGAATCGCCCGATAGGGACAGGAAATCAACAGAATCTGATCCCACTCCCGCCAAGCGTATCAAGTTACAGCGACTGAAAATCGGACCTTCATGTAAGAGAGCACGTCTGTGGTTCAAGAGGATTTTATGGACGCTTCATCAGATTCTTACTTATCTGAGGACGTTCAGCACCTATTACGTACGCATCAGTCACCTCCTTCCATAGCGTCAGATCACTCGCGGGGGGTTGTGATCGACAATTCTTCGTTGCCTGTCCCATCTACACTACCAGGGGACCTTACATCTACACTATCATCATCAAGATCATCGGTACATATCCCCTCGACTGTCTCAGTTTGTTTGGAGCCTGGCCAACCGCGTTCAACCAGCCAACTGTCTCCCCACAGTTCATTGAACCGGACAGAGCTGCCTACAACAGTGTCGCGGGGGCGTTCATCACTCAATCACTTCAAGGTTTCAGATCCGGCGTGGGGTAGCCTAGTGGTTAAAGCGCTATTCATGATTCACATGGGCACTTCAGGTTTTTCTGGTGTCCCCGCCTATTGCTGGAATATTGCTAAAAAGCGGCATAAAACTAAACTCAGTCAGTAATCGCCGATCCAGATCGCCACATTATTCTAGATCACCACAACGATCGAGATCACCTTCACGATCCAGATCACCATCACAAGCCCAATCTAGATCACCGTGCCGATCAAAATCACTGGATCGATCCAGATCACAGTCACGATCCAGAGCACAACTACGATCCACATCACCTGATCAATCCAGATCACCTAACCGATCCACATCACCAAACGGGTCCAGATCACAACTTCGAATCAGATCACCGGACAGATCCAGATCACCTAGCCAATCCAGATCACCGAACCAATCCAGATCACAACATCAAAGTAGATCATCGGACCGATCCAGACCACCTAATCGATCCAGATCACAACTTCGAATCAGATCACCCGGACCGATCCAGATCACCGAATGGATCTAGATCACAACTTCGAATCAAATCACCGGACCGATCTAGGTCACCTAACCGATCCAGATCACAACATCGAAGTAGATCGCCAGACCGATCCAGATCACCGAACCGATCCAGACCACAACTTCAAAGTAGATCACCTAACCAATCCAGATCACCAAATCAAGCCAGATGGCAACTGCAAACCAGATCACCTGTTCAATCCAGATCACGATCACAGTTTCCAGTTAGTGCATCGAATCGATCCAGATCACTTTACCAATCCAGATCATCTTACCAACCCAGGTCACCTATACGATCTAGATCACCTTACAGAGCCATTGACCAATCGGGATCACAGTACAGATCCACATCTCATGGCCGATCCTATTCAGATGGTCAAACCAGAGCTCCAATCAGAACCAGATCACCAACTAGAACTACAGCGACCCGGACTAGTTCTTCATATCATACCAGATCACCTAGCCATACTAGGGAATCCAGATCACCGGCTTACCAACCTACTTCGGTACTTACCACGTCGAGATCTCGATACAGTTCCTCTGACCGACGTTCAGGTGATCATTGCCCTGATACCACTAATAGGCCTACAGTCTCTTACAATTTTCCGTCTACACGCTCTGAGAATCCTTCGACTCACTCTAGGATCATCGCTGAGTCATGGGAACCTGATAACAGTTCCACTCCTACAGCGACTCCAGATCTAAATATGATGATCTGGGCCATAACCTCAGCCTGGAACCAAATACAGCCGTCTACTCCAGCCCATCCGGCTTCGGTAGCTCCTGGCTCTTCATCTGGTCCACCTCCAGAGATTGGTCCAGTCCAAATAGCCATGCCTGCATCTCCCACTCACTCTGAGTTATCTACCACTGAGGGTAGCTTTGCAGCAGTTGAGACACCTCAGGTACTCCTTTGGATTGTTGAGAAGCTCCAACTTCCCTTGAGTACTTCAGCAGATGACCTGGATCACTATTATATTCTTAGGAACTACCTACCTTAGGTCTACTATCACCCTACCACCTCAACCTTGTATTCTGAAATTATCCAGTACACTAAATGATGGTTTCAAGAGCCTGAAACGAATTAAGGATGGATTCTCTGCTCCCAGATATAATCCTTCTACCTCTCATGTCCACGGCCTAACAAAAATCTCTACAGCTCCAAAAGTTGATGAGGATATTGGTACCCTGTGTGGCAAACGAGCTGCTTCGCCCTACTTTATTGAGGACCGAGAGTTGGCTCACATGGATTCAGCGGTGAGAAAGACGTTGCCATCTATTACTAATAGACCAATCCCGGTTCCTAAAAGTATTAGTTGCATGATTGCAGCAGTCGATGCTGTTAACACTGCTCTGGAGCATACTTACTCTGATCAAGACGCTTACATCCGAGGATGCATGACTTTAGCTCTGGACCAGTTCCAAATTATCCTGGATCAGTTGTCTCATTTTGGGGGCTACAATCTTTCTGTTCGCCGACGTGGACCCCTTAACATCTCTTTATTGGAGGAGCGATTTAAAACAGAACTGTGTCGCCAGATAAAGAAACCCACTTTCAAGTCCCGATTGAACTGTTAAAGATACAGAAGTCACAGCTCCAGGACTCATTAGGAAGGTTGCTTCTGGTGTTCTGATACAGTCTTCTCTTCACATTACCAGCGAGACCTGTCTGTCACGGATGTCAAGGGACTACACCAGTTCGGACCTCTTGTACTGGCTCTGGCCCAACAATGCAGATGAGGGACGGTTCCGCATTCGCGTTACTACTTCCTTGTATATACTGAATAAAAGGTGAACTGGATCTCAACCTTTTGTTCTCATTATATGGGTTTAAGAACTACTTCACTTGGCCTCCATACCAAGGCAACGGAATACGGCCACCTAGCGTGGCCCTACGGACCTGAGGCACAATCAGTATGACGAGGCAGAGGTGTTCGACATTCACGCTTACTGACCTCTACTCCACGGAGCAATTACGTCAGTGAAGTGTGACACTCCTGAATTCCAATGGATTTCGTTGCGTTCTGCCTCCAAAGTTGCCAGGCACATCCTTTGAATAAGCTTAGGCAAAGGAGTGAGGGTCAATTTGATGCTGCCCGGAATTTAACGTTAAACCTTGGAGATGCCAATTGTGTTTCTCTTTCACCCGCTTCGGTCGGGTGTCTGGGGGCTGGCCTTCTTGAAGCCTTGTTAATCTGGCCGATTCTTACTTGCCGAAGACTTTAATACAAGGGGGGCGTACACTTGTTAATCGGGAGCACCCATCTCCCTGGGAGTCATTGTGCTTAGTAAGCCAAGGGGTTGCGGAGAACCTACTACAAGCATAGGAGTTGCGTGCATGCGTAACAGGCCTCCCTTGTACATCGCTATCTACGGTTGTCATCAGTCCACACAGCTCCAAGACCAGCTGTTCGCACTGTCCAGACAGAAGGGTAATCTGTGGCCCGCCGTCCAACCGTGGGATAAGTGCAAGTCGTGAGATAGGATAAGTTTAAAAATTTGGAAATTTTAATATAAATTGTATATTTATATACTTCTCCTATCTCACGCAATGGATGCCCGCCCCGCCTCCCCACTACTCAGATTACAACATTGGTTCCAAGATGAGAATGATCATTCAAGGTAGTCACGTGGGCAATTAGTGGAGCATGCTGCAAGCTTTATTAGGAACTAAGAAGCTAAGTAAGGATAGTAGCATGGAGTGCACGGGCGAATGGACAAGGAGGCCTATGGAAAAAAGTTTACAGTCGTTCCACTAAAAGTCGAAGCAAGAGAGAGAGGTGCAAGTCATGAGATAGGATAAGTATATAAATATACAATTTATATTAAAATTTCCAATTTTGGTCATGTGTAAAGCAGGCACTCTTAATGTGTTTAAGTGAGTATTTTGGAACTGTAGTGAATGAACTATAACAATAACTTTGATCCACCATCAAACTCAGTTGACCAAGGCTAGATCATCTGAATGTTGTGCAGAGTCATGCCAAAAATGTGTCTGTTTATAATCATTTCAACTAATCTAAAGATGGCATGCAGATTTTTATTTTCTTGGAGGAAATAAACACTACAACCAAATTCATTGTCTCTTTCATTTCTCCTTTTCTCACTTAATCACAAAGTTTCAATTCACACATGGTATCAACATTGTAGAACAGCTGTTTAAAATTTGATCATTTCAATAATATAACATCAGTATAATTCTTGAAAATCACATGCCAGCATGATGTCAGGACCAGGATTCACAAGTATAGTGCCTTGGTTAAATCCCTGTTTGTGCAGTCAAACTGCATAGGTTTCAAATGTGCATATTTATTGCTTGGTACAAGAAGTAAAATGTCATGAAAGAATCTGTTCTTCTACCTGAACATTGTGTTTTCGTTTACCACCTTTCGCACTAGATGATGAAATAAACTGGTATTAAATGTGTGTGTCAAACATCTTACATTGAAAATACTTGTTTATGCTTGTTTTTGTTTCAGCTGGAAGTAATGTTACAGACTTCATCAAGAATGCTCCTATAACAGACAAGAAATCTCATCATGAGTTCAGACGTCAAAAACACATCAAGCTTTAAGGGATTTATGCGGGAGTCAAAGATCCGCACCCCTAAATACCAGCCTGTCAGAGTTGTCAAACCCGAGAAACATGATGCTATGTATCCCATGAGATGGCCACCATATGATAATGTAAGTTTTACCATTTACTTGGATGTATCTTGAGTCTGTTGATTGGTTTGTTATTTCAAACAACATCACTTTATGAACTTAAAGTTATCCTATAATCCCACTAGGTTTTTAATATCTCAGCATATATCATCATTTTTAGTTTGTTGTCCAGCAGGTTCATTTAGGAAGAAGCTGCTTGTAGTATTTACTTGAATAATATGTTAAGCAATCATGTTTCCATTTCAGGCTGATGTTGAGAATCGTATTGATGGAGTGCTTGGCCCACTGTCTATATTTGCTCCATTTCCACATGAGGATGGTAAGAAGAACTCTTCTTATTCTCATTATATACATAAGTATATCAATAATTAAACAAAAATAATTTGTTTGTTATTTTCCATTTTCCATTACTACTTTCTTTTACGTGTCAAAACTATATCAAGTGTGATGTGAATTATATTAATTTTCTGTTTCTAGAACCAGAACATGTGGAACTTGAATTAGAACGCCCGGTCACTCCCATTGATGTAGGTATTCTTGTTTATTTGATTGAGTCATGTTGTGCAAATACAAAATAGTTTGATGGAAAAGAGTGGTTTTTTTCTGTTTGAGCATGTCAGTACTTTTCCGTTTATTTACAGCAAGAGATCAAGAGTCAGCCATCATCTCTAGACCAGCTCACAAACTTTGTGAGGCGTCGCATTGCAGCACGACCTGATGTACCTTTTCTCTCTATAGAAGATCAACGGAATCTGGTACGGTCAATTTTAATAAACAATCATCCCATTTCTGCTTACCGTACTAAATTGTTTATGCCTGACGTCTTAATGTAGTTTGTTTATTCCTGTCAGTGTACTGCCTTATGGTATAGGAGAGAAGATGCAGTAGATTAATTATATGTTTGGGTTATCTCCCTTCATGTGTTTTTGAAGTTGATGTGACTTCATCTGTCTGTGACTTTCTCTTTCGATCTGGAACGGTCAGTAAAAATGGAACCCTATGTTATCACCATATTCTATAAAAAACATTCTTGAAAACTCAAAAGTTTTGGACACAGACTACTTTTTTTTAGGTTTATGTAAGACTCAATCATTATTACACTGATTTTAAAAGCCTATGATCATGCATATGTTTATATTTCAGGCTGGTATCATCATGGGTGAGGTGAACTTGATCTGGCCAGACATCAGGAAACAGATTGATGATCCATTTCTGGTGTGTTAAGTAGTATCTTATAGCTTTACTCAGACAAGATACAAGAAGCTTTATCAAATGTGGGTTATCACAAACATATAATTAGAATTAATTGTTTTGTAAATTATATCTTGTATCTAAACAGTGTATTGACAACAGATGTTTTCCTTCACTGTACAGAGTCCTGAGGAGAACAAGGAGTTGAACCGGCGTATCGCTGTGTACATTGTGACTGTCTGTGAACAGCTCTTCTCTCATTACCTCGACAAAGCTCAGGGTGAGTGAGTTAGTATGGTTTAATTCTGCTTTAAGCGATATGTGGGGGAATCAAAACTTCAGCGTTACAAGCAGTTGCTTTGACCATAAGGCTACACCACCACCCCAAGCTCAGGGTGAACACATTTCTCATATATACATGTATACCTTGACATTCTACCAGAGGTTATATAATCCTGTATGCAAACAGACCTGTAATGGATGCTGACATGTCATGTTGAGAACAACTGATACATTTTAGATCACACATCTTGTTTTCTTGTCCACACTTTGTTGATACGCTTTGATCTTTCTGTGTGATCATTCCATACTCGGTTGCAGTATTAAATAGCCGGGGTGTATTCAGTGGACCTGCCAACATGAGTCGACTCAAAGCCCAGCTAGCCCTGGAAGCCAGCAAGTTGTAAGTAATAAAAATACACAGACTGCTCATTTAATTCACACAGGTATCTTATTCTGTGAGTTAGCTGGAATTATGAAAGTTTAAATACAGGAGTGTTTGTATTTCAATAAGTTCTGTGCATGCATATTGTACATTAGTGTTTCAGTATCGCGATAAGTTTGTTGTAGCTTGATGACAGACAGGTTGGTTCGGGGTTTCAGTAACACGTAGTTTCTGTTTGACATGTATATATATACAGTTTGACCACCCTAGGTTGGTTCGGGGTTTCAGTAACACATAGTTTCTGTTTGACCTGTATATACAGTTTGACCACCCTAGGTTGGTTCGGGGTTTCAGTAACACATAGTTTCTGTTTGACCTGTATATACAGTTTGACCACCCTAGGTTGGTTCGGGGTTAGTTTCTGGACCTGTTCAGTAACACATAGTTTCTGTTTGACCTGTATATACAGTTTGACCACCCTAGGTTAGTTTGGGGTTCAGTAACACATAGTTTCTGTTTGACCTGTATATACAGTTTGACCACCCTAGGTTAGTTTGGGGATCTGTAACACATAGTTCCTGTTTGACCTGTATATACAGTTTGACCATCCTGACGATCCGTCGCTACATCGTTGCTGACATGAGAGGTCAAGGGGAAACTGATTCTACGTCCTCAGAAGACTTCTTCCCTTCTCATCCCACCAAGGCTAAGCCTGCTGTTGGAGGATTTTCTCAGCTCTCATATGAAGGACTGGTAAGGCTAATGGCAACTATTTATTCAGATTTTTGTGGTATTGAGGCATTGATGATGATGATCTGTTATCTCCCTTTGATCAGCAAATAGCAGGTGTGAGTTTGAATCGTTGTAATTGACTTTACTGACATCAGTCAGTAATGGTTCAACTAGACCTTTCTACCATAGCTTCAGCCCTCCAAACCATCAATACTGTCATCCATCTGTCACTATTGATTGACATATACTGATGCCATGTCTACATGAAAGTACAGTCTACCTGTGTGAAGATACACATACTAGATGATGAATGATACTTCAAGATTATCCAGAGAAATAAATGTCATTACATCGGTCATGTAAAATAGAATGGATGATTTTAGTGCTCTTGAATCCAGCATTGTTTGGTTATTATCTTATATATTTCTCTATTTGCGTAAAGGTTAATTCTAGGTTAAAATGGAACTGAGATGCCATGATTTACCTGTGTTTCTGTCAGATACAAACAAGTCGGCCAAAGTCCAAGGTGAAGAAGTACAGGATGCGAACACTGGACCACGATGTGAGAGAGGTGGGTTCTGTGGACCATGGCAGTACCAAGCTGTATTATTATGGAGCTACAGTAGTGGAATGTTGTTGGTGTGAAACAGTAGACAGGTCGTGGTAGCTTTTCCCAATTATTCATGTATTATACAAATGTAAATACATGCATGTAAATTTGTCATGAAATGGAATTTGTATGTATTTTAACAGAAAATGCTTTGGTAAATATTCTGTGTGACATGCATCCTCAAATTGTTTGACATTCAGCTCTGATTTTTACTTATGGTGTATGCCCAAGAAACAAACATGACAGTGATAAGGTGACCACAGTAATGATCTCCGTGTTCCAACAGATGACCAACAACATGCCAAGCCTGGACACCAGCAAGCTGATGGACCTAGTGGCCCAGCTCCCGGACAGGGCCATGGCCTCCCCCTCTGAAGGTACTGACTTTGTACTAGGGCGATCCTAGTACAGTGCTAGTATTAGATCTTGGGTTCACCGTTTCATGATCCATGATAACTGACTGAGGAATAATCTCTATAGTGCTGGCTTGTTTGTGTTTGCAAGCCACAAATATATGTTGTACTTTCGCTTTATTCTGAAAATGTTATTTTTTATGTTTAGATGCTCGATCTCTTGCAAGCAGAATTTCTGAGAGAGAATCCAAAACTTCTAGGTATGTGTTGTGTCACTTTTGTTTGATTGTTATGAAATAAAAGACATGCATGCATGCATGCACACTCACTCACTCACTCTCACACTCACTTACTCACACTCATTTACTCACTCATTCACTCACACTCACACACTCACTCACACTCATTCATTCACTCACACACTCATTCACTCACACTCACTCGCTCACTCACACACTCATTCACCCACTCACTCACTCACTAGTTTCCGAAAGAATGTATGTAAGTAACCAGTTACTTGTTCTAGTATGATAGTTTCTTAAACACTGACATATTTTTGTATTCATCATCCAGGATCTAATGACCCATACACTTACAATACATGGCCAGTCTCTGATGATGTTATACTTTTCTATTTTTTAAAGTTTCTCAAAAGAGGAGGCATCATTACAGAAAGTGTTATTGAAGGTAAGATGGTTTCAGCTGCAGTTCCAAGTCAAGATTAATGATTAGCAGTCAATATACATCACTGTTTCTGATTTGTATTATCTTAGAACCAGAACCACCCAATCACTTGTACACTGGAAATGATCCACCTGCTGTCAGATTGTAAAAGTTTTCAGAGGCTGATAATATGGTGATGAGAAATTTTGAAAATCATTTTTTTTAATTCAATTCCTATATCACAATAATATGTTACGGCAAACAGAAATTTACAGAATTAAAAGATATTTGACACCATAAAATGTGGTTTGTAATTAACATGTTTGTATTGTGTGTTACAGCGATGTAGTTCTGACCCCAACCTCCATGACGGCGAGACATTACTGGAGGAGATGGAGATTAGCGAGCGTGTCCGTGACGACCCCTTTCACCACTATGAGTTGGACGTTCTACACAGGGAGAGGGAGGTCATGGCTAAGGTACTTGTGACATAATGATATGTAAATGTAGATCAATGGTTATGTTGTACAACCTAGGTGTAAGATTCCAAAAGAATCGTTCTTTTAGCCTCAGGTTTTAGAGCTAGGGAAATCAAAACTTACATCCATCCTCAGGATTATCATAGAGCCATTTCTATGGATGTACTTCTTTTATATTGCCATTTAAATTCTAAATAGATCATTTACCTTGTATGAACCAAATACTTCACTTATTACAAAGTGTGACAAAAGTATACATAACCTTTCATTCCAAAGTTGAATTTACTGTCTGTGCTACACTTCCTTTCTGTTAGTACTGGTATATTTTATTTTATCAGAGAGTAGTTACATACAGATGATATATGTTATCAGACAGTAATTACATATCAATGATATATTTGCCTTATCTACACAACCGATGATAAGTGAGCGATTATTGCTTAATGCTACATCTACAATCTTGTAGGTATTTTTTTACTGTTTGAAGGACATCACATTTTCTAACTTTTTAATAGGTTTGTAAATGCAAGATTATGTTTAAGCATGACAAAGTCTCTATATGAAAGGAATTAGTGTGACATATGACTATAAGTACTCATGGTATATACACATGTTCTAGTCCAGATGATGTTGACACTTTCAGGTAAGACAGTGTTGTCCTCACTCACTATTGTACCACACACAGCACAATCTCACAGCCACACAAACACAGATCATACACTCAAGCAGTATCAACACACTGAATGTCTGCAAAATCTTATTTGTTTTCATTATGCCAAAAGTTTATTTTTAAAGACTTTTTGGTTCTGATTTGCAGCACAAATATTATCTATGTATTCTTCACTAACTATAGGTACCAGGTAGTGGTAATGGTGAAAATGCATGCATTCCTTCTGTTATTGCCAGGAGTCTATATTGTACCAAGCTATCAGTGTTGAGGGAATCAGCACCCAATCAAAGCACTCAGATCACCTTGTTAAACCAGACTCTGCTTTTTACAAACAAGGATCCAAAGCTCTAGCTCTTGAGGAACCAGAATCAGTTTGTCTTGTGCTAATGGTTCAAAATGGCTGGTAGAATTTCAGGCCTGTTCATGGTCGCTATGTGTTATTGCTATTTAGGCAAACAAATGATTCTGGTTTGTATGCAGTTTGTATTCAAGTTTGTTATGTATGTGTTTATTTGTTTATGCAAAAAGGCGACATTGAAGGATACACATATCCATTCTGATGTCCACACTCCAACTGAAGAGTGTAATCTATATAGATAAATATGAACAAAATGTTATGTCAGCACACTGATAATTCTGTCTGATGGACTATTGGCCAGTAACTGGGTATTCAAGGTTAGTACTCGTCCCGGACAATCTATGCTAGTTGTAAATGGGGACTTAATAGATTAGAGCCCTGTTCCTGAAAGCAATCATAGCGCTACGACTGTCGTAAGTCTATGTTAAAGTATGGGAGTTATGATCATCTTAAGCCAGGGTCCCTTTTCACAAAGCTGTCTTAGCGTTATGACTATCTTAAGTCAGTGTTAAACCATAGGAGTCACGACAGTCGTAGCACTGAGACAGCTTTGTGAAAAGGGACTCAGGTGGTCAGACAGGGGTTTGGTTGATATTGTGTGTCATGGTCGGCAAGGATTGTTGCACATAGGGCTGTGCAATATTACCAGTATATACCGGTACAGTATCTCGCGATATGGTTATCGCAGATGGTTCAGATTCTGCAATATGTTGGGTCATCCAGAGTTAGGTCCCTTTGAATTATCTGCCCTTGATTTCCATAGCAACAAAATGTGCATTAAAAGTGCCAAATATACTTTTGTTTCTTTTCTGTTTCATGTAACATTTCACAACTGTTGGAGTTGAATCTGAATGAATCACTGACATACAGTAACAATAATTACATACTGCATTGAAGTGTATTCTGTTGAAGCAAACAACATTTACCATGAAAATCATGTTATACTATTACCTTTATCATTTTGTTCGCAAAAACATTTATATCATTTATCTGTACACCACTGGCATACACCCATACACAATGGGGACAGGGAGCCTGAAAGTATGGTGTAACAGCAACTAAGAAGACGATGTCGCACACGGGGAGCTCTTATGAAGTTATGATGTACACACTTGGACAGAAACCTTCCAGTCATTATATCACAATATGTATTTCAATATCTCTTGAATTATCGCAATATATCGCAATATGAAAATCAGGGCAATATCCAGCCCTAGTTGCACACAATATCAGTCACTGGATTGTGTGGTCCAGACGGAAACGCTGCTGTCACATAGCTGGAATATTGGTGAGTGGGGCATAAAAAACACACACACATGTTCACACAGACCAGCGAGTACACTGATCAGCTACTGCCATGATTATGCATTCTGTTAATGCAGGAGAAGGTCACGGATGAGCAGCCCAAAATTGGGTCAAGGGAGTATGCTGCGGAGGATCTGCGGAGGCTGGTGGACAGGAAGGATGAGTCTCACCAAGAGGTGGATGAAGATCTACCTCCTCTCTTACAGGTCAGTCACGTCTGGTCACTGCTGATGGACTCTCCCAGAACCTCGTCGATAGCCCTCACTGATCATCAGAATTCCACCATTACTGGGGAATGTTAACTGAATTATTTACAGCTTTATAACAGAATATCCCATCCATCAGCAAAGTCTCTGCCATTATAAATGTTGACATGCGAGATACATCCATGAGCTATATGCCTGTGTTTATGACTACAGGCTATTGTCCGCAATGCACGTCATGATGGCCTGAAGGAGAAGATGGCAGAAGAGATGAAGGAATTGGAGAAGAAGAAACAACAGAGGATTGAGGATGAACAGTAAGTGCAGCCATTTTACTACCATGTATCTGTCACTGAAACCTTGCCGTCTTTAGACAGTGCAGTATTAAGGAGAAAATTCATAAAGTACTGGAAATATGTAAATAACCCATGACATGTTTTAGATGAGTGCTTTTCATTCAGTATATGGCCTCTGTTTTGCAGCATCGCTGTTGAAGCACCTACTCATCCCCAGCCTGCAACTGTGAACAGCAAGCTCTCAAACGAGGTAACAATATCATGAAATAAAATGATCTTAGTGCTGTTGCTGTCAAATATTCATGTTAAAATAGAAAAGATATGACGGTATATATGACATAATTATATGCTGTTAAAGCATCATTCAATATTTTCATGACAAATTAGATTCATTATACATGGATGTTTCTGCTTGCAGCTGACTGTACGTACATCCGACATCCGAGTGTCGGAGCGGGTATGCATGTCCTCTATCACCCTGAACAGATTTGCCACTGTCTACAACGACCTGATTGAAGAGGTAAGTATCTGAATGAATGCTGTTGTCACCATTGTTTACCTGTATTTAATGTATATATATATAAACAGTAGATATAACATTTGATATAACAATGCTAGATACAACACAAGATATAACACATGATCTCTATACAGTGTTCACGAATAGCTTCTGACCCTTGGACAAATCTGGCAGATTCGCCAACGGTCCGATAGAAGTCTACAACCCGCCGGCCCCAGTGTCTGACTGTATATTTCACAATGACTTTGACTGAAGTTGTTATATGTGACATGTGACACTTGTTTGCTGTTTATAAATCTTATGTTTGTTAATAATTTCAATGCCAATTATAAGAAATGTTTAATCTGAAATGTGTGTTTAATTTTATTCTATGGGTCCTGTGAATTTTCTGTGTGTCAGCCAGACATCTGAAACTTACAGGACCCAATGTCCTGTTACTTTGAAACACCATTCGTGAACAGTGCTATATACCATAAAAAAAAAGTAGGGGATATTCCATTTCCCGAGCATACCACTAGCCAATGCCAATGCATACGAGAAAAGTAATATATACCCATACAGATGAAACATTTCCAAAGGAATGGAATAAATTGTCACATCCCTTCATTTCTCTTCATCATCTGTTTCCTCCTTGGCTTCATCATTTGCATTTTATCAATCTTGTAAATCCAATATCCCCTACTTTTTTGGATGGTATATATATAGCAATACTTAAAATACTGGTAACATCAGGTTAAAATACAATGTATCCAGGAATGAATACAAATGTTATCCAAATGACCCAATTTTTAACTGTCATATAATGAGAACAGACAGCCGGACATGGTTCTATATCATGGAGAATAGATATTTTATGGATATTCCATACGGGTGGGTATTGCAGAGAATATTCATATTGCAATATATTGCGATGCGAAAGCATGTATTGCGATATGTATTGCAATATATTGCATGAAGTATTTTTGAACAAAAAACTACTTATAATCGAGTTACTGCTTGATTTATAGAGCAAAAACACAACAAAATCACTATGCTTGATTAAGCTTTTTAATAACAAAATGTTAATCATAATAGAATGAAAATGTGAATAATATTTGGCACAAATAAAACAAGGAAATATCCGAAGATTTCCGAGTGTTACGATGTTTTCCGAATACAAATCAAAATACCGGTTTTCGATCAGCGTATCGCAATACGTATCGTTTTCATGTCTGAACCGGTAAACCGGTTAGATTGCGCAGCCCTAATATTCAACCAAAGTAAACATGTTGTGTCTACCATCGCCCTGTTTGTGTGTCAGGTGGATCCAGCCACTGTGAAGGGTCTAGACAAGAACCTGTTCCTGTCAGATGAGATCAGGGGAGGTGTACCGTGAGATAATGAAGACTGTGCCCCAGGACCATCTGGACTTAGACGATGTAAGGCTGCACTGCGTAACAACCACATTCTTAAAAACTGGAACCGAAAATTAAATTTATCATATTTTGAATGAGACAGTCTTATTGGGTATTCTAAAATATGTTACAGCAGAAAATATGTGAAAGCAGAAATGTTTAGCATATCAGAATATTTAATTTATTACATTCATAAGAAATGGTGTGAATATAGTGTTTCTTCAATAGTAAGTGAGTGAGTTTAGTTTTACGCCAAACTTAGCAATATTCCAGCTATATGGCAGTGGTCTGTAAATAATCGAGACTGGACCAGACAATCCAGTAATCAACAGCATGAGCATCGATCTACACAATTGGGATACAATGACATGTGTCAACCAAGTCAGCAAGCCTGAACACCCGATCACGTTAGTCGCTTCTTGTGACAAGCATGGGTTGCTGAAGATCAATTCTAACCTGGATCTTTACCGGTGTTTCTTCAATAACATGTAAAGGTTATAATAAAGAGAGAAATTACATTAAATTGATATTATGTATAAGTACTGGAAGACTGCATGTTTGGACTTTCTGATATTTACAGGACTTGATGATAATACCTGCAGCAGAGAACATCTCCCTGGCTGGCGTCATGGCGTCAACAACACTAGCCAAGAAGCCTAATGAGAGGGTTATAAACCCACAACTCAGGAAAGGTCATGACCCTCCCTGGGGAGAAATGGATGCCAAAAACTGGGCAAGAACGTGAGTACAACATGAATGCTACCCTTATGTATCGAACATTGTTTTAGTGATGCTATATATAAGGGACCGTTCATAATTTATGGCTAGGGGGTGTGATGATGATTTTAAGGGGGGGTCACCCATTTTGTTCTGGGGAGGTAGGGGAGGTCATCAATTTTGTACACGTTTCTAGGGGGTCAGCAATTTTGTACACATGTTTCTAGGGGGGGGTCAGCAATTTTGTACATAAAATATTTTAAAATTATGCTTTAAAAATATGGAAAGGGGAGGGGGACATTGACTTTGTACATGGCATGCAGGGGGGTCACTTACTTTGTACATAAATTTTAAATTTTAGGGGGGGTTATTCACATTGTACATGCTTCTCCATAAAAATCATCATCACACCCCACCCCCCACCTCACACCCCTAGCCATAAATTATGAATGGTCCCTAAGAGTAAATTCTGAGTTGAGTTGATCCAGATAGTTTTGTGTACCACTCCTTGTCATGTCCGTTCATTTGTTTCAGACCTTCAAGTCCACCAAAGAATTTTCAAGGAGACAACACATTTACACCTTTAGTGAGTGTTCTGATACTAGTATGTGGGGTAGTAGTCTAGATAGTAAAGTGTCATGCTGAAGACCCAGGTTTGATTCCCCAGATGGGCACAATGTGTGAAGCCCCTTTCTGGTGTCCCCCACCACGATATTGCTGGAATATTGCAAGAAAGGGGTGTAAATATCCAACTCACCCATTCACTCACTCTAATACTGGTATGTCTGACTTGTGTATTGTGCACATCTTCTCAAATATTTTACAAATATCACCTGTCAATTGTCACAACATGAAAGCTTGTTCCGCAACCCATGAACGGGACTTCAAATTTGGTGACAGCCTACATTGACTATGTATTCAGCATACATCTGTTAACGAGATATCTCATGAACTGTTGTACCCAATGTCTTCAAATTTGGTGACAGCCTACATTGGGGTATTACGCAGACACCAGTCGATTTTGGTGACCATGACCTTATCTTTAACGGTCACTACGACACTTTGACCACTTTTCAAACTCTTGTTAACGCGATATCTCATGAACTGTATAACACAATATCTTCATATTTGGTAACAGCCTACATTGGGGTATTACGCAGACACCAGTCGATTTTGGTGACCTTGACCTTATTTTAAAGGTCACCATGACACTTTGACCACTTTTCAAACTCTTGTTAACACGATATCTCATGAACTGTTGTACCCAATGTGTTCATATTTGGTGACAGCCTACATTGGGGTATTTCGCTATTACGCAGACACACCAGTCGATTTCGGTGACCTTGACCTTATTTTAAAGGTCACCACGACACTTTGACCACTTTTCAAACTGTTGTTAACGCCATATCTCATGAACTATTGTACCCAATGTCTTCAAATTTGGTGACAGCCTACATTGGGGAATTTTTGGGGGACATTGCCATATTAGTGGCAAACACTTGTTCTGTCTGTATTGTAAGCAAGAGTCTATATAACCTGTGAAAACCATGACTATATGTTCTGACATGTATCAAATTGCTTCAATAAGTTCTCAAGTAAACAGGTCATTGTTATTATTGGTAATCATCTGCTCCATATAGACTCCTAACCCGGAGAAGATCCATGCTGCCTTCAGTAACCACCCGTCGAAGACATCTCAGCCGCTGACATCATCCGAGAACATGCCCAGCGTGGTAGCAGACAAGATGGCCAGGACGTATGCATCGTGGCTTCAATGGTGGAAGAGTACTGTCACCAGCGACGACTACATGAAGTTCCTCTCCACACAGGTTAGTCGGCATACCTTTTGAATTTGTTTCAAACAAGTTAACATTACATCTTACAGTATAGTATGGTACACCATTTATATTCTTTACAAGACCCTCATACTTCCAGTAAGGACCCTGGAATTAGTAACTGGGGGTACCTGTGGACCCCTAGATTTGAAGGTCAAGGTTGACCCTGTCCACAATCACTTCATATACCTTCTAGAATAGAGTAGAATAGATCAGGTATGGAAAGGAATCTACTTTGTTTACAATTTACTACACGGTAAAATCATAACACAATCAAGCTACAGGAAACGGCAAATAACAAGTTGTACATCTTTAATTTATCTCTTATGTGATGAATATTAGGAAAAACTTACTTGCTGCAGTCGCAGAATTTGTCGTGAACACCGAGCAGATGTCTAATGATATCGCTCTTGCTTGACCCAGTGTTTTCCCACAAGCTGTTGAATCGGTCATAGTGAACTAAGCAGATTCGAGACTGGTTCCTCCTCTTCCCTTCTGCCTGTATTCTTTGTTTTTTTGCTGATTCTGTCGTACGTCTTCGACCCATAGCCAGAGCGAAAGTAAATCCATTTCGCCGGGTGCCAGGCTTTGTTTATAAACAGGGAGTTACCCACGCTAGGTTGCGCTGCTCTATTGTTTATAAACTAGGAGCTACCCACGCTAGGTGGCTCTGCTCTTTCACAAAATATGTGCATTCAAGACTGTGGCGCATCAGAGGTCACGAACTAGTCAAGAATTCTGGGATATCATCCGGGCGCTCACAGGAGAAAAACAATAACAAGAGCAACAACCAGTCCACGGAAATTGCTCTGCATCAGTGGCCCTTTAATGCCTTTTCAGGAATGTTACATCAGCAGAGCTATTGACACATCAGATAGATACAAAACATATTTACATAAATTCATTAATTTAGGTATCTTCACATTTGTTTAAAAGATGTGCCACTCATATAGTGATGATAAACATTCAAATCTGACTCCAGCGATTTTACTTGCAGTGTTAACAATTTTGTCTATTTTAGATTTGAGATGATCTGAGGGAGACCCGTACCAACAATGGAAGGAAAATGTTAAAATACTCTGAATAAATGCTGCATAAAATGATGACGTCATGGATGGGTTAAAATTAAAAGATCTCAGTTTACGCATGAGATGAAGACGTTGCTGACACTTGTTGTATAAGGCTTCAGTGTTAGAGATACTTATACTCTGACACTTCTACAGCAGATATACTTTGACAGAGTCCATATGCTAAAGTTATCATGGGCCTCATGTGGGTGGGGATATTGTTGCTAAACACCATCTAGAGTGGAGACATTGTTGATGATAGTATTGGGGCATGATGGCAATGATGGTTAGTCATATGTTCAGTTTGGGTCACAAAGGACATCATGACTCAAATCTCAGGGAAACAATTCCTCAAACATACAAACATGCAGGATTCGATCTTCTTCAGACACATAGTTCAAATGAAGTTAGGGATCAGTGATGAATTTCATCAAAGGATGCTGTCTTCAGATTCTAATGTTGTATTTCATACCACCTTTACCAGCTCCTGTATAAGGGATCTCTTGGTGTAGGGTGTAGTGGAGTTGGCTGTTCCATGTACAAACGTCCTGTATCACTATGAGTATCCTGGTTCATGTAGTGTTCAGTTAGTTTCATTCTGTTACAGGAGACAGATTTCATGGGAGTGCTGTTCCATTTCTATGACTCTGAGGATGATGATGGTGAAGATGATAATGATGATGGCAATTCTGGAGGAGGGACAGGAGGAGGGTCGTCCACAGGGATTGGAAACAGAGGACGACTCCCAAGGCAGAACAATACTAGGTCCTCTCACTCCACTAAAGCTACAGAACAAAGGTGAAATAGAAACTGGTTTTACTCATGTTTATGTGTTCTCTGTTACTAACTTTTTTCAACATCTTTTAGTTTCATTGTCCCTTCTTTGAAGTGTTCACATCAAAGAAAAATCCATGTAATGCATACATGACTAGAAGTTCTGGAGACATATGAGCACTTGTGTATTCATATAGTTTTGAGTTACAACTAAAATGACTACGTAATTGGGAAAAAAGAAAATCTTGTGTTTCCATGAGTAGAATCAGTGAGACCCAGAGTGGCAATATGGCTGAAACATAATTTCTCTGTAATATTGGGTAATGGCATACAGTTACATAAGTTTCCTGGATCAGAATCAGCTGCAATAACAATAGCATGATATCATTGTAATGTTCTATTCTAGGATTCTTTACTCTTTAAGGGTGGTGGGGTAGCCTATTGGTTAAAGCGTTCACTCGCCACACTGAAGACCCGGGTTCGATTCCCCAGATGGGTACAATGTGTGAAGCCCATTTCTGGTGTACCCCGCCATGATATTGATGGAATATTGCTAAAAGCGTCATAAAGCCATACTCACTCACTCACTCGCTCTACTTACTTAGTGGTAAGTGAGGGTTTTCAGTTACCTACTACTTGAAAGTTCTGACTTTAGTCTCTACTGAGTCAATGAGTGTTGTATGAGTGTTGTACTGAGTCAATGAGTGTTGTATGAGTGTTGTACTGAGTCAATGAGTGTTGTATGAGTGTTGTACTGAGTCAATGAGTGTTGTATGAGGTATGAGTGTTGTACTGAGTGTTGTATGAGGTATGAGTTGTACTGAGTCAGTGAGTGTTGTATGAGGTATGAGTTGTACTGAGTGTTGTATGAGGTATGAGTTGTACTGAGTCAGTGAGTGTTGTATGAGGTATGAGTTGTACTGAGTCAGTGAGTGTTGTATGAGGTATGAATGTTGTACTGAGTCAGTGAGTGTTGTATGAGGTATGAATGTTGTACTGAGTCAGTGAGTGTTGTATGAGGTATGAGTGTTGTACTGAGTCAATGAGTGTTGTATGAGGTATGAGTGTTGTACTGAGTGTTGTATGAGGTATGAGTTGTACTGAGTCAGTGAGTGTTGTATGAGGTATGAGTTGTACTGAGTGTTGTATGAGGTATGAGTTGTATCAATGAGTGTTGTATGAGGTATGAGTTGTACTGAGTCAGTGAGTGTTGTATGAGGTATGAGTGTTGTACTGAGTCAATGAGTGTTGTATGAGGTATGAATGTTGTACTGAGTCAGTGAGTGTTGTATGAGGTATGAGTGTTGTACTGAGTCAGTGAGTGTTGTATGAGGTATGAATGTTGTACTGAGTCAATGAGTGTTGTATGAGGTATGAGTTTGTACTGAGTCATGAGTGTTGTATGAGGTATGAGTGTTGTACTGAGTCAGTGAGTGTTGTATGAGGTATGAGTGTTGTACTGAGTCAATGAGTGTTGTATGAGGTATGAGTGTTGTACTGAGTCAGTGAGTGTTGTATGAGGTATGAGTGTTGTACTGAGTCAGTGAGTGTTGTATGAGAGTGTTGTATGAGTATTGTACTGAGTCAATGTGAGTGTTGTATGAGGTATGAGTGTTGTACTGAGTCAATGTGTTGTATGAGGTATGAGTGTTGTACTGAGTCAATGAGTGTTGTATGAGGTATGAGTGTTGTACTGAGTCAGTGAGTGTTGTATGAGGTATGAATGTTGTACTGAGTCAGTGAGTGTTGTATGAGGTATGAATGTTGTACTGAGTCAGTGAGTGTTGTATGAGGTATGAGTTGTACTGAGTGTTGTATGAGGTATGAGTGTTGTACTGAGTCAGTGAGTGTTGTATGAGGTATGAGTGTTGTACTGAGTCAGTGTTGTATGAGGAGTGAATGAGTGTTGTAGTGAGTGTATGAGTGTTGTACTGAGTCAATGAGTGTTGTATGAGGTGTTGTACTGAGTCAGTGAGTGTATGTATGAGTTGTACTGAGTCAATGAGTGTTGTATATGAGGTATGAGTGTTGTACTGAGTCAATGAGTGTTGTATGAGGTATGAGTGTTGTACTGAGTCAATGAGTGTTGTATGAGGTATGAGTGTTGTACTGAGTCAATGAGTGTTGTATGAGTGTTGTACTGAGTCAATGAGTGTTGTACTGAGTCAATGAGTGTTGTATGAGTTGTATGTTGAGGTATGAGTATGAGGTGTACTGAGAGTCAGTATGAGGTATGAGTGTTGTACTGAGTCAATGAGTGTTGTATGAGGTATGAGTGTTGTACTGAGTCAGTGAGTGTTGTATGAGGTATGAGTGTATGAGGTATGTACTGATGTCAATGAGTGTTGTACTGAGTCAATGAGTGTTGTACTGAGTCAATGAGTGTTGTATGAGGTATGAGTGTTGTACTGAGTCAATGAGTGTTGTATGAGGTATGAGTGTTGTACTGAGTCAATGAGTGTTGTATGAGGTATGAGTGTTGTACTGAGTCAGTGTGTGTTGTATGAATGTATGTGTTGTATGAGTGTTGTACTATGAGTTGTACTGAGTCAATGAGTGTTGTATGAGGTATGAGTGTTGTACTGAGTCAATGAGTGTTGTATGAGGTATGAGTGTTGTACTGAGTCAGTGAGTGTTGTATGAGGTATGAGTGTTGTACTGAGTCAGTGAGTGTTGTATGAGGTATGAGTGTTGTACTGAGTGTTGTATGAGGTATGAGTGTTGTACTGAGTCAATGAGTGTTGTATGAGGTATGAGTGTTGTACTGTACTGAGTCAGTGAGTGTTGTATGAGGTATGAGTGTTGTACTGAGTCAGTGAGTGTTGTATGAGGTATGAATGTTGTACTGAGTCAGTGAGTGTTGTATGAGGTATGAGTGTTGTACTGAGTCAATGAGTGTTGTATGAGGTATGAGTGTTGTACTGAGTCAATGAGTGTTGTATGAGGTATGAGTGTTGTACTGAGTCAATGTGTGTTGTACTGAGTCAATGAGTGTTGTATGAGGTATGAGTGTTGTACTGAGTCAGTCAGTGAGTGTTGTATGAGGTATGAATGTTGTACTTGAGTCAGTGAGTGTTGTATGAGGTTGTATGAATGTTGTACTGAGTCAGTGAGTGTTGTATGAGGTATGAGTTTGTACTGAGTGTTGTATGAGGTAGGTATGAGTGTTGTATGATATGAGTGTTGTACTGAGTCAGTGAGTGTTGTATGAGGTAGTGAGTGAGTTGTACTATGAGTCAGTGAGTGTTGTATGAGGTATGAGTGTTGTACTGAGTCAATGAGTGTTGTATGAGGTATGAGTGTTGTACTGAGTCAATGAGTGTTGTATGAGGTATGAGTGAGGTATGTTGTAATGTACTGAGTCAATGAGTGTTGTATGAGTCAATGAGTGTTGTACTGAGTCAATGAGTGTTGTATGAGGTATGAGTGTTGTACTGAGTGTTGTATGAGGTATGAGTGTTGTACAGTCAATGAGTGTTGTATGAGGTATGAGTCAGTGAGTATGAGGTATGAGTGTTGTAGTCAATGAGTGTTGTATGAGGTATGAGTGTTGTACTGAGTCAGTCATGAGTCAGTCAATGAGTGTTGTATGAGGTATGAGTGTTGTACTGAGTTGTAATGAGGTGAGTCAATGAGTGTTGTATGAGGTATGAGTGTTGTACTGAGTCAATGTGTGTTGTATGAGGTATGAGTGTTGTACTGAGTCAATGAGTGTTGTACTGAGTCAATGAGTGTTGTATGAGGTATGAGTGTTGTACTGAGTCAATGAGTGTTGTATGAGGTATGAGTGTTGTACTGAGTCAATGAGTGTTGTATGAGGTATGAGTGTTGTACTGAGTCAGTGAGTGTTGTATGAGGTATGAGTGTTGTATAGCAGTATGAGTGTTGTACTGAGTCAGTGAGTGTTGTATGAGGTATGTAACACATTCATAACTAATATGATGATGTTCCGCTGCCAGAGAGCGAGACAAGAAGGTGCAGGAATTGAAGGCCCTCAAGACAGAGTACAAGGAAGGTTTCTGGAATGTTAACTCTGTCCTCCTGGGTGGCCTAGGCAAAGACCCAGGTTTAGAAGGTAAGATAAGATCTATACCTCCATTGATGACAGAATGTGGACTGATTATGTTGTCTTCTCATGTTCAAGAATAGTGGGAGTGAGCAGTGTTTAATGAGCCAAAGTCATTTCTGCTGTATCATGGTGGATTTTTAATAATACAGTCTGGGCCAAGCAAACAAGTGGTCGACAGCATGAGAGACAATCAATGTTTACAGATTTATTATTACATTCATTGAAGTTTGACAAGCATAGAGTGTTGGGGATCTATTCAGTGCCCGGCTCCAAACAGGGCCACACTCCGGGTGAGTATATTCTCACTATAAGGTAGGTTCGTTATCAGCTGTCTTTGAATAACTCTACAGTGTGTGTGGGACGGCTTCCCCAGTGTTCTGCATCATGTTGTAGTTGATGAGGAAGAAGCCAACAAGACACAGAAGCCTGTTGAAGCAAGTAAATCAGCCAAGACTCTGGCTGAGAGGGCTGCACAGGCCAGACAGGCTCGCTTGATACGGGAGAAGTCAAGGTGAGCTCCCCTGTCCCCTATAATTCAGTTCCTGCACCTGCTTCCTCCCTTCATAAGAGATCATTTAGAATCTCTGATATCACATAGCTGTCAACCCAAAATGTGTCCAAGAAGTGAGAACCATTAAAAGCCGGGACCCAAGGGCCGCTACGTCATTGAGTTTTCAAATACTTCACTGCCATGGTAGAGGGAAGTGATATAAAGAACAAGTCTGTCCAGGATTTTAAAGTCACATATTGACACTGAGTCAACTCAACTGACATGTATTTCAATTGTAAGGTTTATTAACAATGGAAACAATACTCTAAAATATTCTGACAGTATTCACTGAAGAGCAAAGAAATCTCAGGGATTAGCGACAGCTTACACGATTGTCAAAACACAAATATGGCATCAAAGGGATATGTGTTTTTGTGAAATATTTTAGTTTCTTACAGGTGTGTTGTGGCACTATTGTTAAATACATTCTCTGCCAAAGTATTTGTCATAATCATGAATAACTTTTTATGCTTAGATGAAATAAATAACATCACATACATCTATTCTTTGTCATAATTTTCTTTCAAATATTGAAAAAATGTCTTATTAAAAACTGAACTAGTATGTATAAATTATACATTGTAGAGATGTATAACCTTTTACTATAATACACTTTTTTTATGGGTCCCTTTTGACTAGGGATCTGAGGCCCTTTTGACTTTTTGATGTGGCCCTTTTGACTTTTCCGTTTTGGGGCCCTTTTGTCATGCGGCCCTTTTGACTAGGACCCTTGTTATTTTATTTACTGTAATTTGGTCACTACTCGAGGTCAAAACATCATATAGCAATATTTAGAAAGCACATCATAAAACATCATGGACATCATAAACATGAAGAGTTCACATAAGTCTGTCCTCTTATTTTTATCTAGAGTGACATCTCAAGCATCAGGGAGACTATCAAGCACAACCCACTCTGTAACATCCAAGTCATCGGAGGTAGGACAATTAGTAGTTAAACATATCATGTATATATCACAACATTGTGTAAGTCTTGTCAAGGCTTTAAAAGATGCAGTTTAAATCAATGTTACATTTTCTTCTCTTTGTTTATTTTAAAGTCTGATATACAGAATCCTGACAAATACATTTCTGGATTGTTTCTCTTGCAGGCCGAGTTCCAGAAGCCAGCAACACCACAAGAACGCCTGGAGCGTGTGTGGGCGTGTCTCAAGATGACTGACAGCATGAAACTTGATATGGCCATCAAGTACAGCTGTAATGAGTTCTTTGACAGGCTTGAGGAGGTAGGATTTTTTCTTTCTTTAAAGAGGCAATATAGTATCTGTATCTATCTATATGTGGAATTTTTTTCAACTTAAACTGCTTCCGGGACAAACCCACCACCACCACCACCCACCCTGGGCTTAAACTCGCATTTCCGGTAAGAACATTTATCAGATGAATTACGTATAAGTCAAAGTCAAGTATAGGGATTTTTTTTAAAAGAATGCTGTTAATTTTGTTTGAAAGTTCTATACCTAAACAAGTAAAATAAACCAAGATTATTGTTTTTATTCTTGGGTCACTAGGTCATGGAGAAGTGGGAGAGTGCAGCGGATCTAATTCTCAAACGAGAGGCTCTGCTGGAGAAATTGGAAAACTTTGAAAGAAGGGCCTCTGACCCCAACAGATTCTTTGAGAAAGGTTAGTATATGTTAGGTGCATGTATGCCATGGTGGTTATGCTGTGGATGTTTCTCTTTAAAAGTTACCAACTGAGGTAGTATGAAGGAAAACGTCATTGGTTGGTCAGGAATGAGTATTGGATACGTAATACAACTGTTTCTGTATTTTATCCCTAAATTTTACTAGACCTATTTACATTCTATTTACTTGTATAATTTCTGTTGTAATCTTGATATTGACTGTTTAACACAAATCACAACCCTATACCAAACCATCTTAACAGTGGGCACCTCAGACCTGATCAGTTCAACAGATCTCTTTTCATGCCTCCTCTTAAGTCTGACCATGCATGTCAGTGGCAAGGAGGCAGATTATAGGAGGTTTTATTTGGTATAGTTGGAATAATGTGATAGGTTCTCTTCAGTGAAACAATAAAACATTCTTATGTTAATGTTTTTTGCCTAAAGGACTTTATCAAGTCAAGTATCAATATTTCTCATGATCTGAAGAGACTGTTTAAAGAAGTGAGACTACTCTCAACATGAGCTCTATGACTGGTACCAACACATGCATGATAACACAGGTTATGCATGATAGCACAAGATAAAGGGGCAGTGGGGTAGCCTAGTGGTTAAAGCGTTAGCTCGTCATGCCGAAGACCCAGGTTCAATTCCCACATGGGTACAATTTGTGAAGCCCATTTCTGGTGTCCTCCATCGTGATATTGCTGGAATATTGCTAAAAGCAGCGTAAAACCATACTCACTCACTCACTCACTCACTCACTCACAAAATAAAGTGTCTAATTTGGGATGTTGCAGGACACAAGGGCAGCTCGGTGCTGAGGCTGGAGGAGGCCAGACAGAGGAGCTTCTACTACAAGGTAACACTTGTAATGGCCATTGTTCAGGCAGCATTAAATGCATTGTTGATCTCAGTTTTCCATCTATTAACCCCTAAGGATCTGGGCCCAGTGCACAAAGCAATCTTAACTCAAGTATGGGAGTTACAATCACTTTAGCTTAGATAGCTTTGTGTAACTGTATAGAACAAACTTTATTGATAACAACTCTTTTTATTAACTGGGCTTTCAAGCATGACATTGGGTGGGCTTTGGTGGGTAGGGTTGTGTAGGGTTGGGGCAGTGATAGCACTTGAGGGGTGTCAGAAGCAGTGTGGATCACAGTGTTCACCTTTGTTCTGTGAAGTCAATAGGATCTGCTGAACATTGGGGCATATTGTAGATTTCGCGATCCTTGGTCGCCAGCATTATATACTACCCATCAAAAGTTTAGACTCACCTAAAACACTCACTATATGTTATGTATATATATGTGGTTACATCGAAGATGAATGTCTCCACTAACTTGGGGAACCAACTGCAAACCTTATGCAGATGAATTGTGCGAGGATCATGCATCAAATTGCTAAAAAAGCATGTGCAAATATCATTCATGTGAACAGCTGCGCTTTTGATGTAAAGTTTTGTTAAGAATTCGCCACTTTTCACTGATTTACATCGCTTTACTGAACTCATGACAATAATCTTTTCAACGCGTTGAATTTGTTTTACAATACATTAGTTCATGTGTAAACAGTACCTTTAAACTGAATGGAATATTTTGCAAAATCAAGTTTAGAACAGTTGACTAAAGTAAGTGACTACATTTACACTAATGAGTCTAAACTTTTGATGGGTAGTATATATACACATGGAAAAAAGAATTGCAACATGCCAGCATTATATATACACATGGAAAAAGAATTGCAACATGATATGATTTTATGTCATATTTTTGTTTGTATGATTTTTTTTAAACCTTTGGGCGCATTATACATTGATGCATAATTTTATGATCGAAGGCAAGATGTGTACCTGTCAAAGCACATACCAGGTTTCAGTAAACTGTTCTTATTACTCAAGAAGTGGAAAAATAATTTGATTTTGTTGTTGATAAGCATATACTGACAACTGCTTAAAGATGGCAAGTTATTGATGTGCGGAATACTGGTATGTCATTGAGGGCTATTGCAAGAGATGCTGGTTGTCTCATAAGATACAGCCCTTTTCTGAAACACAAGACTTCAGCTGTGCTTGGCAAGTGGTTTGGTTGTCTGTGCTACAGAACAGTCTGAAATTGCCTAACTATAGGCAGCATGACTACCTTAGTGTCAAGTCTGTCACCAGTAGAATTTGATGTCATGGGGAAGGGTCCACTGGTCGCACAAACCTTGATTTGTTTTGTTCATAACTGATAGCGTTGCTCAATTGCACCGCAGAAACACAGCTAATACACAACAGGATATCTTGGAGCAGGTTCCATTTGGTGAGGTTTCACTGATGGTGCGGGGATGCCTGTCACATGACTGTAAACTGTCTGGACGATCAGACAAAATCTGAATGGACAACAGTACACTGGCATCCTAGAAGGGTTTTGTACCACATTTCAGTGACCATCCTCCGAACACATTTTTACATTTTTCACTCAGTTTACTTCTGGCTACCCATAATCTCTTTTTTCTATCATTATATCTTTCAGAGTATTGATGCCGTGGAAGTTGAAATTAAAGTTGAACTTGACTACATCAAGGAAAAGTTCCAGGACAGCATAACATTTAAGGTGGGTGGATAGTAGCAATGAGTCACAACTACTGGTATATAGTGCTTATGATTGATTTGAGCATAAATATACAGTGAGTGAGTTTAGATTAGCAATATTCCAGCTATATGGCGGCAGTCTGTAAATAATCGAGTCTGGACCAGAGAATCCAGTGATCAACAGCATGAGCATCTATCTGCGCAGTTGGGAACCAATAACATGTGTCAACCAAGTCAGTGAGCCTGACCACCTGATCCCATTAGTCGCCTCTTACGACAAGCATGAGTTACTGAAGATCAATATTCTAACCTGGACCTTCACGGGTTTCATAAATATACAGATCGTTGTCATGATTATGAGATATGTATATCTTCCGACATCTAAATTTATAGACTGAACAAGTAAATGGAATTGTAAGCTAGTTGGAAACAGGGCTACTTCATTATGACTTGTTATCTGCCAGGGTCGTCCATATATGGACAAGATGAAGTGGGACCGAGTGGAGATGCTGTACTGGTTGCAGGAGGAGAGGAAGCAACATGCCATCCAGTACGAGGCTCTCACACGACAGCTGCCACTGAAACATGCTCAGCTGGAGCCCCTACAGCTGCAGGCCAAGTGAAGGGGGACAGGGCCATACAGCTGTATGCTCCACCTTGTTGGGCAGTAATACATGTATACCGGACTGAGACAGGTGTGCTGCGAGTGATGGTCAAATTTGTGTTTGGTATATTCAGCATTACTGCCACACAGACTCCTGAAACCTAAGATCTGTGTGTGCAGCAGTGAAGTATTAGGTAATGGATGCATGATTAATGTATGAATCTGTACATTCACAAAAAGGCTTGATGAATTTTTGGATCTATAGCTTTACAAAAAGGCTTGTAAATTCTAGATGCATTTACCAAATGATGAATGATAATATAGAATGTCTTCTGTGTATTGGGAAGTCAGGTGATATGTACATTCCTTAATTTAAATATTTTTAAAATAGGGAAATTATCCTTTTCTGTCAAAAGTAGGTTAACATTGCCAGCTGAATTTACTTATTTGAGATAGGAAAAAGAGTAATGGTATGATTAATTCAAATAACATCTATAGTGTATCTGTTACCATTAAACCTTAAAACTGTGGGACTGTTCATATGGTTTTACCGTTCACAATTTCTTTTTAAAAGAAATCAATATTACATTGTTTGCTTGAAGTGATTGTGATTTGAATGCATTGTTTATTTATGTTGATTAGTAGAATTGTGATATAATCTTTATGCATATTTACACCTGTGTATTCTCTTGAAAGTTTGAAACATTTCATGAGAAGAATCTTGCTTCAAACCACAGATGGAAGGGTTAGTGACCATTCCTGTGCTTTGAAGGAAACCAGTGCCTCGTAACATAATGTGAGAAGTATATTTGCACTCTGATATCTTATAATATTTATATGCAAATACATATGATCAACCGTCCAGGAATGTATTAACTGTGATAAATGAATATTTACATAACTGCTGATTTTTTATAGTTTTATTTTGTTTAGAGTTTTCTTGTTATATGGTCAAACAGTATTTGTACAGTTACATATTATTGTAATAGATATTCTATATGTTGATTTACATGTCTGAATAAATAATTGAAGAGGAAATCAGATTCTGCTCTTTTTAAGGAAGATAAGTAATCTTCCTAAGTAGGGTCGTGGCAATCGTCATCTTTTGAGATCATAATACCCAGAGACACTTGTAGTTACATGTCATAATGTTGAGGTACAAGTATTTTACAGCAAGCAACACCTGTCCCTAGCAACCTAGTAGTGACTCAATGATTCAGGGGTGACGCCTTCTGGTGACTTGACTGACTGCTTGTCATCATTTTGCATTTGCCAGGATCAGTGCTGTCAATGTCAGTCACTGGACTGTCTGGTTCAGACTATATATACCATGGTCATATCACTGGAATATTGCTGAGTGTGACTTTTACAACACCCAAAACAGCAAGCAGGAATTACATTGCACAATTGTGAAAGAGAACCATGTTTATTCACAAGAATATCTTTAACATGAGGAGGATTACCTCAGGTTAATAGACCGCCTCCGTGGTGTAGTGGTTAGAGCGTCCGCCCGGAGAGCGGAAGGTTGCGGGTTCGATCCCCAACCGCGTCATACCAAAAGAAGTTAAAATATGGTACTTGTTGGTCCCTGCCTGGCGCTCGGCATTAATGAGTACAACAAGGACTGGTCGGCTCGGAGTCAGTATAATGTCTGAGTGGGGTATTCATGCTTCACTGCGGCATGGTATCTCAGTGGGCTAGCACTATAAAACCAGCTTAAGTCTGGGCTAGTACAAGCAGCCGCACATACACATACACACGCACATCGTCATATGAGCGAAATATTCTCAAGCATGACGTAAAACCCACTTTCACCTCACCTCAGGTTAATAGATCACTGGCCACAACTAAATGTTCAGTTTACTCACTCTCAAACTCTTAACTCTCAAACCAAATAGAAAACAATAGGCTTCCAACAGCCAATCCGTGTACATGTGTACATAGCCTGCCCATAAAGCATCAATAATTATCACTAAAGTTGGCAAGCTCTGTACAGGAGGATGAACACACCTACTTCATGTCTGCACCATATATCACTTCCTTGCACAGATCTGCGGACAAATTCTGCCTTTGTAATGAAGCTTGCACCGAGAAAGGATTATCACACATATAACATATATGTTGCATTTGACGGTTTTCTAAAACTAAAAGACATTGTGTATTCCTAGCTTGGGCCATGGGAGCCATGCCTATTTACACTTGTCAGGGGGTTACACAGTATGTGATCCAGACAACCAGTTGTCAGGCTTCCATTTTTGTGGAAGCAACTGTGGCTGAGTGGGTTCGATTGCTAACTTTGTGTGCTGGCAATTGGGTTCCTCACTCTGAGATTGTGGGTTTGAAACCAGGATGGGACTCAGCTCAAAAACGTACTAGAATCTCAACTTGGAAAGTGTAATCTCAAATATAACGTATGTTGCAATGTTGTGAAACAAACAGGACTAAATACTGTCATTGGTTTTAATTACTGAGTTCATGTATGTGAATCTGCTAGCTTGTTCAAAGCACACTCATACTTCTGTGAAAGCTGCTGTCCTCACAACTGATTCAGGTTTAGTTTGAACCTCAAGAACAGTATACACTTTAAGGGAGATAACTCCAAACACTGGCCCTTTCACTGACCACCGGTTTGATGTAAACTTGTCTTACATTCATGTTTCTACACTGGTGTTTTCACTGTTCTGTTGGTTGTGGTAATATTTTAAGCAAGCTTTTCAATTTCAGCACGCTGAGAATGAAGCCATTACACGTTATCTCGGCTCCCTTTTCATACCCTTGGTGTTCTGAAGTAAATCAAATTTGGTTTTGATAGCTTGTTTATTAAGTAATAATTCATATACAAACAAACTTGTGTTGATCCTCTTAATATAGCACTATCACTCAACATTACAGATGTCGTACACACAACACTCACAGATGACTCATGACTACATCACCCTGGCTATTACACTGCTGAAGAGACAGCTGTGTCACAGGATTACATGTCTAACATCAGTGCACACTTCTACCCTTCCTGAAACAGCTGACAAGTTACTGGCAGCCAGGACAACTCTGATACCTAACTGAAAATGACTCACTCATGTCCAAACATTTTCGAATTTCGGCTTGTTCACTTAGTAGAGATGGACAGAAAGGCATATTGTAAGTTTTTTTCCACTTCATCAAAAGCATACCAACAATAAGACAAAGTCATCAATATCCCCCGCAATGGCAAAATACTCTTCATGATTATGTCTCACGAGGTATGATTATGTCAAATATTTAGGTGTGAAGGAGAGTATTGAAAGGTTTTAAAGTTCTGCTCCAGAAAGGAGCACTATCACCAATTCCAAAACTACCAAAAGGAACCAGTACACCCACTAGACTAATCTATGTGTCAAGTTTGGTGAAGAAATAGTGAACGGTTTTAGAATTTAGTCTCGAGGAAAGTGCACTACCACCAATTTCAGGCTAAGTCAAACTTGTTGCCATGGAAAAGCCAAAAATATTTTATTCAAAATTTAAAAACTACCAAAAGGCACCAGTACACCACCAGATCTATGTATGTGTCAAGTTTGGTAAAGAAATAGTGAAACGGTTTTAGAGTTCTGCTCGAGAAAAGTGCACTACCACCAATTTCAGGCTAAGTCAAACTTGTTGCCATAGAAACGCCAAAAATATTTTATTCACAATTCCAAAACTACCAAAGGGCACCAGTACACCACCAGACCAATCTATGTGCCAAGTTTAGTGAAGAAATAGTGAACGGTTTTAGAGTTCACCTCCGGAAAAGAGCACAACCACCAATTTCAGGCTAAGTCAAATTTGTTGCCATGGTGCCATGGAAATGCCAAAAATATTTTATTCAGAATTCCAAAACTACCAAAAGGCACCAGTACACTACCTGATCTATCTATGTGCCAAGTTTGGTGAAGAAATAGTTAACGGTTTTAGAGTTCTGCTCCGGAAAGGAGCACAACCACCAATTTCAGGCTAAGTCGAACTTGTTGCTATGGAAACGCCAAAAAATGTTTTATTCATAATATTGAACACTGGCAGAATGAAATATGGGAATAAGGCCAAATGGAAGATTTTGATTTGAAATGGAATTAGAATGTAGTGAATGCAACATATACCAAAACATTTCACTCTGTTTCTTATTTCTTGCTCTGAAGCACTTTAATTGAAGGAAACTGTAGCAATAGTAAGCTGTTCTGTTAAAAGAATTATGATTTTTTATTCCCTCAGAAGATTGCTTATAATTTGGGGTTTCATCTTGTTCATTTTTGTAAGGTTATAACTTTATACATTAACAGGCTTTCATGTATGGCTTCCACCTGGTATGACAGATGATGAAAGCACAACAGTTACACATATTTCTCCTCTTCCTCGACAATGATCACCACAGGTTTGTCATTAATGTATTTGGTGGCCTCTCTGGGTGCAGGTTCCCCTGCTGGTAATGTAGGTCGTAGATCTACACCTGGTCTCCCAGGCTTTAACATAAGAAACTTGACTATATGTTTAAGAACATTGTCATTGAAACCTTTCACTTCTCCTGCCTCCACAGACTCATAGAGTTTCATCTCTGGTGTGTGCCAACAGATGTTCCTAAGAGAGTTGCCATCATCATCTTTCCATAGCTCTAATGTATTTAGCTGGTATGCAAAAAACGTGAAACGTTGGCCATCACTCAAAATTGTTTGAGTTGTGAATGGGTAGGTGATATCTATTGCAGAGCTGAAACCTGTGAAAGGAAGTAGAGAGATTTGTATGCATAGTAATTAAGTGTAGTTCATGTTGATGATAAGCTGTGATAACCAAGAATTTAATCTTGTTTTCTAATTTTCTATCTGAACTGTACATAATTAATGTTATGGATTCCTTACAAGTCCACCAGACACATGTACAATATCCTCTCTCTCCAACCATGACAACCTGCATAGTGATAATCTGAACTCACAGCCACCACTTGCAAATATTTCCAGTATCTAAGGGATTGGATCATGACACTTTGTCAAGAATACAGTATATTAATCATGTTAATGTTTACTAAATATGTTTCCTTTGGGTTTCACAAGTTGATAAAACAAAGGAAAAATGTTTTGGAAGTTATTCATTACAGGTGAATATATACACATAAGCTTGCAATCATTGGATCCTGACAGAGATATATTCTTCCCCATCGTCAGGTGAAGTATATTACCTTGGTAGTAAGCTTCAGCTACAAGTCTTGTAAATGAAGTGTTCATGCCCATGCCTGTCATCAGCTGCTGCTCCTGAACATCACCGAACTGTTGGCCAACCTCACGCACCTCGTTGGATGTACATAATGTCAGCAAGCCGAACTCACATGGATCACCTACCCAGTGCCCTGTATAAACGTTTTATAACTGTATGATAGTTGTTGTCAAGCGACTCGTCTTTAACCTGAACATTTTGCAGAGGGGTCACATCTTGTTCATATAATCATAAGATGCTGGGAGCTTTAAACTTAACATCAGTGACGGAAGCAGGTGATTGAATTTGTCCATACTGAATTATCAGAACATGGCAATTAACGTGATAACCGATTAGGGACATATTCTAATTTTGTTACACAATAATCATGATAATGAATTGGATAAGTGTATTTGTTTCAATAACCACGTTAACAACATGAACAATTAGTGTTGGGAATTGGTTAAAATCTAATAATTGATGATTGGTCCATTACAACCGATCAATCATCGAAAATATTTGGTTAGCGTCATTTATCAAATGTTCCTGTTATTTTTTGTTAATGCACACAAAAAATAAAGAAAAAAGTAGTAATTTCGGTTTTTTTGCAAATTGCATAAAGTCCATTTGCAAATTTTGCATATTTAAATGATGATTAGTATGTTAGGAACACATATTTCCTGGATTCTTTAAGATAAATTCAATCATGACTTGGAACGAGCTTGTACATGTAGTGCTTATGAAATGTAAATTTAATGACACAGACAAAACCAGCCTTGTGAAAAATATTGTTAATGCAAACAAGTGTTCCAAGATTGGTCGTGTTCGATTATGAGAAAACATGTTCGATTGCTTGGTCGTTTAGTAGTGGTGTTCCGATTAATTGAAATAATCGAAGATTGGTCGCAGTGACCGAACGACCAAGCAATCGATCACATTTTCTCATAATCGAACACAAACGATTTTGGAACTGCTGTTTTAGTCTTTGAAACACTTGACGATGGAACATATCTTCGAAGTTGTCGGGGCCTGCAAACTTGTTTAATTCTTAGAAAACTCACTTCACCAACTGAAAAGTCATGACTGAATATTTCTTGAAGACTCCAGGAAGTTTATGGTCATGATATATTAGTCATTACTTTAAAGTAGCAAGTTGCATCATCTTATACCTATCTGCAATAACAACCTGGATAGGAAAATCTAAAAAATGATGCTAACCAAGTTTTTTCGATGACTGTTCATTGGTAATGAAGCAAACATCAATTGTGAGATTTCAACCAATTCCCAACACTATCGTTTAGTCACTGCGACCAATCTTTGATTATTTCAATTAATCGGACCACCACTATTAACAATGCACTGAGCTTGAAAACACTAAAATGCTCATGATAGTGACAAGTAGTCAACATAGTTATCAGCACAGTTTTCATTTGACATTATACAAGCTAAAAACGTAATAGAAAGTTACCAGCAACAACTGAAGGCTGAAGCTTCTGCTCAAAGTTCTGACCATACGTAACAGGGTGATACTCCAGCTCAGGATAGGCTGCTGTCTTGCAAAACTCATCATCCCGAGACAAAAAACTGAAACAAGAAGCAACACTTTACCAATGTAGCAAACTCCACCTATGACATATGAACAAATATACATATTTCTGATATTACCACGAATACACAACCACTAACAAGAAAATGATGCAAGTTTCATCGGTATCAGCATGTCATTTTCATATTACCATGATTACAATCTTTTTCATTTATTTACTTGAGATGCCTAATTCAACCGCTTCTAATTATACACCACTTAACAGATTCTTTACAATAGATTATTGCTAACCCAATTGTCCTCAGACAAACTAAAATGTCAAACTACCTCTGGCAGTGGGTTTTCACTCCTGATGACAAAATCTGCTTGATGACAAGCCTGTAATCGACTTTCGTTAACTGTCACAAATTTCTTATAATCCTCATCATTGTCAACTATTTTCTGACGACTAAATCCATGTCGATCCCAAAATGCTTCCACACGCACATTTTCATCAAACTGTGTGGTGTTTAAATGATCACAGTGAGCTGACAGACACGTTGTGAGAGCATTAAGCATGCTTTTCAGCAGTACTTGTGAGTTAAGTACCGGCCGATCCCATGGAAAAGCCTTTGTAATTAATTTGTCCCTGGCAAGTATCTCCTTTTCTAAACAAATAGTGTCAATAACAATTGGTTTTATTTGTTTCACAACTTCATCCACTTCAAATGAAGCGTATACAGTTGGCAATCCCTTCACAAGGTGAGTTTTGGTAGCATACTGTTGAAACGGCAAAACACGAGGGTATCTCTCCGCTATCTTGTATTTCCACATCGTCATTTTCTTCTTGGTTATCATGTCAATCCTGTCTGTCACTGACGCGACATTTGATAACTTTTCTTTTTTGGCCCGCCAGACCCATGCCTGACGCCTATCCATTGCTCCCCAGCTCCCCTCGGGGAACTTGGGTCTGACAGGTGGATAAAGGTCGCGGCTTTTATGTTCGACTACCTCATTCTGGTGAACCAAACTACTGTGCCTACGAGACACCTTCAACAGACGTTCACAAACCCTCGAAGTCATATCAACACGACCACACATGGCCGCCGCCATTTTGTATCTCCGGTGTGAATACAACAAACATTTTGATTGGTCTACATGGTCTACGCGCAATATAATACCATTTTCACCCTCTCACATCATGTTGCTTGAATAATATATTCCAGTACTTAGGCATGTATATATCTGTCTTGAAAATGGGGCGATGGGGTACTTTATCGGTTAAACCGTTCGCTCGTCACGCCGAACACCCGGGTTCGATTCCCCCATATGGGTACACTATGTGATATTGATGAAATATTGCTAAAAGCGGCGTAAAACTTAACTCACTGTCTTGAAAAAACACAAATCAAGTTACTCAAAGTCCCACTAATCATAATTCTCGAATAGAAAGGTGAAAAGAATAGTATATAGGTTGTTTATGTATGGAATAAAACAACTATTGATAACGTCTCATTTTCCCGACGTCGTTTACTTAATTACGTCTTTTTAACACAGTTTAGGTGCTGGGATTCAGAGTCAATATATATACATAAACTTGTTTAACATTCGGATGCAGTGCATAAAGACATGACACATTATCAACCTTTACTACAGTACTGAAGGTATAAATTGGTGATATCACTAAAAACGGTTTGTTAGTATTACATGTGACAATAATCTTTATGTGAATTAATGCCAAGATTAATGATATGACACGACGCATTACATCTGAGTAAATTATTATTTGCATGGCGTATGACTCTCGAAATTTATGGGAGTGGGGTGGGGGATGTTTGTGTGTGTGCGCGCGCGCGTGTGCGTGTGTGTGTGTGTGTAAAGTCGGGTGGTTAAAGCGTTGGCTCGTCACAGTGATTCCCCACATCGGTACAATGTGTGAAGCCCATTTCTGGTATCCCCTGCCGTGATATTGCTGGAATAGTATTCGGTATAGATTCTTATACCGTTGTCCACTCTTGCTTGACAACGGCCGGTCAGTACCGAAACGTCGCATCATATAAAGACGTTGTCACCCTTAAAGTATCTTACTTTCTTAAAAAACATCTATAGAATACAGTAACCATGCATACTACTCGAAAGGTGATGTGGTAGCCTTTACTGATGCTCAACTGATTTTAATTCAGTTAAACGCATAAAGACAGACTAAAAATTCACATTTCCCGCGTTTTAAACAAGACATCACATGACTTGAATCACATGATATAAAGATGGCGGACAACCCACCAGTTGTAGGCGTACCTCCAGAATCTCGAGAGAGGTGATTATTTGGTACACATCTCCATAGCGATGACATTGATGCTCAGGGTTGGCCTTGGCCCCAGTCTATACAAGACATTGAAACATGTTGGTCATAAAGCTCGGATATATCTATTCACCGTATCACGTAAACAAAATCAAATAAACATTCGTATGATTCTACGTGGCATGTTAATGAACAAACACTTCTCAAACAAACTGCATGAAGCTGTTGTACATCATCAGTTCTCCCATTAGCGTGATGCTGTCAGTCTTATTTACCGGTACATGCATGGCTATTTTGTATTTTTCGGGATTCATGGTAAAATGAAGTATATTATTGTGCCCGAGAAGTTCAGTGGATATATCTGAATGGTATGATCAAACTTTGATGTTTTCTTCTTGTTGTTAAAACGTATTTAATTTTCTTGGTATTGTCAAACAAGAATTGACATTGTCACGTTTTTCATATAATCTGGTCCGATAACAAAACAAAACAATCACCTGCTGAACATGTCAATAGACACGTGGACAAGCTTCTTTATGCCTTTAGACATCATTTCTTCCAGCCATTATTGTATTATATTTCTAACCATCACGGCCTGGCAGCAGACCCTCTCCAAATAGTCAACCTTTTATGACTTTGTGTTGCTTGAAGTCTAATGCCTGTATGTTGCAATTACAATATTGTTTGCTTAGTACAAATAGTTGACTGGTAATCATTTAGCTGTCCAGGTCATGTGTATAACTGTCAAGAATTCCCAGCTTATCCTTCCTCTTATGGATGAGAACTCTAAATATATAGTTGGATATTAAAAATCATCAAATTTTTGTTCATTTAAAACGATGTATACTGTCGATATTTGATTTTAATATTTTTCACCGTTTGGAATGTTAGATATTTATTTATGTGTCTTAATTCCGGTTTGATGATACACAATACTGGATACACTTCATTGGCGGATCCAGAGAGAATGACTTAAGACCACATTGAAGATTTTTCTTGCATTGGCGGAGCCAATAGGGGATTCGAAACCCCACCCCCATCCCCCCTTTCAAAATTCCTGGATCCGCCCATGCACTTTCTTGTGGCTTGAATGCTTCTTACAAACTTATGAGGACAACTAATAAATGCACTTGCATGTCATATCATGCATCATCAATCATTCTTGAAGAAGAAATGTGCTGTTGCACAAACCAATCTAACATATTTTTCCCATCTCATACTTGCAAAGTTACAGCCAACCAATAATGCATGTTTATTTGTAAAGATGGACTGGAGGCACACCAGTGTGAGTTACTCACAAACTGAAAAATGTAAAATTTTGTTATTTCAGATATGATGCAATTAAAGCAGCATTCAAATCCAAATTTGATGCCAATCCCACTTTTTATGCCAGAGCATCAGGGCGGGTGAATCTCATTGGTGAGTTTCAGATACATGTCTGTACAAGACTACAGACTGTTTCAAAGATTGGTAGCATCCATGTAATACTGGACACTTGGGAGTCGGGATATGTGAAAGGCTTGATATGGGAAATATGCACTTACTTGTACCATTCTTCCTATTACAAGAAAATCATTTAAAACATAAGGGTCTTCATCATTCACAAAACAATTCCCATAGTGATGAGGAAATAGTCAGTATTTATTCCTGTCAATATGGTTGTGTGTTTAACTAATACATGAAGCTCATAATTCAAGACAAGTTTTTCTAGAATTTCCTGGGCATAGTTGTAACTTGTAACCCATTTGAAAATCAGGGTCGCCTCTTTGCCTTTTAAATTCCATATATCACAACAAAGAGGAAAGACATAGGGTCATTTCATTTTATGGTGGACATGTTGAATTTCTTTTTTTGTTTGTTGATGTTGTTGTTCCTCTTTATTTTCCCAGAAATGTTTTACAGAATATGGAATTTAAAATATCAAAGAGGTGACCCTGATTTTTTGTTGTTGTTGTTGTTGTTTTTGTAACGGAAATGTTTTACAGAACTGACTTTACAATGAACTGTTTAACTCATTTGGATTGAACTTGTAGGTGAACACATTGACTACTGTGGCTATGCTGTGTTGCCAATGGCAATTGAACAGGATGTTGTCTTTGCCACCAGACCTAATGACTCCGCGGAAAGATTACCATGTCCAACACAAACCCCAAATACCCGTAAGTATATACATTGTGATATCCCTCCTACAGTGGTGAGCGTCAAAGAGCTGTATTACTTTCCCTCCCACATCAAGAAGACTTGATATATGTGAAATATTGTTCAAACTGGCATTATGCTACACCAGAGGCGGATGTTGCACATATATCACAAAGTCCTGAGGTTAGGAAATGCTCCTCAGGGAAATTCTTTTCGAGGATGGGGTGGTCACCTTGTGTTGGCTTTCACCTCAAAATATACTCAAACAATTTCTTTTTAATCTCCTTTGATATTCTCTTGGAAGAAGTAGTTAGTGCAGTTATACCTGTTTTGTTAATGGTAAAGGGATCCTAAGGGCTATAAGAAATTCAAACATCTTGTGGTGTATTGTTTTATGTTATCTGGGCTAGTAGACGCTCTAGGTTAATTTCCTTCCCTGGTATGGGAACACTAGCAGCTTTTCTCAGAGCTAAGCTTCTCTACTGTGTCTTCATCTCCAATACAGTGATTTTGAGACGGATATTGAGAGCTTCACCATCAGCAGCTCTGACCCGCAGTGGTACAATTATGCACTGTGTGGCATCAAGGGGGTGATGGAGCACATGGGTAGCAAGGGGCGTGGCTTCACCTGTATGGTGGAGGGGACGGTGCCACAGAGTGCAGGTTTGTCCAGTTCCAGCTCTCTAGTCTGCTGCGCTGCCCTCACCATGATGCATGCAAATGGCTGGACAATGTCCAAGGTGAGTGTCTTCCGAAACAGTTAAAGCAGGGTATTATTTAGAATTCCAAAACAGTTATAGCAAGGTGTTATCTAGGATTCCAAAACAGTTATAGCAGGATGTTATCTATTATTCCAAAACAGTTATAGCAGGATGTTATCTAGAATTCCAAAACAGTTATGGCAGGGTGTTATCTTGGACTCAAAAACAGTTATAGCAGGGTGTTGTCTAGGATTCCAAAACAGTTATAGCAGGATGTTATCTAGAATTCCAAAACAGTTATAGCAGGGTGTTATCTAGGATTCCAAAACAGTTATAGCAGGGTGTTGTCTAGGATTCCAAAACAGTTATAGCAGGGTGTTATCTAGGATTCCAAAACAGTTATAGCAGGGTGCTATCTAGGATTCCAAAACAGTTATAGCAGGGTGCTTTCTAGGATTCCAAAACAGTTATAATAGGGTGTTATCTAGGATTCCAAAACAGTTATAGCAGGGTGCTTTCTAGGATTCCAAAACAGTTATAATAGGGTGTTATCTAGGATTCCAAAACAGTTATAGCAGAATGTTATCTAGGACTCAAAAACAGTTATAGCAGGGTGCTTTCTAGGATTCCAAAACAGTTATAATAGGGTGTTATCTAGGATTCCAAAACAGTTATAGCAGGGTGTTATCTAGGATTCCAAAACAGTTATAGCAGGATGTTATGTTGGACTTCAAAACAGTTATGGCAGGGTGCTTTCTAGGATTCCAAAACAGTTATAATAGGGTGTTATCTAGGGATTCCAAAACAGTTATAGCAGGGTGTTATCTAGGATTCCAAAACAGTTATAGCAGTATGTTATCTTGGACTCCAAAACAGTTATAGCAGGGTGCTTTCTAGGATTCCAAAACAGTTATAATAGGGTGTTATCTAGGATTCCAAAACAGTTATAGCAGGATGTTATCTTGGACTCAAAAACAGTTATAGTAGGGTGCTATCTAGGATTCCAAAACAGTTATAATAGGGTGTTATCTAGGATTCCAAAACAGTTATAGTTTCTTCAAACTTAAAATCTTTACAATCATTTGCTGCTGACATGGAGCCAAATGTAGACTGAAATGTAATTCCAGCAGATTTACTTTTTACTGGTATCTTCATACTGGATGCTGGGGGCCAGCTGTCAGCCTCTGAGTTGGTCCACAAAAATCCCAAATGTTTTTGTACATGCTGAATTAGTATTAATCATTGTACTGACAACTTGTTGTATCAGTGAGAGGCAATCCGGTAGTGAAATAGAGGAATTTATTGTTTGATAGGCTCCGATGGTTGATTACATGGGAGAATTCTGAGATTTACAGATTATGTTCATATGTTTTCTGACTTGTTTTGTTAACCCTAACTATACCATGTGTGTTGAAGTTGTCAAACATGTACATGCTCCACCGATGATGTTTTGTCCCTCACAAGTCTTCATTACAGCTCCACTGAATAGAGCTGTTGTTACACATCTGACCACCAGTTGGGATTCTCATTATAAAATAAATCCCCAGCTCACAATGCTGGTCATGTGAGTGGTCAGGCTGCTGGGTTGATGGTATGACATTACATCCCAATTGCTTGGACCAATGCTTATGATGTCATTCAATAGATTTTCAGGTCCAAATTTATTTACAGAGCATCATTGTATCGCAGAATATTCCTGAGTTTGTATCTCTGAGTATTCCTGAGCGTTAAACATAAATTCCGGACACGAAACGTTTTATTAAAGAATAAAAGAAGATGAAGTCCTGAAAATTCTTTATGTTCATCAAATAGCATCTTCTAAAATGCCAATCAAGCATTCATTCCTGAGTGTTGCTTTAAACAACAAATAAGCCTTTGCCCTGACACTGAATTTGTTCACAGAAAGAGATTGCCGATGTGTGTTCGCACTGTGAACACTACATTGGTACGGAGGGGGTTGGGATGGACCAAGCCATCTGCTTCATGGCACAGAGGGGAACAGTGAGTATATGAGGAATAGGAACGCTGTACATGCATTCAGGCATCCTTTTAATCAAGGGAATGAGTGGTACTTTTATATTTCCTTCAGTACTCATCACATTTTTATACACACAATATATAAAGTCAGGAGGTGGTACACACTGATTTGTTAGTTCTTACTTGTTTCTTTCAAGAACTGAATTTGTGGAACATCTTTCGCTCTTTCTTTGAAATAAACCCTTACTGAGAAACATTAAATGAAATACATACACTATATAGCCTTTTTGTGTAAGAATATTCAATATAACAAAGTTTAATGATTTCTTTCATCATTTCAGGCTAAGTTGATAGAGTTCAACCCCTTGAGGTCAATGGATGTAGAGCTACCAGAGGGAGCTGCCTTCGTCATCAGTAACAGCTGTGTAGAGGCCAACAAGGCCGCAACATCCCACTTCAATATCCGGGTAGTGGAGTGCAGACTTGCAACACAGGTGACTGACATGACTTGCACAATAGTAATTTCTTGATTATATCACTTATACAATAAGTTGTCCCTGTGAAGGACTGGTTTCCTTGTACCATCTGTGTTCTAGACATGTGTGTTTGGAGCATAGAAGTACAATGTACACATGGACTTAGTACAGTCCTGGGACAAGGCTACTGGTTTTACTACAGTGGAGTCTGTTTACATGACATAGGTGGAACAGATTTAAGACTGGATTAGACATCAGTCTAGTCTAATTCCAACTAAGAGTTATGTCCCTTGGTATCTTCATTATGGAAGATGTGTGTACATCGGCAGTAATACCTCAGTTATACACCTTGGAGAAAGGCCAGCACGAAAATATACATATTAACTGATGGAAATTACTTCAAGAAATTACTGTCATCACAGTTTGACCAGACCTGTCACATTCTTACATGCCTTATTTGGCATATCTTGTTATATATTTCACAGAAAGCATGAGATGACATGAAAAGTACATCAAAAGTAACTTTCTCAATAAATATCCAATTTAACATTTGTTCAGATCTACATTAGTTAAATAATCCTGCACGACAAAATAAAAGAAGAACTACGATGTCTTTTCAGTTGATTTAAGGTACAGGTAATACAAAGAGAAAAAATGTTAAAAGCATATTAACTGTAAGTTATTTTACTTTTCCAAAACTAAAGTCAGATCATGAACCATAAGATAAGCCAATTAGTTTGTTATATATTGATATTTGGCTGGCCACTTGTAGGTGATGGCCAAAGCGAGGGGGTTGGAGTGGCGGGGTCTGAAACGTCTGGGGGACCTGCAGCAGCAGCTGGGTCTGGGGCAGAAGGACATGCTGGGGGTGGTGGAGGACGTCCTTCACCAGGAGCCCTACTCGAAGGATGAGGTGTGTCAGATTCTCGGAGTCACTGCTGATGAACTTGCCAGCACCACGCTCAGCGCCAATACTCTCACAAGTTAGTACACTGAAGGTGTTAGGGGTTCCTGGTGTGGACTTGATAGTATTCCATTCACATGTTTGTGTTTCTAACTGAATCAGTTTCATTAGGTCACTGAATGTGGAAATACCTCCTTCCAAGATTAATTTGAATTAAATATTACTCATTAACAGAATCAAATGATACAATATTCAGTGGATTAAAATAATTTTGACTTGGGCCAAAATTGTACCTTTTATTGAGAAATGACTTTAAGTGAATTCATTTCAGTGTGTTCCTCGTGCCTGATATTTGATACATGACTGATAATTGATACGTATTTGGCTCTGATATTTGATGTACAGCCTTAAATTTTGATGCAGGACTCCAATATTTGAAGTTAGGCCCAGTTTTTTACAAGATGCCCATACTCTGGAACAATTATCTAAGTGTACAGTACACAACACCATTTCAATACTTTACAGGACGACTGCCTCCGTAGTGTAGTGGTTAGAAGTTAGGCCCAGTCCGCCCATAGTGGAACAGTCTAAGTGTACAGGTTCGGATCCCGACCGGATAGCTGAAGGTCGTCATACCAAAAAGATGTTAAAATATGGTACTTGTTGGTCCCTGTCTGGCTTTCGCATTAATGGGTACAACAAGGGACTGGTCGGCTCGAGTCAGTATATAATGTGTCTGAGTGGGGTATTCATGCTTCACTGCGGCATGGTATCTCAGTGGGCTAGCACTATAAAACCAGCTTAAGTCTGGCTAGTACAAGCAGCCGCGACATACACATACACACGCATGCACGCTCGCCATATGAGCCGAAATATATTCTCAAGCACAACGTTAAACCCAATTTCACCTCATCTCACCTTTACAGGACCCTCCTATTACCAGCAATGACCCATAAAACTTAGTGATGAGGGTCTACTGGACCCTCATTTGTGTAAGTCAAGGTAAAACCCTGAGGTCCTGATATTTAATGTATGACAGATGGTTAATATACAAACAATATTTAATGTATGGCTTTGATGCTTGATGTATTGCTATACTGTTTATGTATAACTTGTGTACGACAATGATTTTTGATGACTGATTAATTTGTTTTTCAACAGCTCAAAGCTTTAAGCTGTACCAGCGTGCTAGTCATGTATACAGTGAAGCTAATCGTGTGTGGCAGTTCAAGGCTGTGTGTGATGACAAGCCGACCAATGGCATGGAGCGTCTTGGGGAGCTGATGAGTGCGAGTCACGCTAGTTGTCGAGACCTGTACGAATGCAGTCATCCAGACCTGGACAGTCTAGTCGACATCTGCATGTATGTACAGCAATATGTTCAACTCAAGTTTATAATAACCTGTAATTGATACTGAACACAAACAGGTTTCCCTGGCCAGAATAGGTCCCGGTGCCTCACTATTTGTGTGAGTAAAGAGGATTGAGTGTGCCCCAACAGTGCAGATAGCTGCACCTGTGTAAAGACTTGTGTATTTATGGAACACTGTTATATATTTGGGTTCAAAAAACATTCAGTCACTCTCAACTTTTCTACAGACCATGAGCATGGGCTATCCATACTCTTAGAATTACCACACGGAATGTGTAATTAAATATTGTAGGATGTGCTACACAGTTTGTAGTGTCTAAGACTTATTCCGTGTTCATATACATATTTTGTTGTTACTTCTTTTTGTACCCCGCCGCAACGCAGAACAGGGGACTATATATTCAGCAGCGTCCAGTACAAAGATATGTACGTCCCGATTGTTGTTAACACGATATCTCATGAACTGTTGTACCCAATGTCTTCAAATTTGGTGACAGCCTACATTGGGGGATCATGTGGACACCAGTCAACTTGTGTAACCTTGACCTTATTTTCAAGGTCGCCATGACACTTTGACAACTTTTCAAACTCTTGTTAACGCGATATCTCTTGCACAGTTCTACCCAATGTTTTCAAATTTGATGACAGCCTACATTGGGGGATTACTGACACACCAGTTGATTTGGAGTGACCTTGACCTTATCTTTAAGGTCACCATGACACTTGGATCACACAAAAGGTGATCTTCTATGTGACCAAATGATATAAACTAGTAAATATGTTATATTTCATTCTTCTTTGGCATCAGGGCACATTGCCATGTTAGTCTTGCTTTACATTTCAATGTATATGGTTTTCAATACCTGTGTCAACTAGATAGGTCACAATGATGTGCATTATAACACATGGACAGGGCTACAGATAAGGGGCGTACAGGTGTAATGTATGCTTCAAAATCAATGAAGTACGACATAAAATAAGATTTCAAGCGTATCATGTACGCACATAAATACCTTTGTACGTCTAACATTTAATTTCCATGCGTATTGTGCAAATGGAAATCAATTTCGGATAAATACTTGTTGTCAAGAGTTTCTTTAGCTTAAACGCTAGTTGACACATAAGGGAACCCCGGCAGTAGGAATCCCTTGCGTTGCCATGCAACAATATGCATCACTATTTTTCGATTGGCTAAAAACTACACTGTTCCTATTTATGTCCAGTCGGACCTGACATTTCGCGCATCACACGGTTGCTCAGTTATTTCTCACTCTTCTTCAAATACAAATACATGGTTGGAAATAGTGATCAATGAATCGTCCAGACAAACCACATCACCAACTCGCTCACACAAAAACATGTCAGTACTCCTTCAAAATTCTCAGTACACCTCCACTTGCAATATGATGGGTAAGTTCATGGAGTAAGTGTAAATAGTTTCAGTCAGAAAGTATATTTAGTATAGTATAGCTAATTTGTATATGTAACTAAACCATAGTTGAAATTGGTAAGGTCAAGGTCACTCAGTTGGAAGAACATGTTTCTGAACCAAAGTGAAGTCATTATCCTGATTTGAGAATCCACTGTATGATAATATACCTATCTGTTACATTTGTATGGTGTATTCCAGGAAGGCTGGCGCACTAGGGTCCCGTCTGACCGGAGCTGGCTGGGGTGGGTGTGCTGTGTCCGTGGTACCAGCAGACCAAGTCAAGCCATTCCTAGCCAGAGTGAAAGAAGAATACTATGATGGTACCTCACGCCAATCTCAAGTGGCATCGTCATTGTTTGGTACCCAGCCTGGTGGCGGTGCTGCGATATACACAGACTGAAAGACATCACAAAACGTCAACAAGTGCCTTGTACTTCTCTTTGAATGGCCACATTCTTCCCCTGAGCTGTTACTACAGGTCATGCCAAAATGTGAAATTATGTGTCCGTTTGTATGGTTAATATCATGTTCGTCAAGAGTTAACTGACCCTTTAAGTCCAGTTTCCACACGTCTTGGCATTACAGAGTTATATTTCAGCTGGACTGACGAGTCTATTCACAGTCCAATCAAAATTGTGTAATGACATCAACATCTGGGTCACAAAAGACATTATTACTGCAGTGAAGATTTGGAGAGTATGTGTACCGTCAACTAAGCATCATCAGATATTTTCAAAACCTTTCAATGTTTTTTATCAAGGTGCTCAAACGACTTGATTCACTTCACGAGATAAGGCCTGTTGTATTACCATAAAGATCTTGATTATCGATTGGATTGTCTTGACTCTGTTCCACCATTTTATTTGAGGCAAATGCAAGTGATATGAAAGGTGGAATCTGATTGGTCAAAAGTAGGGGCATATGAAGGTCGTAACCCATATTAGCCACTGGTGGCACTATGATCAAGACACAAAAATTACACCCAATTTGGGAAAGATTGTAAACTGGAATTCTACAGTCAAATGACTCTCCTGCCTCTGGAGGATTGGTTAATATTTAGAACAAAGGCTATATTATTTGAATACTAGTGTAGATCTGCAGAGCTGAAATTATCTGCTCTTCTTTGTAACACATTATTCAGATGTGATGTGAAATAAGATTTGTGACAAGCTGGGCAGAATGTGGTCCTGTGTTAGACCCCATTGTAGACTAGCTGTGAGGGAAGATGTATTCAGAAGGCAATTTACCTTTATAGTATTGATGTAGTTGTATGTTAGTAGGATCACAGTGATGATGAAGTATTTGTTGTGTTGTAGCTAGTGTCTGACTGTAATTGTATGTTTAATGTGGTAGTGAATCTGCCTATCTTACTGTGTACTGCTTTCTAGGAAGAGTAGAATATAATACTGTTGTCAGTGATACCTAAATTGGTATCACTTTTGGAATTCATGAGTTAAGAACACACTGAATAAATAATGTCTTGAGATTGGGATATCAGCACTCGGTTCTTCCACCAGTGATTTTATATTTTACTTAATACTGTTCTTCATATTATACATTCCAACAGTGTTTTTATAAACAAACATTTGTACCTCACTAATACTGAAACAAACCACTAGATTATTGTTGGTGGTGGGGGAGCTTAAAAACTAAATCCCACTCACTCACTCAGTCACTATTGTTGGTGGTGGGGGAGCTTAAAAACTAAAACTTACTCACTCACTATTGTTGGTGGTGGGTAGCTTAAAAATTAAAACTCACTCACTCAGTCCCTAATCTAGTTTTTTTTTTTATTAATGGAGAATATTTGTAATATAATGTGGTAGCATGAAACGATGCTTCAGTCCATCCATTAACCAAGTCCTGATGAAGTGTTTCAGTGTTTGGCTTGGTGTTTCAAGCATGCATACAAGGTTGATGACACAATGTTGCATTTTCATTTATATCTTGGCAGCTGTTGCATTGTCAGAACACACTCAGAATTATCAAAGCATTTATTAGTTTTCATTCTTTTTTCATGCACACAAAAACACATGTCACAGTTAAAGCATTAAAGTTTGAGGTAAATACAGCAAGCATCTTTTGTTTTTTAACAATATGTTTTACTTGTATACAGACCTTTCATGATCTCTGTACACTGTTTCTAAATAAAGCGATTTCTAAAATGTATCTGATTACACTTACAGCTTGTGTTATTATATGTAGGCAATTTGTTATATCATTACACTTACACCATATGTCGGCAATTTGAGCAGCCATCCTAAGTGAACTGAATTGACATTGGCGTGAAGGCATACTGTTTGTAATTACAGAACTTTGGTTACAAACATGAACACCTTCTTGCCTTTGACTGCAAATCAGAAAAAAATAATCTTGACATGAAGGTATCACTCCTTAGGCCTTCTTTGATTATTTTGGATTCCATTTCTTGTTTTGAAAAGATTTCTTGAGAATGTTGCTGTAACATAACATAACCTTGAAGCGACAGATAATGAGATGGTCAGTTGCCCCTGTCAAGTACAGAGTTTCTTTGAGAGGCATTTTAGAAGTTGTGAAGATGAAGGAAAACTGATTTGTATGGATAGTCAACTTCTTTATTGCAATGAGTGCTGACGTTTAGGTGTAGGTACTAACACCGTTATCAAGCAAGTTGCTTGATAACGGTGTTAGTACCTACACCGAAACATACAAATCAGTTTTCCTTCAAGTACAGAGTTGTACGACAGAGTGTCCCCCTCATGTCTGATGGGTTGTACATCCATTCATTTGAGTTTTACCAAAAGTGGAAAACGTCTAAGAGTAGCATCACTTGAGGTCTTTCATTAACCGAGGGCTTCTGCAAATGATAATGCTCTGAAAAATAGCGTTACCGTTATTATAGCTAAAATATATAGAATTTTTAATAAAATAAAAACAAACAACGGTATCGGTTTTGAAGCATTTTTTGCTGACAACAAACGACGGAGGTCACTGACCCACTTTTTACAAACATGGAAACGTCATAGAACAAAACAGATGACGTCACAATTGAGCGTGACGACATTCGACCTTGACCTTTGCCCATACTACCAGCCGCCATGTTTTTCAGTGCTCAACAACGTTAGAGTTCCAGTGGATGTTTTCATTGTTGCATGTTGTAATTTATGGTTCAATTGTTAAGGTTGGCACCGGCAAGAAAGTGCATAATGGCACAGGTACATGTTAGTCAGAAATAGCGTCCATATTGAACCCAAGTTCAAACGAGCCGTAGGTGATTGAACATCAAGAGCTGAAATCCTTATGAAGTCACCTAACAACAGGCGTGATATCTGGCCGGCCGTCATGCAAATTTGGAGGCATTATTAAATTACAGTTAGTGCTACACTAACGAAAAGGATAAAAGTATTGTTCATTTTCTTTTCCATGCTTTGTTATCCAAGTTATATCTTGCTTGAAGCTGCACGAACATACAGCATATCAATTGACAGCCATTCAGACACTTCATTATTTCAGATATTACAGGAACCTCTAACAAGTGCTGGCAGACATAAATAATACTGCCCCTAGTGTTTTGTGAAGCAGCAAACAAAAGGTTGATATCTGGAGCATCACCTTAAATGCCAGATGGATAGAAAGATACATTCATACAGAAAGACCGATGAGTGAAGTATCTTTGCTGAACCATTTGGCCAAACTGACTTGTTTTCTAGTTTAGGGGACTAGTTCATGTTCAAAATGTAATATACATGTATACCTTATCTGATGACTTAACATAGTGGTGACTTTCAAAATTTGCGCTATCATGCCTTTGCAAGTAAATGAATATTACAGTCTTTTTTGTTTCTTTAATACATAAGTGAACAATACAGCCTTAGGTAGAGTGGCGGCTTGCATAAGCACAATTTTGGTAAGCTTTCAGAATCTTTCAATTCTGACTATAGTTTGTTTGGGTCAAAATGATACCAATGAATCACAACGCAGAATGTGATGAAAACATCAGACGAACTCTGCAACAATGTTTCATAACGTTTGTCTACAAAATAAAAAAGTTACTTAACAAACTGACATCATTTTGATTTCATTTTCCGAGTGAAGTTGTACGAGGGTATAAAGTAACAGAAATCAGTTTCAGGAACAGCTTCAAGGGCGGGAAGCAGGTACAATTGTGACGTCTAATCAATCATAGCCAATCGAAAGGACGCACCTCAGCAAGTAGCCTCCCCGCTATTTACAGGAAGCCCCATTGAATTAAAGTCTTTCGACCTTAATCTAGCCAGCCCCTTCTTCAAGACAGTCCCCGCAGACACCATCGAATAGAGATGAAAGGGAAAACGACTTAGAAAGCTCGCTATTTTAACCTTCAGTTCCGAACGACATCGAATGACCCTCGCTCCAATGCCTAAGCTTAGTCAAGGATGTGTCCAGCAACTTAGAAGCAGAACACAACGAAAACCACTGGAATTTGGGAGGGACACACTTCCCTGAAGTAATTTCCCCGAAGTGTAGAGGTCTGTAAGCGTGAGTGATTATCACCTCTGCATCGGAGTACAAGACTGTGCCTCAAAGTCTAAGATGAAGCCACACCCTGTGGCCGTACTGCAAAGCCATAGTGTGGAACCAGGTGAGGTAGATCTAACCCCATAAAGTAGAACAAAGGAAGAAGTAGGATTCAGACTTCATTCCGTATGTACAAGGAAGCAGAGAACAAGTCCATTCTAAATCTGCGTCGATGGGCCGAGGACAGCTGCTGCAGTGTGAGCCCCAAAGGACCAAACTGGTGAAGACCCTCGACGTCGATGACACAAAGGTCTTGTATGTAGTGCAGTGAAAAGACTGTATCAGACCTCCAGAAACAACCCTCCATGATCGATACCAAGGAACAGTTGCTATGCAATGTCATGGTAGAAGCCAACGGTCTAGTCTCGTTATAGTTATAGGCAGTTGGGGATGTAGACCGGAGCGAGTGTAGGTCTGAAGAATCGTCGAACGCATCCAGGACAGGGTAGATAGGGAAACTTCAGCTCTGCAGGCTGTAGAGAGTGGGATGAACAGTCGCTTATGCAGTCTTCTACGATCTTGTGAAGCAGCGAGGTAGATTCTAAGCGCTCTCACAAGACAAAGCGCCAAATATTTAGTGTCAACTGGCTCAAGGGACCCGTGAAGGTCCGGGTTAGAATTGATCTTCAGTAACCCATGCTAGCTTGTTGTAAGAGGCGACTAACGGGATCGGGTGCTCTGGCTCGCTGACTTGGTTGACACATGTCATCGTATCCCAATTGCCTAGATCGATGTTCATGCTGTTAACTCCAGGATTATCTGGTCCAGACTCGATTATTTACAGACCGCCACCATAATAGCTGGAATATTGCTGAGTACGGCGTAAAACTAAACTCACTCACTCACTCTTCCAGAGAGGTCTATCTTGTTACAGACCTAAATATTGCAAGAACAGTACATATCTCATAGTGCGTGTGTCTTCTTATGGGCCAGGGATAAGAGAACATCTTTCTCTGTTGAAGTTCAGAGCAAAAATGAGACAATTTAATGCATAAATATTTTTCCTTATCCTGACTCATGCTATTTTGCTTGTCTTCTTCTCCTTGCGAACGTTAGTGGAACACTTGAATCCCCTTTTTGAAGCTCCCTTCAAAAAAGCAGACGTAAAATCACTACTCACCAAGAGTTATGCCCCTTCCCCAGTCCGGCGGGAAACGGCGCCACCCGTCTCCCAGCTCCTCACTCTCTCCTTCTTCGCCCTAGTGGACGGTTCCCTCTAAATAAGCTGTATAAGGTTTCAGGAAGTATCCTTCTACAATATGCTTTGAAATTTATTATCAAATTTGACTGTTTATTCACGTTTTTACGTGATTGTTCAGTTTGTTTACATTTCATGAAAACCTGTTTTCGTTGCTGGTTAGGTTCTCTGCTGCAGACCCGCATTTATTGTGTCCTAGCTGCACAACAACATGTACTTCTAGCTCTCGCTGTAATATTTGTCAGCATTTATCTGAAATTGAATTTAATAACTATCAATTTTCTCTGCTTAGACGTGCTAAGGAAATTGTTTACAAGTGACAACAACCTTTCAACGTGGGAGGAAGGCTTCAATTACAGTCCAGTTAGCAGGGAACAGCGTGATTCGACTGTCTTCACAGGGTTTAGAGACCTTCCCTGTCAGCATTGAAGACTGTTCATCCGGCGAATTGCAGCAACATACGTTTGACGGATTTTTGCTTGCGGCAGCCAGTCTACTTTATATAGACTTCACAACGATGGCAGTCCCAGATTCGGACGTTGCTTCGCTTCCCTTACGGACATGGCAAGGGTTCCACGGTCTACTTACAACGTAGAACATGAGCAGATTCTGGGAAGATGTTTCATCTCACCACAGAATTACATGGTCGTCTCAGAGGATCGTTGGATCTAGATACAAGCCATTGTATCTCAAGCACTACTCTCTCCGTTATCACTACGAAGTTGGCAGAGCCTACTCAGTCCTCTCACGTCAGCACAAGACATGACTTGCAGAGGGAGACTACATCTATGCCACTCCAAGTCTTCGTGAATGGCCATCTGGACGATTCGGACTTCCGGACGGACAAAAACCATATCTACTATGGTGGACTCTGAGATCGAATGTTTGCGGAGGGACCTACTTAGCAGAGCCGGAGTGCAACTTTCATCTCTACGTAGATGCATCCCTTCAGGGATGGGGAGCGCACCTCGACAACGAAGTGTCAGCTGGGAAATGGACGTTACAGGAAGAAAGTCTGCACATCAACATGCTAGAGATGAAAGCAGTAATAAACGCCATACTCCACTGGACCAGCATTCTAAGAAATGCTTATCTGATGATCCATACGGACAACTCCACAGTGGCGTTCTACATAAACAAACAAGGATCAACAAGGTCGGCGAACCTTCTTGACCTCTGCTTTCATCTGTTCAGCATATTGGACAATCTGAACATCTACACAAAAGCATGCCACATTCCTGGAGCAAAGAATGTGATAGCAGACGCCCTATCTCGTCCAACACAACCATTCCCCAAAAGAATGGATGCTACAACCAGAGGTCTTCAAACAGACCATACAACTGATAGGAGCTCCGCTCATAGACTTGTTCACCACAAGATTCAACAATCAACTGGCAACATTCGTCTCTCCAATACCAGATCCACGAGCATGGGCAACAGATGCTCTAAGCATCTCTTGGGAAGGACTAAACGCTTACGCGTTCCCGCCTCCAGCTCTAATACAGCAAGTGTTGCAGAAAATCAAGCAGACGAGGAACCTGCAACTGATTTTGTTTGCACCTTATTGGCCAGCGAGAATGTGGTTTCCCATTCTCATACAAGAACTAGGACCTCCTCAACTGCAACTACCAGAGTGGACGAACTTGCTAGTACATCCACACACCAAGCAAGCACACGGGAACCCCACAGCGTTCCACCTACACGCATGGACCGTATCAAGGCTTGCTTGACTAAGAGAGGATACTCCGCCAGGGCAGCGAAAGCGGTCACGCTAGCTCTACGCAGATCAACCCGCAACTTGTATGACAAGTGGCAAAGCTTTGAGAACTATGCCTTGAGGAAAGGTTTCACAGCCATGAAAGCGACACACCCTCAAGTGGCGGACTACCTTTGTCATCTAAGACAAACAAAGCGGTTAAAAGGTTCAACACTCTCAACATACCTAGCGGCTTTGAGCTCAGTTATCACCATGAGGATGGGTGTAAAACTGACTAAGGTATCAGAGATACTGGCCTTACTACGGTCCTTCAAGTTGGAGGACAACCAACAGAGATTTAAAGCTCCGGCTTGGGACCTCAATATAGTTCTACAGCATCTCACTAGTGACGCTTATGAACCATTAGATAGGACATCTTATGAGTTCTTGACACAGAAAACTCTATTTCTGATTGCCTTGGCAACAGCAGCACGGATGTCGGAAATACATGCTCTGGACTTTGAACGGACCACGATTTGATGCGCACTGCAACATCGTATTAATCTGGGACTAAGATGGGACTTTATAGCAAAAGAATCAACTGCCAGGTCAACCGGACAGACAGTTCCACATCCCAGCCTTATCATCAGTCCTTGCGCCTCAGGATACACAGGACCTATCCTTGTGCCCAGTAAGAGCATTAAAAGTCTACCTACAAAGGTCTAGGACCAGGAGACGAAAATTCAAGCGCCTTTTCATCCCTATATCGGCAGAGACACCTACGGAGATCTCTCGCACAACGATATCAATATAAATGAGAGCTGTCATCCTAAGGGCCTATAAAGCAGCAGGACTTGATCCTCCACGAGCCTCCAATCCACACATGAAGTTAGAGCTCTGGCATCAACACTTTCGCTCTACATGGAAACTGCTCCATCACCACGATAATGGAGGGCTGCTTCTGGAAATCAGACATAGTGTTTGCCAACCACTACCTGAGAGACATCACCACCGAGGACGTCACCGGCATTCACCAGTTTGGGCCTCTTGTTGTAGCACAACTGACGGTTCCACAAAGGCACTGAGACAGAGTCTCGCCCTTTTATCACGTGACTTGCAAAAGCCAACACTCTGGGGAGTTAGAGCTTTAGAGTCCATGCCATCGCCTAAGACAGACCAGCATGAGTGATAGACCCTGTACTTGTAAGGACGCTCTCAGCACATAAGAAGGGTCGCTTTCTCCACTTGATGCAAGCATCAAGAGATGGAGTTGCACAAATCCACACATAATGTTAGCAGAAGAAAGGACCAAAAGCTGACAAGTTGTGGTCTCCCCATCAGAGAAAGCTGGAAGATAAGGTCAGCAGCAGCAGAACCTAGCAGTTAATTAGCAGTGCTACCATGAAGTTCCCATAGGGGTATGCAGGACGTAAATCACCAAGCTTGGAATCCAGAAGTGGCCTGACCACCACCAAATCCGTCGGATTCTGTAAAACAAAATACAGGATATGGAAAATATGTAATTTTCTGAATAAAATTGATATTTTATACTTATCCTGACTCATGAGGTCAGCCCTCCCAACCTCCCCTCAAGGCACTTTGGATTTCCCAGCAAATCTAAGTGTCGGGCTTGATATACGGAGAGAGTGAGGAGCTGGGAGACGGGTGGCGCCGTTTCCCGCCAGACTGGGGAAGGGGCATAACTCTTGGTGAGTAGTGATTTTACGTCTGCTTTTTTGAAGGGAGCTTCAAAAAGGGGATTCAAGTGTTCCACTAACGTTCGCAAGGAGAAGAAGACAAGCAAAATAGCATGAATCAGGATAAGTATAAAATATAAATTTTATTCAGAAAATTACATTATTCATACTTTCAGGTTTACCCACTCTACATAAATTCAATGTGAACGCAAAGTAAATTTTCTATATATTACACACGTATGTAATAGACAGAATCAACTGTAAGCATATTTACACACGTGCAAATTTACTTACATGTGCAATTTTGTGCATGTGAATGGGCTAAAAAGTAAGTCCTCTTAACAGACAATATTATATGGCGTTCTGGCATTCTCGGATATATGCAGTAACCTGAACATATGTAACTTGAAAGGCGATGTGGTAGCCTTTGCTGATGCTCAACTGAATTTACTTCACTTGCGAACGCATTAGACAGATTCAAAAATCACATTTCCCGCGTTTCAAACAAGACATCACACGACTTGAATCACATGATATAAAGATGGGGGTCACCCATTTTGCTCTGGAGAGGGAAGGATGGGGGGGTCATTGATTTTGTACATGACATGCAGCGGGGTCACTTACTTTGTACATAAATTTTAGGGGCAGCATTCACATTGTACATGCTTCATATATTTCAATGATTTGATCAAACTTATTTTCTTTTGTTTTTAAAACATACTAAATATTCTTGGTATTGGCAAACAGGAATTCATCAAACATTGATATTGTCATGTTTTTCATATAATCCTGTCTCCTAAACAAAACAAAACAACCCCTGCTGAACATGTCAAGAGATAAGTGGATTATCCTGTCTTTGTCTTAAGACATAATTTCTTTGAAATTGGTGGTAGTGCTCTTTTCCGGGGCAGAACTCGAAAACCGTTCAATGTTTCTTCACCAAACTTGGCAGGTACATACATCTGGTGGTGTTCTGGTGCCTTTTGGTAGTTTGGGAATTCTGAATGAAACATTTTTGGCATTTCCATGGCAACAAGTTTGACTTATACTAAAATTGGTGGTTGTGCTCTTCAGAACTGTTCACTATTTCTTCACCAAACTTGGCACATAGATTGGTCTAGTGGTGTACTGGTGCCTTTTGGTAGTTTTGGTATTCTGAATTAAATATTTCTTGGCGTTTCCACCATGGCAACAAGTTTGACTTATACTGAAATTGGTGGTTGTGCTCTTTTCCGTAGCAGAACTCTAAAACCGTTCACTATTTCTTCACCAAACTTGGCACATACATTGGTCTGGTGGTGTACTGGTTGTTTTGGATTTCTGAATAGAATATCTTTGCATTTCCATGCCGACAAGTTTGACTAAGACTGAAACTGGTGGAAGTGCTCCTTTCTAGAGCAGAACTTTAAAAACCTTTCAATACTCTCCTTCCACTTTTCTATATACACACCAAAACATTTGACATAATCATAACTCGTAGACATATTCATGAAAAGTATTTTGCCATTGCGGGGGATATTGATGACTTTGTCTTCTTGTCATATATATCTTGGCAGCTATTGTATTATCACAACACACTCAGAATACTCAGAAGCATTTATTGTTTTCATTCTTTTTGCATGTACACAAAACCATATATCACAGTTAGGGACCGTTCATAATTTATGGCTAGGGGGTGATGATGATTTTAATGGGGGTGGGGGTTCCACCCATTTCGTTCTGTCGAGCTAGGGAGGGTCATCAATTTTGTACACATGTACTAGGGGAGTCAGCAATTTTGTACATGAAAATATGTTTAAAATTATGCTTAGAATAGAAATTATGGGAAGGGGAGGGGGGGGATTTCATTGATTTTGTACATGACATGCAGGGGGGTCACTTATTTTGTACATATATTTTAGGGGGGTCATTCACTTTGTACATGCTTCTCCATAAAAATCATCATCACCCCCCCTAGCCATAAATTATGAACGGTCCCTTAAAGCATTGAAGTTTGAGCTAAATACAGCAAGCATTTCTGTTTTCTGAACAATATGTTTAACTTGTATACAGACCTTTCATGATCTCTGTACACTGTTTCTAAATATAGGGATTTATAAAATGTAAGTTTCTTTCATGATTCAGTTGACAGCTTGTGTTATTGTTACGTAAAACAAGTACCAGTAGAAAATAACAGAATGTGGCATTAGTATTTGATTACACTTACTGTAAATGTCAGGCTAGTATAAATGCTTCAAATGAGCTAAACAGCCTGCAGGCTATTGCTTTATCATGTCATTGTAAACACCTGTTATTTGAGCAGCTGTCTTTAAGTGAACTGACAATGGAGTTCGTAATAACAGAACTTTGGTTACAAACATGAACACCTTCTTGCCTTTGACTGCAAATCAGAAAAAATAATCTTGACATGAAGGAATCACTCCTGAGGCCTTCTTTGATTATTTTTGGATTCCATTTCTTGTTTTGAAAAGATTTCTTCAGAATGTTGCTATATCATAACCTTGAAGTGACAGGTAATGAGATGGTCAGTTTCCCACGACTGTCCAGAGTTGGTGACAGAGTGTGTCGATCTCAGAATCATGTCTGTCGGGTTGTACATCCATGGGTGTTGCTAGAAGTGTTGCTGATGCGGCTGTTATTCCTTCTCCTCCACACTGTCATCATAACTGATGCTGCTGTCATCAGACAACTCGGGCGTGTCCCTGTCTGTCGTCAGTAGCGGGGTCATACGATCTCTGTCCTGCATTAACAATTAATCATAAGTTATAATCTCAAAGTATAGGATTTTAAAGCAACATGTGACAGTTCACCATTACAGATCATAAGTGACTTAGTCATCCAAGGTGCAGCGATAAGCATGGGCAACATGATACAACTTATCGTAGGTTGGAATCCTTGTCTTTCTATAGGTCTGTCACCACCCTGATATGTTTCTAGGTCTCTCACCACCATACCCTTGTCTCACCCTGATATGTTTCTATAGGTCTGTCACCACCATACCCTTGTCTCACCCTGATATGTTTCTATAGGTCTGTCACCACCATACCCTTGTCTCACCCTGATATGTTTCTAGGTCTGTCACCACCATACCCTTGTCCCTTATGTTTCTTCTGTCTCACCCTGATATGTTTCTAGGTCTGTCACCACCATACCCTTGTCTCACCCTGATATGTTTCTAGGTCTGTCACCACCATACCCTTGTCTCACCCTGATATGTTTCTAGGTCTCTCACCACCATACCCTTGTCTCACCCTGATATGTTTCTAGGTCTGTCACCACCATACCCTTGTCTCACCCTGATATGTTTCTAGGTCTGTCACCACCATACCCTTGTCTCACCCTGATATGTTTCTATAGGTCTGTCACCACCATACCCTTGTCTCACCCTGATATGTTTCTAGGTCTCTCACCACCATACCCTTGTCTCACCCTGATATGTTTCTAGGTCTCTCACCACCATACCCTTGTCTCACCCTGATATGTTTCTAGGTCTCTCACCACCATACCCTTGTCTCACCCTGATATGTTTCTAGGTCTGTCACCACCATACCCTTGTCTCACCCTGATATGTTTCTAGGTCTGTCACCACCATACCCTTGTCTCACCCTGATATGTTTCTAGGTCTCTCACCACCATACCCTTGTCTCACCCTGATATGTTTCTATAGGTCTCTCACCACCATACCCTTGTCTCACCCTGATATGTTTCTATAGGTCTGTCACCACCATACCCTTGTCTCACCCTGATATGTTTCTAGGTCTGTCACCACCATACCCTTGTCTCACCCTGATATGTTTCTAGGTCTGTCACCACCATACCCTTGTCTCACCCTGATATGTTTCTATAGGTCTCTCACCACCATACCCTTGTCTCACCCTGATATGTTTCTAGGTCTGTCACCACCATACCCTTGTCTCACCCTGATATGTTTCTATAGGTCTGTCACCACCATACCCTTGTCTCACCCTGATATGTGTTTAGGTCTGTCTCACCACCATACCCTTGTCTCACCCTGATATGTTTCTAGGTCTGTCACCACCATACCCTTGTCTCACCCTGATATGTTTCTAGGTCTGTCACCACCATACCCTTGTCTCACCCTGATATGTTTCTAGGTCTCTCACCACCATACCCTTGTCTCACCCTGATATGTTTCTAGGTCTCTCACCACCATACCCTTGTCTCACCCTGATGTTTCTATAGGTCTGTCACCACCATACCCTTGTCTCACCCTGATATGTTTCTATAGGTCTGTCACCACCATACCCTTGTCTCACCCTGATATGTTTCTATAGGTCTGTCACCACCATACCCTTGTATGGGTTGAACTAAAGTAGTAAAAGTCTGAGACATGCATCTCTTCATGCTTTTCTCCCAACATTATATAACTGCAAAACTGCTTAAGCAGTGTTAAACCCACCTCACTCTAATATTAGGGCCAAAAGGTACAATGTGTGAAGCCCATTTCTGGTGTCCCTTGCTGTGATATTGATGGAAGATTGCTAAAAGTGGAGTAAAACCATACTCACTCACTCACATATTAGGGGTGTAATGACTGATCAAACTATTGATTATGCATGCACCTGTCCAAGATGACAACATACAGCATCAATCGATGACATGCTCCACTAACGAAATTGAAAAACATACTGTTCATTTTTTTTCCCATATGTTGTTATCCAAGTCATACTTTGCCCGAAGCTGCATGATGACAGCCATTCAGAAACTTCATTAATTCAGATATTACAGGAATCTCTAACAGTGCTGGCAGACATATATCATACTGCTGTTGGTGTTATCTGGAACCTCTAACGGTGCTGGCAGACATATATCACTGCTGTTGGTGTTATCTGGAAGCTCTAACAGTGCTGGCAGACATATATCATACTGCTGTTGGTGTTATCTGGAACCTCTAACGGTGCTGGCAGACATATATCACTGCTGTTGGTGTTATCTGGAACCTCTAACAGTGCTGGCAGACATATATCATACTGCTGTTGGTGTTATCTGGAACCTCTAACAGTGCTGGCAGACATATATCATACTGCTGTTGGTGTTATCTGGAAGCTCTAACAGTGCTGGCAGACATATATCATACTGCTGTTGGTGTTATCTGGAAGCTCTAACAGTGCTGGCAGACATATATCATACTGCTGTTGGTGTTATCTGGAAGCTCTAACAGTGCTGGCAGACATATATCATACTGCTGTTGGTGTTATCTGGAAGCTCTAACAGTGCTGGCAGACATATATCATAGGAAGCTCTAACAGTGCTGGCAGACATATATCATACTGCTGTTGGTGTTATCTGGAACCTCTAACGGTGCTGGCAGACATATATCACTGCTGTTGGTGTTATCTGGAACCTCTAACAGTGCTGGCAGACATATATCATACTGCTGTTGGTGTTATCTGGAACCTCTAACAGTGCTGGCAGACATATATCATACTGCTGTTGGTGTTATCTGGAGCAGCAAACACAAGGTTGATATCTGGAGCATCACCTCATGCCAGATGGATAGAAAGATATCCTTTGTCAACCATTTGGACTTGTTTTTTTAGTTCTGTGACTACGAACAGACATTGTGGTCAGTGTGGCCTCTTTTCACCATCATACCTTAAGTTCCATGATTCTTTCACTGAGAATCTTCAGGTCCAGAGGATTCCGTGTAAACAGCAACTCCTTCTGTAGGGCGTCAATCTCACGATTCATGTCTCGCTTCTTCCTCTCAAGCTCATTGATCTCATTGTTTGTCTCTTCACAAATTCTGCAACAAATAATTATGTAAATCCTACCTTATCCAGACATGTGATCGAGGCATGACAATAAGAGACTGAACAGACTTATCTTTGCTAACAAAGGCATAACAGAACATCCAAAGATTCCTGATGACAGGATATTGTGCTGATAGTAAATGTGCATCATCATGAGCCTTTGGAAGTAAATGTAAATCAAATAGTCTTTTTTGTTTTGATTACATATGTAAACCTTAAATAAAATGGCAGCTTGCATAAGCACAATTGTGGTAAGCTTTCAGTAATCTTTCAATTCTGATTAAATAAGTTCAAGACCAATCTGTTCCAAAAATATTTTTAAACATGTTGGTCAGTATGAGTGTGTGGGAATTGGATTGTTCAAGGTCAGGTCTCACCTTTGGTATTCCTTGTTGAGGGCGTCAGACAATGCCAGGGTGTTGTGGATCAACTGTTGGTACGTCTGGCCTGCTGGAGTCAACAGGTCAAGGTCATACTACTCCAGAATGATGGTTGCATAGCTGTATCTTACTTTAGTGATTTCTATCTAATTTTTGTACTTTTTTCACAAGAAAATGTCACATCAACCCAGTGTGCATTGTATTTCAACTCAAGGACTGATTTACTTAGTGTATACATTATATAAAACAAACTGGTGGGATTATGTATTGGAAGATGACAGGTTTTGGAAATTTTAACTATAAATTGTATATTCATATACTTATCCTATCTCACGACTTGCACCTCTCTCTCTTCATTCGACCATGAGTGGAAACGAATTAAAACTTTGCTCCAGGCCTACCTTGTCCCTCTCCCGTGCTGTGCGTGCCTTCCTGTCTCAGTCGTGCTCACTAGTCCATGACAGCACGAGGCATGCGAGTCCTCACCCACGTGATCACCTCACATACTCATTCTCGATCTTGGAGCCATTAAAGGACAAAACCGAAACCGTGGTAATCTATGTAGTGGGGAGGTAGGGAGGGACTTTATCGCGTGAGATAGGATAAGTTTAAAAATTTGGAAATTTTAACTATAAATTGTATATTTATATACTTATCCTATCTCACGACTTGCACTTATCCCACGGTAGGAAGGTGGGTCATAGATTACCCGAAAGTTCAAGCGATAACAGCTCAGCGTTATGCCCAAACAACCGTAGGAAGCAACTACAAGGTAGGACAATAACTACCAAGTTACTACGTGCAAGGGTTAGTGCGAACCCCTTGACCTACTAAGCACAATTGCTCCCAGGGACCGAGATTCCCGAGCAATGTGGTGTTCAGTCACTACCTTCACAAAGTGAAAGGACGTAGCTTAGCGAGTGTTATCAGTCGCATCGCCACGATTTCCAAGGTACCCCCGTAATAAAAGTCGAACGCCTAGTATCGGGCCAGCCCCTGCTTCGAAACAACCCCCACAGACACCGTCACGAGGAGGGTGAAAGGGTAATTGAATCGGTAAAAACTCACAATTTTAACGTTCAGTACCACAACATCATCTTATGACTTCCACTACTTACCACAGTAAGATCACATAGATGTGTATAGGCACTTAGGAGCACGAACGCTACGAAGTGTAACACTTTGGGAAGGACTCACTTCACTGACTTAATTACTCCGTGGAGCAGAGGACAGTAAGTGAGGTGGCGACTCTCTGTAGTCTCAAACAAATGAGAGGAGAAATCTAAATCCCGGAAGAAACAAAGACGTCAACCAGAAAATTTTGTTTTCAGATTTATTCAGATTGTACACAAGCAGAAAACGATTGCGACTTGGGATCAACTGCACAGTGGGATCCATATAGCATCGTAGCCGAAGGAAATTCATTAACTGCTGGGCAAAGACGAGTGGTCCAAACTGATGAAGGCCTTGAATATCCGTCACCGACACATCTCTGAGGTAATGAGACAAAAATACCGTGTCAGATCGCCAAAAACAGCCCTCCATTATGGCGGTTAACGAGCAGTTGCTATGCAACGCCATAGTAGAAGCCAATGCCCTGGTTTCATGAGGGTTGACTGCCGTAGGTGGTGGCAAACCGGCAAAAGTGTAGGCTCGTAGTATTGTAGCTCGTAGCCAGTATGAGAGTGTTGTGCGAGAAACTTCCGCCTTGGAAGCAGTAGACAAAGGTATAAACAGTCTCTTACGCAGACGGCGGCGCTCTTGCGATGCTTTAAGGTAAATGCGAAGTGCTCTGACTGGACAAAGAGACAGAATTCGACATCTGCTGGACCCAATATGGTAGACAAAGGCGGGATTGTAAAAAGACGATCAGGTTGACCCGGCGACTGTTTTTTTGCGAGAAAATCCCAGCGCAATCCCAAAAATACCTTGCCATGTCTACTCCGTTCAAAACGGACACGGTTGACATCTAGAGCATGCAGTTCTGATATACGTGCCGCTGTGGCCAAGGCAATAAGAAAAAAGGTCTTGAACGAAACCTGTTCAAATTCCTTGTCCTGTAAGGGTTCGTAATGCTCGGACACTAAGTGGCGCAGGACCACAGATAAGTCCCAAGCTGGTGGACGAAATTTCCTGGATTGGTCGGCTAGCTTAAAAGAACGAAGCAAGTACTGCAGTTCGGGATGTCGAAAACCCGTTATCAGAAGTCGTGGCTAGGACCCGAATTAAGAGCCGCCAAGTAGGTGGCTAAAGTGGAACCCTTGAGTTTCCTTGTAGCCCGCAAATGTTGTAAATATTCCGCAACAACCTGGGGCGAAGCAGTAGTAGGGGAAGCGATCCCTCTGACCCGACAATAACATTCAAATTTCTTCCAGTTATCGTCATACAAAGAACGTGTGGATGTACGATGAGCTGCAGTGATAGCTGAGGCCACTCTGTGAGAATAACCTTTGGCTATTAGTGATTTCTGCAAATATACCATACGTGAAGATTGAACGTCTGTGGTGACTCGTGATACATGCCTGAGTGCGGGATGAACTAGTAGGTCGTCCCGCACGGGAAGAGGAATGCTGCTTCGACTGACTAGGCTTTTTAGGCCGACCAACCAACTTCTCGCCGGCCAAAATGGCGCTACCAAAAGCAGTTGTACTTTGTTGGTTAACAGAACTTTCTGAATGACCTTGTGAAGTAGAGCCGGAGGCGGAAACGCATAAGCGTTGAGACCTTCCCAGGGAATGGCCAAGGCGTCGTGATCCCACGCTAGTGGATCTGGAATTGGAGACACGAATCTCGGCAGTTGGTAGTTGAACCGAGTGGCAAACAGGTCGACACTCGGTCGAGAGAGCGGGTAAATTATCGTCCGAAAAATCTTGGGCAGGAGTTGCCACTCTGTGGGCGACGGGCGACTGGAACGAGACAGAGCGTCGGCAATCACGTTCTTTGTTCCGGGAATGTGCCTGGCTCTTGCGACAATGTTAAGAGAATCTATCAGAAGATAGAATCGAAACGTCCACTGTAGGAGTGCTGCCGACCCCGTCGACCCTAGGTGATTGATGTACCACACTACCGTCGAGTTGTCGGACTGTATCAGCAGATGAGACCTCTTGAGTAGAACCGCCCAGTGCTGAATTGCCAGTAATACTGCCTTGAACTCCAGAATGTTTATGTGGAGTGACTTGTCATCGGACGACCACCGCCCTGCCACTTGATGTTGAAGGAAGTGGGCGCCCCAACCTTCTAGAGAAGCGTCCACAAACAACTGATGGGTTGGACTGAAGGGCACCAAAGAGACGCCGGCGCAGACATTCTGTACGTTGAGCCACCAACGCAGAATTGGACGTAGATCCCTGGGTAACCGAATCAACTCCTCAGGGTTGTTGGTTTGAAGATGAGGTCGCAGAAACACCTGAAGCGGACGAAGCTGCAGCTGACCTCTGTAAGTCAGAGCCTGACCTGACTTTAAGATTCCCAGCAACTCCTGCCACTGGCGTAGAGTTCTGGGGTGATCCAAGGATAGTGGTACCAGACGCTGAATTTTGGTCCACCTGTCCTGGGGAACAAACAACCTGGCTTGTTCTGTATCGAAAACTGCTCCTATGAACTGAAGTCTGCGAGTCGGTGTTAACTCCGACTTCTCGTAATTGAGGAGCCACCCTAACTGTTTGAGCAGCCTGATGGTGAACTCCCGATTGATTTGAAGAACGATTGGATCCTGATGTGCTTGAATACAATCGTCGATATAGCTTTCGAAGGTTACTCCCCAAGAATGCAGGAAACGTGCTGATGGGTTTGGTCACCCGAGGCGAGATGTCGAACCTCAGATACTTCCGATGATCTGGGTGAATCGGAAGGTGGAGGTATGCGTCTTGAAGATCGAGGGATATGAGGAAATCCCCTTTCTTCAAAATTGAGCGGAGAAGACTGACTGATATCATTCGAAAATGATGGGTTGTTGTAGGAATCGAACGTTGAATGTCTTCATATTGAAGATGAGACGCAACTTGCTGGAATTTTTCTTTGGCACCAGAAAAATCAGGGAGTAAAACCCTGGAGTTATGCTCACCGGATTGAGGTGTTCTATCGTATGTTTCTCCAGGAGAGTTGAGATTGTAGCCGAAAGGACTGCAGCCCGATCCAGAAGATATATTTGCTGCAAAGGTTGAATGGTGAGTGGGGGATCCCCGACCACAGGCAGTCGATAGCCGTGAATGAGAGTCATTGTGACAAATGGATCTCCCAGAAACTCCCAGTTGGGAGCAAACAGACCTAACCTCCCTCCTACAGGGGAATCGAACACTGGAACCACCGGATCCGGCAGAACCAATCCGAGCTCTGACTTCCGTGAGTCACTGTTTGGACTGTCTATGTCCAGTTCCAGTGTCGGTCGATAGAGGCGACGTGATGCGGAACCACGAAATGGCTTCTGGCCTCTGCCACGCGATGCTTGAGAAGGCCGTGCCTTTCATACAGTCCCGGAGGTCTGAGTTGGAACGGGTAAATTATGCGTTCGGTGATGCCGCATAGAATCTTGGAGCTGAATTTTTGCAATTCCAAGAGATCGACAGATACTTGAAATTGGTTAAGGCGGTCCACCTTGGATGCGACTTCTGCAATAGCCCCACTGAACACCGTATCCCCGACCATGGTTGACGAAATAATTCAGCCTTGAATCTATCTTCCCATGAGGAGAAATTCAACGGACCCGTCGCCGTATTGCAAGTAAATAGCCCAAAAATGAGACAATTGCTCGAAGACCACCTGGAATTGGTCTAAAATCAGAGTCATACTACCCCTGATGTATCCCTGGTCCGTATATTCATGATTGACAGCCTCCCACAGCGTCAACAGCTGAAATAATGCAGCTAATGGCCTCCGCCATAGCATGGCGAACCGCTGAAATGAGCCAATTCCCTGTCTTCCACCAGACACGCAGTGAAATGGAACGCTTGCCACAGACCATGGAAATGTCATCATCGACTGAAGGTGCGCTGACCAAAGCTTCACACCATGAGTATGTGCCGTTAATGGTCAGAACCTTGGAGCAGACAAACCATCCTTCGGTCCTTCTCAGCTTGTTGAAAGCCATCAAGAAGAGAAGAAGGCAATTGTTGAAGACATGGACGCAAAGGGAGTGTGATACTGGAAACATCTCTATTAGTCATGGCATAAGACGTGGCCAAATCATCTGGAGATTTACTAAGAGGTAGCTGAAGATTTTCAACTATCCAGGCTAGCACGTGAGCCGGTTCAACAACATCAAAACTGCCATCAGGAGTGGAGATGTCTGACTGCCCAGGTGAAGGGAAAGTAGTCTGAGATCGAGTCCGATCCCTCAAATCCACAGAACGATTAGTGCTAAGTACGCCAGACGATTGTTGAACATGTGAGGACGAGCGACGACACTGATTCCAAGCCCGACATAGCGGCACGAAGCATGGTATCTAAATCCGGCTGGAGAGGAATCAATAGCAGGATTCCAAGACTCAGCAATAATCTGTGACCGCGGCAAAGTAGAAGTGGAATGGCGTGAAGGTGAACGCTGATCCACTGAAGCGGAACGCTGCCTAGCAGGTGAAACCACCCTCACAGAACGGCGTTGCTGATGTGTACTATCATGTAAAGGCACTGACCGTAAGACGTCACTAGCACTAGGCTGGCTAGAGGGGATATTCTGATTCACCTGAGGTGAATGAGACCGACTTCTATTATCCCTCTGACGCAAAGACACCAAGCGGTTAGGTGAACCGGATGGAAATGGCGAACCACTTCGACTAGGTGAGACTGAACGACTACGGGAATCAAAATGCTGTGTTGAGTCGAATGGAAGCACATGTTGAGGTGAGTTGAGTCGGGAATGTGAATCAGATCAATCTGGTGACCCTATTTGATTCGAAACAGTTCGGCCAGAGGAACCCATTCGACTCGTGAATCCAGTTCGATCAGCTGAGCTCATTCGGCATCTGGTGAGCCCGGCTTGGTTAGTGTGAGCGGCCATGGTTCGGCAGGGCCGTTCGTGAGCCGGTTCGGCAGGGTGAGTCGGCTCGGCAGGGTGAGCCGGCTCGGGGAAAGTGAACTGATTCGTCCTGGTGAACCCATTCGATTACATGAATCAATTGGAACTGGTATGTTAGAAGGCCGACAAGAGCTCGAGCGTGAACGAGACCTAGAACGACTCCTCCCAGCCATGGAAGAACGATTGAACCTTCACGCAGATGGTGACTCAACTCGTGTGGTTGAATTGTTCCGGTGCGATGAAACCGTGGAAATAGGAAGAGCGGGTACGTTCCAACCGCGCGCCCGATCCCGCTTCGACGATGAATGCTTAGAAGTTCTCGAAGTCTGTGATCGTTCGAAGAAACAGACCTCTCGAGATAATGTAGATCGCAGGTCTGGCGTGAAGAAATATCGGTCATTACCACCCTGAATGCGCTCATGAGAACTTAAACTGGGTGAGGAAGCTCCCTAAAAGCCTTCTAACGTTCTCAGATAAATAGGAGTCCGACGAAAGCGTCCATAAAATCTTCATCCAGGAGAGCGAGTGGGCGATTTAGAGCGGTGAGCAGTGAGGGTGGGGCGATCTAAGCATTGTTTCTTAGCGGAGATGAACCAGACCCCGCCAGAATTAGTCCTAGCCCTATCTGCCAAAGCGTCTGGCACAAGCACGCGTTTGTAAGATTTAAACGCCTCATTAGACAGACCTGAACACTTAGGACAGCGTGTGTCCCAGTCACAAAAACCCACACAATCAACACACGATGTGTGTGGGTCCCATGCTGAAAATACTTTATTACAACGGGCACAAAACTTCCGTTTACTGGCCTGAACAGGCTTAACCATTTTGAGCAATTCTCAGACGAAAAAATTTTCACGTCCACTCAGTGGAGCGACAAGAAAGAGAATGAGTATGTGAGGTGATCACGTGGGTGAGGACTGCGCATGCCTCGTGCTGTCATGGACTAGTGAGCACGACTGAGACAGGAAGGCACGCACAGCACGGGAGAGGGACAAGGTAGGCCTGGAGCAAAGTTTTAATTCGTTTCCACTCATGGTCGAATGAAGAGAGAGAGGTGCAAGTCGTGAGATAGGATAAGTTTAAAAATTTACTCTTATTAACATGTAATGCATATTAAGCTAGGGCATATATCATGCTGCTTATGCCAGCATTATCCTAGTATGGCTGTGTGACAAAAGCCCAAAGTGATGCAGGTCTCACTGCAGTGAAATCCAAGAAGCATATCTGGGCTGAACCGTGATTGAACCAAGAGACTTGGTTAAACACAGCACAAACTGACAACAGAGGCATCCATAACCCCCTTTCAGAGATGTCTTTGATGTTCATGAACAGTTCCAATTGAGTATTCCTGTATATTCTTAAACTATTCCTGAATATAAACACTGAAGTATTGGTTCATCTCCCTATAGCAGTTGTAAAATAATTTAATCCCTGTAATCAATGTTAATTTCGTGTTTTTTTGTTCAAAGCCATCTTTTTAAGCTTTTGTCTGGATTGTACAGTACAAAATCAATGTACCAGCATAAAATGGAGCAGAAAAGCATGGTGGCTGTGACAGCTCCACAATTCACACAACCAAATTGTTCAGATGCAGTAAATATTAATCATTGTGAAAGGATATGGCACTTGGGATATCTCTGTCCTTCGGACCTTTCTGCCAGCCTGCTTGTAGTGCCGCAGTTGTCTCATGTGAAGATAGTGAGAGATGAGGGGACTTCGACCCTTCGTGTTGAACTTAACCCTCTCATACTCGCGCCCTGGGCCAATCTGATGAGACTGTGGAAGAAGAGGAGGCATTTGTTGTCTAAATCTTCAGACGATGTTTGGGAGAAATGATCTAATGAGAGATGTGGTTAACATTATTAAAACTCTGTGACGGTTGCTTACAGATCCACAGCATCAGGGAAAAACACACAATGTTGTTCATTGTAACCACCTGATCCTCTTTTTGGTCAGCCCCCTAAGCCAATGGTTCCATTATACAGTCTAAATAGGATTGGGTGGTCACAATGTCAGACATGCTGCATCACTTTCTTCCCAGTGGATCTTTGCTTCTGTTATCAACAACTCCATTGTTTACAGGCTGTCAATGACACTACTTGGAATTTTGCACGCTGAGACATAAAAACAAAATGCTCATTCCATCATGTGTTAGATCTAACTATGAGCATGGGATTCTTAATTCATCCCCACATAACTTAACATTGATTCAGGTGCTGTATATAGCATGTGAGGTCTCTGTAGAAAACACATCTTCAAAATAATCTACTCACTTCTTTTGGAGGAGATTTATGAACGTGTGGAATCCTGGACTGGGAACTTGAAGGTAGTGTGGTCTGTGTGGTGGTATTGGTCACCTTGGTCAGTTCCTTTGACATGCCCAGTGGCGTGCCCGACGACACGCCTGACTCCTGCCCCATCTTGTCCATCACCTTGTTGAAGGACTCCATGTCGAGGGACAGAGCAACTGTAAAGATAATACATATTCATGAACAGTTGATGACATTTTGTTTGATTCAGATCAAATACACCACAGAGTATCTGTCCGTAGCAGCATTTGCCATATTGACAATCTCAAAATTATTGGACAAAACCCTCTTGTGTAACTATGGAAATGTTTGGTGTCCTTGTTTCTATTCTTCTAATCTTGGAGGATCTCAAAACTAAACCAAAATTTGGCACTATCAAATGACCTTTGTTTCCCAATACTGTGACTATATTTATACCGAACAGGCTTATAACAAACTGATGAAAATAATGAACCTGGGTTTTATTTTATCTAACCATTTGCTTTATATTTTAGTTGAAATGGGTATAATGAACTAGAATTGGTGGTCCCTTTGAGTTCGTTACAACTGTAGTTCTCTGTCTGTTCTGGATGTCTGGGCCCGTGAAGATCCGGGGTAGAATTGGTGGTCCCTTAGAGTTTGTTACAACTGTAGTTCTCTATCTGTTCTGGATGTCTGATGGGTGAGAAGACTTGACTTGAGGTCAAAATGTCTTTGAAAGGAACCCCTCTGCTTTCCAATACCTTCATAAAAGATATGTATTTGTGATTATTGAGGATGACAACTGACCTTCTTTGTTGAGTGCTGCAGCCTGCATCATCTGCTTGGCTGCAACTGATGCCTCATCTCCGGCTAATTTAGGCTTTAACCGTTCATCATCCCATTGCTTCCAGGTGCCGGGGACAGGCTTCAGACCTGGAACAGTATCAAGGATGAACTGATGCCATGTCACACCACTGTCAGCTCAACTGTACGTGGATACATCATATCATGATCATAGTCACATCGTGGTCACATTATCTCCACCTGTCCAACCTGTGTTACCCTGGTAATGGAGCATCTCTCACATTGTTCAGCCACTGGGGATACAGTATATCAGCTTTATACATGGTTCTGTACAAAATCTTCTAAACACATGTCTACTGGCCAACCAGGGATGCAGACTCACCCCCTGTTTGACCCTTGTAATTCCACACAAATGGCAGTGAAAGGTCCACAATAAACCCGGTACAGTTGTAATACCCCCAACACACATGTCAACAATAGTTTGTATCCAAGCTACACCAGCAACACAGTCGTCTTAAAGTACATATACATTTTTTTTTAAACTAACTTTTTACAAATTATTCACTAAACTGTGCACAATAAAAGGCAAACATCTGTTCAATCATGCAGTGAGAAGCTGATTACTTGTATGAGTTTCACACACTCACAATATTACCCATTGTTATAGGGTAGCACCATCTTCGAGGAAGATAGAGACTTGATGTCCATATTACCTGCAGTTGGGTTGCTAACTGACTTTACTATCATGATATTGCCCACAAAGGTGATGCACTTTATGCTATGAACTGAGGCATAAAGTATCCCAATTATAACTTGTGTTACATTTGACACTCTCAGTAAAGTGTAATCCCAAACATAACTTGTGTTACATTTTACCACTTTCTAAATAGCCTTCAGACATGAGAGCCATGCCAATTTACACTTATCAGAAGGGTACTCAAATTCCATGGTCTAGACTACCAGTTGTCTGACTTCCATTTTGTGGAAGCCACGGTGGCTGAGTTGGTTGGGTGGGTGATTTTGTGTGCCTGACTCTGAGGGTGTGGGTTTGAGTCTTGGATGGGACTCAACCCATCAAAAAGTACTAGAATCTGAACTTTACTGAGAAAGTGTAATCTCAAATATAACTTGTGTTACATCTTTACTTTGGGTTCACTGAATGCTAATTATGAGTAACCCACATGTTGTAAGTGTGAAAATGTTTAAAACAAATAAAATGCTGTCTGCTACCATTGGTTTCCAAAACCATTTAGTAAATGAAACTAATTTTACTTTCAAGTCATAAATGCTACTTACCAGTGACCCACTCATGTATGAGATAGACAAGCTCCTGCTTGAACTGGTCATCAAACTTGGTTTCTGATTCCGGAAATGCCTCCATGTATGTAGAGTAAATAGACTGAGCCAAACAATCTGGGTACTCCTACAGCAGAGGACACGTCATGTGTGTGATACTTGAAAATAAAACTCAGAATACTGATAATTTAAATACAAAGATTTTATAACTCTTTTCAAGTTAATTTTGAAGGAAAATGTTTATATTAATAAAATAATTGTATTTTGTTTGTACAAGACCTCCAAACGTCTCTTGCCATACCTTGAAAGTCCACAAAATTCATATGACATAAGGGGCTGTGGGTAGCCTAGTGGTTAAAGCGTTTGCTTGTCACACCGAAGACCCAGGTTTGATTCCCTACATGGGTACAATGTGTGAAGCCCATTTCTGGTGTCCCCTGCCATAATACTGCTGGAATATTACTAAAAGCGGTGTAAAACTAACAAACTCATTCAAATGACATTATGTCTAAAAAGCAAGAAACTTCAGATGCTAAATTCTTAGCTTTACTGAAACAAGCTGACTATGCTACTCACAGACATGAACTTGTCTTTGACGTCTTTGTGGATACTGGCAAATAATGCCACAAAGCTGTCAGCAATTCTGTCAAACAGTCGGTTCTTGTCCTTCTTGAAACCTCTCTAAATTGAAGCAAAACAGACATACATTCAAATTTAAGAAACGGACAATGGCTCTATCTTTCTTTCACACATGACATTCTAGAAAAAGATGAGGCTGCAAGGTCACAGAGAGTACATTCCTTACAGTGAGCTACTTGTATTGGTTGTTGAACTGCCAAAACTGGATCCATTCTCTCTCTCGCCCGTTTTTCTTTCCTCTCTCTCTATTGCTGGAATATTGCTAAAAGCTGCATAAAACTCACTCACCTCTCACTCACTCACACACTCACTTCTGAATATAAAGTGTTCAAATTGAAGTTGAGAGAAAGTGCTGAGGTCTATTCAGAATATAAAATATCATAAGTAATGCATTCAGCCCAACGAGTAACATACACCAAATTCCTTGTCCAAAGTTTAAACAGAAATGGCTGGGTTATGGAATCCATTTTCAGCTTTCACTATGGTCCAAAGGCAGCAAGGTCATTACATTTTGAAAGAAAGGGCTAAGTTATGTCCATTAGAAGTTCGGTATGGTTGGAACATAAACTTCAAATTATGTAAATATTTGAACATTACTGCAACAATAGGAACATGTATTGTGACTCCCACCTCAAACTACATGTGTATCAATTTCATTCCATTTTGAACAAGTCGTTTATGACTTGATGGACAAACAGGCCATGACATAAGATTCATCTCTTGATTTTAAGTCAGGTGAGCAAAACATGTAGGCCGATATCATCACCTAGATTTCAACTGCTGCCATGCAAGGCTGTCAGAATAAATGCATTATTACAAATGCAGATATGAAATACAATCAAAAAGAATTCTAATCATTCCTGTCTTAGATAGAAACTCAAAACCTTCTGATTGTGTAAAAACTGACATAACTGCTCTGCTCCAGGCAAGTGTGGAATCATTTGAAAACTGTTCAATTTTTAAGGAATATATTTGTGCAGTTGATTTGTCTGCTGTAGAGACAGAACTGTGATACAGAAATGTCACAAAATGGGACTAGGGTAAACATTGTTCCTCACCTCTTTGTTGAAGCGATCCAGGAACACCCACCAGAACGTGTCCTGCATCACTGCTACTGATGCCTCCGACAGGAACAGCTTCTTCCAGAACTTCTTGAATCCAGACTATAACATGAAACAAACGTCACTTGAACTAACTTCCCCAGCTTACAGAACATCCATCGATGAGCTTTAAACATACATCATGATATGTATATTGTGCTACAATAGTTGGGACCATAACTCTGTTAATGTGATATAATTTTTGTGTAACAAAGAAAAAGAGGAGTGGAGACCAATAAGAGACATTTGTCTCAGCATTAAACTTGATTTATTTGTTACGATACACTTAAAAATCTTGTGCACTTGGGGCACCGAACAGTCTTGTCCTCAACATTAGCCCATGAATTACTTGTGATTGCTCACATTGAAGTCCTGTGTCATTCCACTAGTGACTTGGTTGAGTAATGGTGGTCTCCATCAGAGAGTCCTCCTGCAGAGCTGTCCTGGTAAGTTCCACTAGTTCTCATCATGAGTACGGAATCCTGGAACAGGTGCAGTAGTCAGGCTTTTCTTCCCAACTGTGTCATGAGTCTCCATCAGAGAGTCCACAAAGTCCTGCAGATATGATGGAATGATCTGTTTAACTGTATCATAACCACAAGGTATCTCACAGAGTACCTCACCCCACATTCCCAACTGTGTCATCACAGAGTACTTCACCATCCCAACTGTGTCATGACCAGGCTACTGTCCTAACTGTGTCCCACCCCAACTGTGTCATCACAGAGTACTTCACCATCCCAACTGTGTCATCACAGAGTACTTCACCATCCCAACTGTGTCATGACCAGGCTACTGTCCCAACTGTGTCCCTTTCAAACTACTGTACAACATAGAGACAATGTGACTAGAAGCCAACTTTGAATGTAACTCACCATACTTTTATGTCCTCGAGCACTGCTGTGTGATTTGACTGCATCAGATTCAGACACCTCCGTCATAAATGCTGAAAAATAGAATGATAGATATTACCTTTCCTGACAAAACAAATCTTTTCAGGACTTAACCTGCAGTCATTAATTCTGTACATGTATCGGTACTCTTGTATGTTAAGTAAACAGAATAGAATCCAAAGATTATCTGGAGGGCAGGGATATGGTGCTGACAATCCTAGAATATATGGAGGGCAATCCTAGATTGGACCCACAATTTCCTGCATGCTCTGGGGACACTCTATGGCGCCTTGAGACTGTGTTCTACATGTGTTCAGTCTCCACTCTGATTATCATGTTACAAAATACCAAGCAGTTTAGTTTTCACAACTTACATGTGGTTTCTGGTGAAGAGTACTGAACTGTAATCTGAATGTAATTCTGATTGTACACATTCAAAGAAAATGTGTGATTGTTTTAGTTATACAGTCTTTTTCATTATCTTAAAAAGATACATACATGGTATGTAGGTGTTGTGTTGCTAATTTCTTTGTTTCACATTTTGATACTTTGTCCTCTGTATTCTAAAGTGTTCTTCTAAAAATATGTTTATGGGCATATGCAACGAAAACAGTAAATAAAGAAAAATGGTTCAACAAGAACATCTGGAAACGTATCATACTAGTATTTGATTATATAAACTGCAATTATCACATCATCATGCCCCCAATAATTCCATTTAACTAAAATAGTATGTCCATGACAATTAACAGAATGATTCAAAGGATTTCTCACTTCTGGAAGGAGAGTGGAACAGCCTGTCAGTCAGACGAGATTCCCGCTTGTTATCAGTGACGATACGCTCTGCAAAATATACCAGCTTCTCCTCGAGGCACATCAGCCTATCCTCCAGTTTCTCCAGCATGTGCAGACCCAGGGCTGGTGCCAAGTCAAGGGGAACGCAGTGTGCACACAACAACGTACATATAGTGTGAGTGGGTGTATTTTAAAGCTGCTTTGAACATCTAAACAAAAGTAATCTAGGATTCACAACCATGGTAAGCATATCCTGACACAGAAATGGGATACAACTCTTCACAGCAAGATGTAATGTGTTTTTACTTTGCGAAATGTGCTCTGACCTAGTTTTGTTGCATCAGATTCTCCTTCACCACAGAGACTTATACAGAAGACTAGTATTAAGTGGCATTTACCAAGAATTCTTACTTCTCAAACTGAGAGATTCCATATTTTTTGGGTAACAAATAGCATGTTCTATGATGGCATAGATGAAATTAAAACTTGATTCCCTGTAATACAGTGTTGCACGACTAAATACAGCAGTCTTCTGTCTGATCATGAAGCACTACCATCAATTTGAGTTAGTAAGGTCACCCAAGGCTTAAGACAGATATCGGGAATTTCTAAAAGTCAGGAATATTCATTATTTCAATTGATAAGACACTGCTAAGACTAAACTGACTGATCTTGTTACTTATTTTATCTAGTAATCAGAACTGAACATGATTCTTCATTAAGAATATTTCCATTTAATACTTTAAAATTTATTGTTCAAATCTTGAAATGTGATATGCTGCCATAAAAATTTGGAGTTGACGAACATGGGCCTGTATATAACCTATACGTTTCATGCAATGTGAAGAAGTACAGGTGACATGTGACCGACTTTCAGCTAACCATCATGATCACTGATTGTACAGCCCTGTAAGGTAATGCACTTCCTGAACTGTGGTCTACATTACACTCACAATCAATTGAGATGAAGCTTTGAGTAAACACACAAAGAATACCCCATCATGAGGCTGAAAAAGTGGTTCTTTTATATGAAACCATGAGAACTAGTTAACTGAACAGCTTAGCACTTGTTACAATCTTGTGGACAGAAAATATCTCTCAGCTCGAAAGAGTGAGTATGGTTTATGCCGCTTTTAGCAATATTCCAGGGCCTAGATTTTCGAAGCTCTCTTAGCGCTAAGATAGTCGTAAGTGCCATACATTAACATTAACTTACGACTATTTTAACGCTAAGAGAGCTTCGAAAATCTAGGCCCTGCAATATAATGACGGGGAACACCTGAAATGGGATTCACATAAGCTCAAAAGAAAACTGTTATATATATCTTGACATAGAATTTAAATAACATTCCCTTAAGCAACTAGGTGAGTGTGAATAATCATTGTATGAATAAAACTACAAGCTGTCATGACGATCTCAGAAATGAACCTTCAGTCTAGGTTGTTTTGAGTGAGTGAGTGAGTGTGGGTGCTGAGTTATGTCAGTTCTAACATGGCACATCAACTTAATGTGGGAGGATATAATGATGAAAGTCTCAGTGTTTTACCACTTGATTGTAACCCACAAGCAAGGGTATCAGCCTAAAAAAACCTAGAAACACAATCAGGGCAAACCAGGCATCGGAACCCATGATCACAGTGTCATGGCAACATGGCATGGATTATTGCGTTACCTTTAACAAATGGGCTGCCTGTGCCCCTTGCCAGTCTAGAGAAGCTGAAGAATCATCCATGTGCATGCGATGTCATTCAGACCTGTCATGCCTTGATGTGTACACATTATTCAAATTGGCCTCGTGAAGATCCAGGTTAGAATTGGTCTTCAGCAACTCTTGTCGGAAGAGGTGACTACTAGGATTGGGTGGTCAGGCTCGCTGACTTGGTTGACACATGTCATTGTATCCCAACTGTGTAGATCGATGCTCAAAACATTGATCACTGGATTGTCTGGTTCTGACTTGATTATATAACTGGAATACTGATGAGTGTGTTAAACAAAAAACAAATCATCATTCAAACTTGAAGAGAGTCAATGTAATAAACGCAATAATTTTCTTGTTCATAATTCTAAGTCTCAGTAAAACAACAGCCCACCAGTGGTAGACAAGGATACGAGCTGCCTCTCTCAGTATGTCAGAGATGTCCTCCTGGGATCCAAGGAGAGTTCCTTCTTTGTTGAAGTTCAAGGGTGGAAGTCCACTCACGGGGTGTGGCCAGTCACGCTTAAAAATAGGAAATCAAAGTATTTTTATAAAATGCATACATAATATGAAGAAACTGTATTTAACTCTTCTCCACAAATTTATCAGTCCACAAACGCCTTTGCGACCTCAAGCTCCTGAACTACTGTTATGAAAGTCAGGTATGTTTTATAGATCATCAGTTATACCTAGGAATTAAAATGTATACAAGGATTCCTTTTAGCCTTTTGCTCAACAGTGATTAGAGACTAGTCATAAATTTTAAAGGGTAGTTCGGAGGAGGAGCATCAGAGTGAATCAGGGGAGGGTTACCAAATACTATGACAGTCTCCAGGACAGGATCACAACCTATGATGCAAAACTGGATATTTCATAATAAAATAACAGGGACAAACACATGAGATGAAGCTTTGAGTAAACACACAAAGAATACCTCATCATGAGGCTGAAAAAGTGGTTCTTTTATATGAAACCACGAGAACTAGTAAACTCAACAGCTTAGCACTTGCTACAAATCTGTAGACAGAAAATATCTCTCAGCTCAAAAGAAAACCGTTACATATATCTTGACACAGAAGTTAAACATTATTCCCTTTAGCAACTAGGTGTCTGTGAATAATAATTGAAAAGTATGACAAGTATCAATGGAGGGTTGTTATTGCCAGTACAGTACTGTATCAAAACCTTCTGAACATTCCCATGGAATAAATGACTAGTCCCTTATATGGGTTGTAACACTTATCATTCACAGATACATTTCATTTTTTTACCAAGTTACGTAAACTTTGGCATCATAAAATTGAAACAATGTTATCCACAACATAAAACTGCTATGTAAACATACCCATCCCTCAGCCTGCAGGTATTCCTCCAGGTTAGTTGGGGGTTTATCTGCTTCTTCTCGATCAACAGGCGTCACTTGTCTCTCCTTCTCCTTGTTCTCCAGCTTGGCCATAATGGCTGCTATTTTGGGGTCCATCTTCTGTAAATGTTTACCGAGCTGCTCTTCTGTATGTCTATTAGGTTGCTGGAGTAAAATAGTATGTTTCAAAATTTTCATTTTTGTCTATTTGATTTACTTTTTCCATTCATGATTATTATAGAATATGCTGACCTCTAACAGTGAACTCCAAAGTCAAAGAAAAGCCCTGAATGCAGTAAACTGGTCAAGATGCATTTGGCTACTCTCAAATCTGTCGGAATTGAAGGGCCAACAAAAAATGAAATGTGGAAAAAAAACATTTATATTTTGTTTGAAACAAGCAAGTTCTTACTTTATATAACGATACATATATCTACACAACGTGTACACATTTGACAACAGACAGGGGAGCCTTTCCTTCGAAGGCACTATATTTTGATAGTTTATGGGAGCCTAAATCTATCAGATACATCGCTGATCTCAGATAATCTGATCCGTATTTTCACTGGTCAGTTGATATATCCTGTGCATTACCTTAATATCAATATGTTCACAATATCACATTGAATTATAACAATCGGCCCATGAATGTTGAAAACACGGTGCTTTTCGTTACTCTCATTCTGACAGTCGAGTTGCTAAGAACGCCATATATATACTTCCGGTGAAATTAGAGTTGCCTCCCCTAAGTTAAACGGGCGCATGGTCTGTATGACAGACTTGTCAGACTTGTGAATGTTATAAGAAAGCGATTGTTATGAGTTATAGACTGATATCCACATTCGCTTCGGCAAAGGCGTATAAAAAGTTGTTTATACGCCTTTGGATTCGGCAATATTGCATCATTCAAGTGGCAATGAAGTAATGAATTAAAACAAAATACGCAAAACAACCGGGCCCAGGTAGATATTTTGATATGTTTAAGAGTGCCGTAGATGCCGTCCACGTGCGTGCGTTCGTGTTTGTTTACATTCGAAGTCAAGTATTAATATAATAATCATTTAGAGGACCTTGAAATGGGCACTTCTGATTTTATCATCATAATTGAACGAATAAGCATCAGTCCATATAGTTATACCATCAGAAGGATAATGATATTTGATGTGGTTGCTGTTATGTAAATGAGTGAGTGAGTTTAGTTTTACGCCGCACTCAGCAATATTCCAGCTATATTGGGGCGGTCTGTAAATAATCGAGTGTGGACCAGACAATCCAGTGATCAACAGCATGAGCATCGGTCTGCGCAAGTGGGAACAGATGACATGTGTCAACCAGGCCAGCGAGCCTGACCACCCGATCCCGTTAGTCGCCTCTTACGACAAGCATGGGTTACTGAACGTACATTATAACCCGGACCTTCACGGGTTTATGTAAATGAAGTTGGCCACGCAGAAACAGTGACACAGTGGTACTTTTTTGTAGTCGTTTTTCGTTTTTAATTTTGAGTGAGTGAGTATGGTATTACACCGCTTTTAGCAATATTCTAGCAACATCGCCTCGGGGGACACCAGAAATGGGCTTCACATATTGAACCCATGTGAGGAATCAAGCCGGGGCTTCGGCGTGACGAGCGGACGCTTTAACCATTAGGCTACCCCGCCAGCCCTTTTCATTTTGAAGAGCCAATACACTACTATAACACATGTATCGTGTACACCACTATCGAATCATCAGTTGTTGTTTGTTTCACGTCTCACTCATTGTGAAAACTTTCATGTAGTGTGAATGCACACCAAACACTTCAGACTTTGTTTGAGCAAATGTTTGAAAATTTCCTGAAACGAGTTCTTTAGGTATCATCACGATTTGGAACATTGCTCACTTTTCATACCTGGAGGGTAGCCCAGTGGTTAAGGAGTTCGCTCGTCACGATAAAGACCCGGGTTCGATTCCCCACAGTGTCCTCTGCCCAACTTACTCACTCACTCACTCACTCACTCACTCACTCATACCTGGATATAATTGAAAACATCAACAACAGAGACCAACAAGTCTCTATTATCAGAGACAGATTGTTTCTCTTTCCTTGAAAACTTTCGTTGATTATCTGTAGAAACATATCCTGTTGGTTGTCAAAGGTTTGCTTGTTTGTTGTTCAACGCCGTCCTAAACTGTCTGTACATAATGGAATCTGAACCAGACAACCCAGTGATCAACAGCATGAACATCGACCAAGGAAAGTGGGACACGACGACAGGTGTCAACCAAGTCAGCGAGCTTGACCTACCGATGATCGATCCCGTTAGTCGCCGAAGACCAGTTGTGACCCGAATCTTCACGGGTCGGGTGTCAAACACGTGTTAAATGATCACGAAAATTCAGTTTTAAAAACAGATTTACGGTAAAGGTTTAGCAAGTCCTGCCCTACCGGTAGCAACAGCCAGAGGCACAATTACCATTAGCAAGTGTATGCTTGTTGCATTACGCTGCCATAACAGAAACACTAATGGCAGTGAAATAGAACTTAAAAACGTGTGAATAGTTTTTCAAATATATTTATGCGAATCGATTGGCGGCAATGCATTAGTCTAATGGCGAAGTAATACCAGATAATTGATTAGTTTCCTTTCCATCTACCTTTCCAAAGAAGTACTACCCAGATAAAAAAATAGTTATAAATCCTTGATAATAGCATTAACATTGCCATAGTTCACTTTTACCAGTTTGACAATAAACATAATCTTGTCGATTGGACTGGACTTAAATTTTGACACTATAGATAAATATAGTGTTACACAGAATTCTATTGCCAGGTTTCCATTAAATTTTACCATTTCGTAATTGTTCCTAAGAGAATATTAAGCACGTATCATGATTCGTCCAGGTAAAAGAATCAGGATATAATGATGATAATAATGATGAGTATTTATAAAGCGCTGTATCCATGCACAAGGTGCATGCTATATGATGCACGTACATAGGTTCTTCGTGATAACAGAATCGATGTCTCGAGAGCGTTTGTACGCTTATAACAAAACAATTCTGCAAAGCTTTATCTAAAGTTTATTCTGTTTATATGAATACGTGTATTCTGAATATGAATTCTGTTTATGTGTTCATGTCCAGAACATAGCCCTCGTTAATGAGGCACACGTGCTTATTGTCCAAAAGGATCAATCGCACTCGTGGTCCTTACTTAAACACACGATCAATGCTGGGAAATCAAGACAATTGTCGGACTGTATCGATAGTTTCGTTATTGACGACTTGGGTAATGTTGTACTAACTCTTAGCAACCCGTGTCAACCAATCAGTGATGTAGGCATGCGAATCACGGGTAAACTAAGGGAAGCATTTAACCCTTGATGAATATCGTCCACCTTCCTTAGCACGAACAGACCTGCATCGGAGGACTCTGGGTAAGTTGTTTTTGACTCGTTATGTAACACAAGCAGTGGACACATTAAATACATTAACGCCACAGAGGAGGAGTGTTTTCGATCCTTTAATATCAGAATAAATCAAATTTTTTTGGTCACCCGCAGAATGTAAAAATAAATAAATAATAATGGCCTCAAGGCTAAAGCTTGTTGACCTTTCTTTGGAACGACACTAGTTTTGTGTCCTTTATACCCCCGTTACGCTTGAGGAGGAATGAGCCGGAATGCTGTCGGAATGAAAATTCCTGGAGTTTCCCAGGAAATTCGAACTGCATTCTAAAACTTCTTACTGCATTCCGAATGCATTCCAACTGTTAGGAATTCTTGTATATGCCCGAATGTTCAAAACTTTCGAGGTACATGTGCAAAAATATCGAACGGTATTTGAAGTGCATTCTAACTGCATTCTAAGTACTCTTACTGCATTCTAACTGCATTCTAACTGTATTCTAAGTATTCTGAACGTATTCGAGGGAGAATGGAAAAGGCGAGCCATTTCAAATGTCAGAATGTCCTGAATACGCCTCGAATGAGTCGGAATGTATCTCGATTGCTGCTGGAATTCAGGTGGAATATTCTTCAAATGTATCGGAATATTTCGATTGCAGTTGGAATACAGCTCGAAAGTACCTCGAATACACCTCGAATACAGTCAGAACGTCCCGAATGCTCTTCAAATGAGCCCTGACGTCATCAGAACACCGCAGAATCGTATAAAAACGTGCCCACCTGTCACTGAAACGTCAGTTCTAAGATACCTAGCGGTTAGAACAATCGAAAAAAAAAAATACATTATCAGACAATAAAGGTATAGTTTTTTGATGACGTAACAATTGAATGACGTTATCCCTTCACTGCGCCATTCTAGTGTGCCCCCTCGTAATCGAACCATTTTACATTACGTCACAATGTAAGCGACGTCACGATGCATGTCAGTTGTCATCGCCTCGTACGGCCTCCTACAGTAAACTACACCGTTGCATCCAGTTTCTTGGTTTGCTGTTGCTTCACGCAGCTAACATCACTGGTGGAAACATTACGTTTATGTTTTACGACGGTTAAAATGTGTCATTTCGACTCACAAGTTTTCAGCGACACGGTAACGTTCGTAATGTTTACATTCCCACAATGCAATTGTGGAATGTCGCTTGACTACTCAACTTCCTCTGGATGTACTGATCTAAACTTACGCTGGTACTAGAAATGCAACGTTCATATTGCCCCATATGGTTTACGTTAATGACAGATGTAATTAAAATAATTCAGAGAAGATATTTAATCCGAACGTAAACCGTCATCAAACTGTTATCATTTGTTTTTTTCTGGTAATGTTCGTCTTAACGCAGGGGGCAGACACATCAATAGAACAGCGCGCCAGTTAGCCCTGTGCGAGGATTCTTAATTTAGGTCACCGACACCGTCGTTTGTTTTCTGCCTTAAATTAATCGTAATTATCTTAAGAAAGTATTAAATTTGGCATCTTAGAAAAGAAATACAGTTCGCCCTACCACCATGTATAGTGTAAAAAAACACACTTTCGCCCTGAACTATTATAACGTTAAAGCACTCGGACGCAAGCTTCCTCGTGCTTTAACTATAATAGTTCAGGGCAAAAGTGTGTTTTATTACACTATACATGGTGGTAGAGCGAAGTGTATTTCTTAAATAGCATTTGGGAGACCCAGGTTCGAGTCCCGACATGGGTACAATGTGTGAAGCCCATTTCTGATGTACGACGCAGTGTTGTTGCTCGAATATTGCTTAAAGCGGCGTAAAACCCAACTCACTCACTCACTCTCTCGAAAACGAATATGGTCGGCGATTTCCTAATATAAAGCTGCATTGTTCGGTACAGGATATGTTTTGTACCCTGCCGTGCCTGTCGTGGCTAAAGAGGGTAGGCGTTCTTTATTTAGATGAGGTGGTAAACGTTAGACAAGGATTCAAATGACGCCCTCCATGACGTTGTCCTCAGATCTAGACGCAGAGAGGTGTCTTACCTGGTTTAATGAGATTCGAATTGTTCATTTTCAAACTTTAGCATTGAATATGCATACGTGCGAAACGATTATGCATAATAAAATACTGATTTTGTGATTTCAAAGCCCGGAATCGATTGTTGTCAAGGATTATATTTAGACGTGCTGAGAGGCCGATAACCTACCCAGCGTCTGAAAGTCATGTTAGTAAAGAAAGTCCTAACTAGAATCAAACATTCCCCAATATATGCTGTGCTGCTATGTTAACGATGTCTTGTATTTCCTGGAAGAGAGGACCGGTATTGAGGAAGAGGCCTTAATGCTTTGTTTACAATAACTGCATAAAATGCAACATGACAATTGTTGAATGAAAGTTAAATACCCCTGAATTCTGTTAAATAGAAACTTTAAAATCCCCATCTGGAGCAATGTTTGTAAATTTTGCCAAGAACAGTTAGTTTGGAATCCTTCATTAATCCCCGAGTTATTTTAATTATGCAAAACGCCATACCGAATATAGGGCTCCACAGATCGCCAACAGTGCTGGGCGGACCTTTATAGGACCAGGGAGACTATATAAGAGGGAGTGGTCACTCCTCGGAAAGCCCCTTAGCGTATGCCCCGGCTCGTCACGTGACTAGTGTAGCCAATATGGCGACAGCGTAGTTTTTAAGATTGAGCCCGGTTTATTTTCAACAGCTGATTACATACGCTGAGTGTTGTGACAACTGAAAACCTACATGTAGAAGATAAGTTACCTATTCTGTCACTTCATTTTAAGTCAAATAATTGTTATTAGTGTCAGTATTAGTACAGTAGATTTGTAGTAAAGTTTCATTCAAGTCGGCATGTTGTAGCTCACTGGCTTCAATTCTCAGTACACAGCGAAGAAAGACTAGATTCTAAAACCTCTTTCTTTCTTGTTGATCTTAGTATTTGACAAAACTGGAAAGGTGTTTACAACGCTTTGTGATAGTTCTAAACCTTCTGTTTTGAGGGGTCTGTGACAGTGTCAGATAACATTCTGTCAATGCCCATGCCATTCCACACATGCAATAAGATATCTGAATTAGTTACTAATGAAAAAAACATTATAAGAACCGTCTCAAAGTAGATTTTAAAAAAAAAGGATAGCTGATGTTAACACATGTTTTCTACCGATAGTTTGCGTTCTTTAACATGTTTGGGGAGGGATGGCCGTGGTGTATCATTTATTCTTTCATTCATTCACATATGTATTTCTTTCTTTTGTTCTTTTTCTTTATTTCTTTCATTCATTCACATATTATTCTTGCTCTTAATTCATTCATTCATTCATTCATTCATTCATTCATTCATTGTAAAATTCCGACTGATACAAAACACTGGCTGAAGTACTGTTAAACGCAGCCGAAGTTGCGCTGGAAACGAACCAAGTCACTGTGTGCGTTGGAGCATGACGAGCACACGTTAATTAGTACAAATGGTAAAGAAAGCAAGCGAGTGACCTATCCCTGTTGTAGAGTATCCCTGATGGGACGAGGTATTTCAACGATACCCAAGCAAACCGTCCAACAGCAGTAACCAAATACAAGAAACACGTGGACTACACTGACCCGAGAAAGAAAATAGACACCATGGTTCTAATATGTGTGCCAGAGATGGCGGCAGCCTAGATATCGTCATGAAAATCCTGGATGCACAATATTTGATAAAGAAGAAATACAAATGCTTGTCTAAAGAGGCGACTAACGTGGTCAGGCTCGCTGACTTGGTTAATGCCTGTCATCGTATCCCAATTGCGTAGATCGGTTTTCATGATGTCAATCACAGGATAGTCTGCCATCATATAGCTTGAAGATCTGTGAGTGCGGTGGTAAAAAATCTTTTGTATATAATTGTTATTGTACTTAATGTTTTAAAAAGATTATATGCATGAAGAGGGATGTACTTGCCATACCATGTTGACAATATACTCATCCTTTCGTTTGTTTTTTTGGTTTGTTGTTTAACACCGTACTCAGCAATAATCCAGCAATGTGACGGTGGTCTGTAAATAATCGAACCTGAACCTGAAAATCCAGTGATCAACATGATGAACATCGATCTTCGAAATTGGGATACGATGACATGTGTGCCAACCAAGCCAGCGAACCAGACCACCCGATCTCGACAAGCCTGAGCTGCTGAAGGCCAATTAACCATGTATTTCTTTGAAACCTCCTTCTTAACATGCTCTCAAAATGTGCTTTGAACTAACTTTAGTTGATCCCGGCATCGAATTATGTTGAAACCTAATGCCAATGTCCATTTTATAAATACAGTCAAACACCGTTATTGTGGAACTATAGTTTGTCTCGCATTAAAAGTTTTGTCCTGCACATTTTAAACTTTTTTCATCATTATTGTGAATCTGATTTGTCGCCATGGTTGTCAACAGGAACCATATCCCGTCAACTCAAATCTGGTCGACATTATCGTAACGGTTGGGTTGTAGTTCTCACACGTCACTACAGCAACAATCACGCAACACAAACCTCAGGTAGGTTGTATCTACCGTATTGATAGTTGTAACATAACTATTGTTGTTCTAATTTCGACACACCTTTACCCAATTTACAATGATTAATGATTTTGTTCGAGGCTTGTTCTCGATATGGTTTTCGAGGTTTCTATTTGCCTAACGTGTAAATCGAACGGCATTTTCAATGAACAAACTACCCGTAGAAAAGGATCGCATGCAGGGATGAACATTAACATCCACCAGGCTTCGATTAATTGATCCTTTAACTGATGCTAGACGCCGTCTTCAAGGTTATTTCACCTACATAGGAAAGCACATGTAGGTTAGATAATGTTGAAAGTATAGGCGCCGTTTAGACTAACATCTAGTCTCTGAAATGAACAAATGAAACTGTTAGTAAAATATCGTCATAAAATATAATGAACAGGAGCCCAGACACTTTCTTCCTGAAACTGTGGAAAAATCTAGACTTACCACATATTCTAGACTTGCACGGGCTTTCTTGGATATATTTGTTTCAGGGTCTGTATGGCAGACTAAGGCACCGTTGTCTGTACAGCTACAGGTTTAATAGTGCAAGTCTACCAAGGAACTGTGCTGCAGTTTAACATTTAAACCAACCCCCCCGATGCCCCTTCCCTCCCAAACCCACCCGCCTTATAAAACTTGAAAGTAAAAAATGACACATGAAACATGATCAGTCCTTGTTTTATCCCTTGAATGCCGAGAACCAGTTTGTCTTTTAGCGTCTTCTAATCGAACCTCCCTCTCCGGGCAGGCGCTCTGCCCTCTGGGGGAGTGAGCGACTTTAGTCTTACGCCACTTTTAGGGATATTCCAGCAATATCACGGCGGGGGGACAACAAACATGGGCTTCACACAATGTACCCACGTGGGGTATCGAACCCGGGTCTTCGGCGTGTCGAGCGAACGCTTTATCGAACGCCCCAGACTAAGAAGAGAATCATCTGATACACGAGCAGACCTTAACGTGAACGGAAACCCTTTTTTAAAAAAAAAAACCCACTGCCATCTGGACCATGTTACTGTGTAAACATGACCTGACAGTACTGACGGATGTACCCGAATATCTGAATATGATCAGCAAGGTTATCTCTGGATTTAATAACGTTATGTCCAAAGTACAACTATGATGTATATATAGACGGCAAAAAAGTCAAGCACCCCCAAATTTAAAGCTGTATATCTTTATTTGTCCTACGATCATGTCATTCCATTTGATGGGAAATCAAATGGTGGTATTCTGGTTATGAATTAGCATGGCTTTTGTTACAAAATGGATCTCACAAACGCAGTCATGTGAATCATGCCACCCATGCTTTTTGCCAGATAGTTTCCCCCACCGACGAATATGGGGTATTTAAACAGCCTTCCCGACTTCATTACCAGTTCGATACAACTTCTAATGAACAATGGCACGAAGGGCATGTGGGATTAGGCAAAGGTGGATCTTGAGGTCATGGAGGAGAATTTACTGGTCCGACGAAAGTTGTTGGTGGGAGAGCTGGAGTATGGAGGGTTAGAAACACTCGTTACACACCAAGGAACATTATGCCAACAGTGCCATATGGTGGAGGATCCGTTATGTTGTGGGGGTGCCTCTCGTATGACTGAAACCGCGATTTGGTGACAGTACGTGGTACACTTACAGGAGCTCGCAACATTCAGGAGGCGCTGGATCCAGTAGTTATTGATCATTTTGATGACCACAGACTTGCAACTAGCCCATTGTTCATGGACGACATTGCTAGACCTCATCGTTCCCGAGATGTGAATCAACATCTGGAAAACAATTGTGTTACCCGAATCCCATTGCCAGGAATGTCACCAGATTTGAAAACAATTGAGCATGTCTGGGACTTAATGGGCCGACGGATACAAAGAAGAAACCCTTGTCCACAATACCTGAGGGAATTGGAGGCAGCTCTTCACGAGGAGTGGCAGCAGATCCCCATGGAGCAATTCAGGAAGCTTGTGAGGGGTATGCCGAGAAGAGTAACTGCAGTAATTCAAGCACGTGGTGGAAACACACGTTTTTGAAATTTTCTGGTTGCTGAGACACTGACTCAACATAATCAATATGTTTTTTTCGGATGGCACACCTTAAGAGCTTGTAATGACCATACTTACATAAACTTGTGCTTTCAATCATATTCCGCACATTTTTCGTTCTCTGTTAATGTGCATGTGTAGTCAACGTAACTTAACATCACTTGAGCACCAAATACCCTATTGATTGGTTTTTCTATGAAAATTTGTTGTGAATCTATACCGTGTTTTAATTTCCTAGTACGTTTCTCTGTAATTCACTCCTATAAAGAAAAACAAGGGGGTGCCAGACATATTTACTGTCACGGTGTATATATTTATGCCTTTAGTATGAGATCAATTATATCGATCTGTTCACTAAGATGACCTCCTCCATGTTCCAAAGTGACTTCCGGGTGGTTCGACCCAGCGTAATACAAAAATAGACATAACACGATAAGTGGTTGTTGCCGGTTCATGGTGCTAGGTATTGCGGATTAAAACAATGACTGCAGGGATTGGGAGAGGCAGCGGCCAATGGCCATTTTGCACATTAGAATATAAAATGGCCCATTAAAATTTTGAAGTTTACTATTGATACAAGGGCTGTGGCCCATTCTAAATTCAGAAAATGGCTAATAATCCTGAAAATGGCCCATTGTCAAGTATTTGTGAAGTCTTGATGCCTGGTAGAGAGGAGATGGACCAAACATCCTTTACAGGGAAACCAAACCGCAGTCTTCACGAATCTTAGGCAAGTTCCGGAGCGTTTGGGTAGCCTAGTAGCCAAAGACAAGGGTTCGATTCCCCACATGGGTACAATGTGTGAAGCCCATTTCTGGTGTCTCCCGCCGTGATGTTGATGGAATATTGCCATAAGCTACTTCAAAACCATAAGATTAGGTTTGACAAAGTCCAAATACTCTCTACCCAAAATTATGACTTGATGATTCAGACCATGCCATAAACATGTAATTATCAATCATTATCAAATAGTGATGAACTAGGTATTCTCGAAATAGTGAGCTTGTCATTACCCTCAGGTGGCACCTTTCACAAACACAAGCAAGGGCAAGTCAATTATTCCAGAAGAAAAAGCATGGGATATATGGTACAAGTCATAATCGGGAATTACCAAAGTTTGAAATACCCTCCACATGTTTATCATAAAGGTTTTGAAAACATATTAACTATATATAAGGCCTTATATGCTGCAACCCTGATCAAACAGCATCTGTTCAAAAAAGGGGCGGTGGGGTAGCCTAGTGGTTAAGGCGTTCGCTCGTCACGCCGAAGACCCGGGTTCGATTCCCCACATGGGCACAATGTGTTAAGCCCATCTCTGGTGTCCCCCACCGTGATATTGCTGGAATATTGCTAAAAGCGGCGTAAAACCAAACACACTCACTCACTCACTCACTGTTCAAACAATTTACCATGTTTCTCCTATGCCCAACGTCCTGCTTGTGGTGATTGATTGTCGCTGAATAAATACAACCTACACTAAATATTGACCCCGGAAATCTGGACAACAACCGTCTTATAGACGACAGGGAAATGACATTAATCGATCCACGGCGTGCATTGTAATGTAGCTTTAAAGATTTCAAACGGTGAAAATTCCTACTTATATCAAAATTCCTACTTATACAAGGCCTCCCACCCGTGACGTCATCGATCGTATTTGTGAGGTTCAAGTAAATATACCATTATTCAGGCTAAGTCGCCACGGCAATACCAGTTGTACATGTCAACTGATCAAGTTACGATTAACCGACATTGGTTTCTTTCTTGTGAGAGAGAGATGATCGAAGTTCACACTTTATATTTAGAGTGAGTGTGTGAGTAAGGTTTTACGCCGCTTTTAGCAATATTCCAGCAATATCACGGCGGGGAAACAAGAACGGGCCTCACACAGTGTACCCATGTGGGAAATAGAACCCGGGTCTTCAGCGTGACCAGCGGGCGCTTTAACCACTAGGCTACCCCACCACCCCTTCACATTTAGATATGACACATATTACAACATAAATTAATCGCCTATATTGTTCCACGTACATGTTGTTTGTGTTATGATGACACACACATATTACAAATGCGTAATCAATCACCTACTATAGTTCGACGTGTATGTTGACTGTAATATGATGACACATATTACAGTAATCACCTATATAGTTCCACGTGTATGTTGACTGTAATATGATGACACATATTACAGTAATCACCTACTATAGATCCACGTGTATGTTGACTGTAATATGATGACTCATATTACTGTAATCACCCATATAGTTCGACGTGTATGTTGACTGTAATATCATGACGCATATTATAGTAATCACCTATATAGTTCGACGTGTATGTTGACTGTAATATGATGACGCATATTACAGTAATCACCTATATAGTTCGACGTGTATGTTGACTGTAATATGATGACACATATTACAGTAATCACCTATATAGTTCCACGTACATGTTGACTGTAATATGATGACACATATTATAGTTATCACCTACTATAGTTCCACGTACATAATACAACATTAGTAAGTAAACACCTATATTACACCTGTGAATACAGGGTTAAACCATACACTCGTGTTCCTATTTTCATTCCAGAACCAGAACAAATGTCTGCGATGGAAAGCCAAGCACTAATCCGCAAACTTTTAGCAGTCACGTGTCTCATCGCTGTAGCAACGTGCGACTTTCAGTTCAACACGAAGAATTTCAAACTGTACCGATTGTGGGACATGGATGACCGAATGCCGCCCTTCTCTCCCCTCAGTCCCATCACCTGCAAGGAGGAATGCGCCATGTTCTGTCTGAACGACGTCACGTGTGCAGCTTTTACATACGGAGAGTACGTAAAGTTCTGCATGATGACCCCGGAAATAGTCAGACCGTACGATGTGTCCATCAGCTTCTCACTGCCCGGCTACACACACTACAGCATATACGAAGGTAGGTCCACTTTATTTGTGTAGCTGGTCACCTGAAAATATATCATTTAAGATATAGGTATACTAGCCACAAAAAGAAACTATACATGTGTGAAATCAGTATATATTGGAACTACATGTGTACACGAAAACAATTTTGTGAAGTCTTGATGCCTGGTAGAGAGGAGATGGACCAAACATCCGTTTACAGGGAAACCAAACCGCAGTCTTCACGAATCTTAGGCAAGTTCCGGAGCGTTTGGGTAGCCTAGTAGCCAAAGACAAGGGTTCGATTCCCCACATGGGTACAATGTGTGAAGCCCATTTCTGGTGTCTCCCGCCGTGATGTTGATGGAATATTGCAAGAAATTGTGCATCTCCATGAACTGTGTGGAGTACATGAATGTCAAAAACTGCAGTCGATTTGGACATTGTTTGAAGTTTGATCTTCAAAACATTTCATGGGTATTGAACATCTATAGATTTGCGATCTATAGAGCATAGTGTGGGATGAAATGGAGCGACGTCTACGCCGTGTTCAAATTGTTTGAAGTTTGATCGTTCAAAACATTTCATGGGTATTGAACATCTATAGATTTGCGATCAATAGAGCAGAGTGTGGGATGAAATGGACCAACGTCTACGCCGTGTTCAAAATCCGCCCGATAACGTTCGTGATTTGGCAGCAAAGTTACAGAGAGTTACAGAGCCTTTCACGCACATTTGATAGAGTACACGTCGGTGATGCACCGCTAGTGTTCTCGCTGCTCACGGTGGTGGGTATACCTATTGTTGTTTTTGTGACATTTTTGCTTGACTCCTGCCCTTCATTTGGACTTGTAACGTCAATGTCACGAACAGTAAGCATGTTGTTCTGTAATCTTCTTAAGATTTCAGTATCCACCTATTAAAGTTTTATTCTTGTTACATTTTCAAATTTACAAAGAATTTGAGCATTGCATTGTTTGGCTGTTGTAAAGTAGTGTATATGTCAGTGGTGCTCTATTGTTAGAATGTCCCACCCAACACCATGTCATTCTAAATATATAAGGGTGGATGAGTGATTGAATAGGTTTGACGTCACTTTGATGGTTTTGTTAAGTGCTGTTTGTGCGAGTGAGGTCATTAGAACACAACACGCTTGTTTTGCAGTTTCAGTTTTAATATATCAGAGGAAGTATAATACAGTACTTATGTATCTATGGAAAGAGAGAGAGAGTACTTTTGTTAGATAAATTGATTTGTTAATTATAACGAATATTGTAACGGGTATACGAAGGGTTGAGTCCCATCCGGGACCCATACACTCGGAGTTCTCAGAGTCAGGCACCAGCATCTTGACTCTGAGAGTGTACTGAGAAAGTGTATTCCCTAACATGACCCACTTAACATGTTTTTACATCCGTGCTAATTGTAAAACATTTCAGCTCATATATTCAGTGGGTAGTGACATGAATATTTAAACACTGGTCGTGCTGGGGTAAGCACGCTCGGCTGACAATTGTCACCACCACTCCCACAACGCTCGTAGATTCACAAAGACAACCACAGAATTAAATTTGCTTGATGTTAAGATACACTGACTTTCCTTTTCAAACGTTTCAACATTATATGGTTAACCTCAAAGGACGGAGCGAGTTATTTGCGAAGTATAATGAATTGTTATTGACTCTTCATTTCTGCTCAAGATAGTGAGGTACAACACTAAGTACCACTTCCAGTGGTTGTAATTATAATTACGAAATGAGTCTCTTGTTACACGTGTCTGATAATGGCATTGACAATGTTTCCACAGAGAGTATTGTTCAGTGTGTACTAATTGGATGATTGGATGTAGGTTACTTACGAAACATGCAGCCACTCCTCATCCAAACTTAAGCTACAGTCTTTAATTTTCCTTCACCTTTAACTAAACTACCGGGCAAAAGAAAGTTATCACTTTAAAGTAATTGTATAAAAAAACCAGAAAAGTTGGGACTGGTTTCAACCCAGACAGGAAACATTCACCAATACGTTACATGGTCCTGATAACAATGTAGCAGTCTGAAAACTTCATACGAATATTTTTCAAAACGGGAAAAACGTAATTGTGGGACACCGGTCCAGATGCACGTTACTGGTTGTGGTATAAATACCTATGTTATATCTATAGCCAATATGGAGGCTTCACGCCAGCCAGGCTTCAGTTAGCTAATTGATAAACCACTACCAGCAAACAGGCCAGACACAAGACCGCCCACGATCGGGAAGACCAAGGGTCAAGCCCGCTACACCCCATAGATCCACCTCCAGAACAGATTCGCGTCGGCGACTTTATCGGCAGCTGAAGCACTAGGACATGCCATTAGGAGACGAACAGTCCTTCGACGACGTGTTTGACGTGTACGTCGGTGGCAGCTACGTGACTTTAAGAGAGTTTTCATTACAGATGAAAGTCGGTTCAGTCTGTTCAAACGATGGCAGAATTCGATTTTTTCGACGTAGAGGAGATGCGGCAAACTGTGTTCAAGAAGATCATCCGTTCCATGGAGGAGGCGTCATGGTATGGGGTGGCATTTGTGTCCAGAGAACAAGAAGACTGGTCTGAAGAATCTGACTATCCAGCGATACAGAGATGAAGTGTTGAGACCAAGTGTTCAGCCAGCGCGTAAACCCCATTGAACGTCTTTGGGATCATCTTGATCGTCAGCTGAAACAGCATGTGTCACCTCCCGCAAACTGACAGGAACCTGAATAGACTCTCTTGGACTAATGGAACAGGATTCTTGCTGACGTCACCTGCCAACTGAGGACGTCAATGAGGAGACGTGTGTTGGCGTGTATGGATGCCCAGAGTGGTCACACTCGCTATTGATGACGTGTCCCCAGTCTCCTGTCTCATTTTGTGACTCTTGGTGTACGTTTTGAATGATTTGTGTAAGTTTTAATTTTTAACCCCATGACCCTTTCTTAATGAATTGCGGCAGATGCAAGAACAACATTACAATGAATTTTCATTTTGTTTCTATTTTTTAACTATCTTTTTATTACAGAAATCCCTGTTACATATAGGGACTCCTACTACCCTAAACAGAGTAGCAGCAGTGCCCTTGCATTAAAGAATTAAGAACAGATTTTCTGAGTTCCTTGGGTTTTGTTCATAACATCAGATATGAACATGACATTCACTCACACATTCACACTCTAAGTACATATGATGACATTCACTCACACATTCACACTCTATGTACATATGATGACATTCACTCACACATTCACACTCTATGTACATATGATGACATTCACTCACACATTCACACTCTCTGTACATATGATGAGACATTAAAAATAAAACAGAGAACACATTGGGGTAAAAGGGGGGAAACAAACATTCATTCATCAAAAAGTACATGGTAAAGCATCCATTTTTTATAAAATATCGCTGGTTCACTTTTAGCAAAAAAACCTGTTCTTCTCAACATAATACCTATCATGTAAAATTCTTTTAAAATGGACCAAAGCTAAAACATTGTTAGAAAGTCTGCATTTATAGAAATAACACATCGCTAACAACAAATAACAAATCAAACGTTTCTTCTATGACAAAATTCTCCTTTACACCAAAAGTGACAAGCTCAAGATTAAGGTTAAGGTTACATACATGACTGCACTTTTCTTTCAACATGTCTGAAAATACTTCCCAGAATGTTTGTACAAGTCATGGATACAGTGCCAAAATGATGTGAGATAGTTTCTACTTCACTATTGCAAAAACTATATTTATCATAGGAAGCAACCTTAATTTTAACAAGTTTGTTGCCATATTAGATTGTGGAGTATTCTAAACTGAAACCAGCCTAGCTTGGTGTCAGGTGTTGTTCTAAATGGTTCTACATAGACACCTTCCCAATCAAGATGGCCATCAATAATACTTTCCATTTACGTTCAAATAGAATTTCAATTTCTTCCGAGTTATTAAGGATGTAATAATAACATCTGACCCCTTTTTAACAGAGAGTAATTGTCGGATGACTGGATTATCAAGACGATGAGAGAAAGAGATGGGTTTCTGAAAACTTAGAGTTCAAAAATACATTTTTATCGCCTTCATGATGCCATAGAATAGGCTAAAATCAACTTTAAAACCAACTTTGTCTTCAAATTCTGACAATGTTAGATAATTTCCTTTCTGATTCTTGAAGTCTGTAATGCAACTACTAATATCCCAATCAATCTATTTGCGATAAAAGACATAATCACAATAGTGTTACTGTAAAAGACTGCTTCTGTAACAAAATCTTCAAAATCTTTTGGCTTGATTTTTAGTGAAAGCTTGTGATGAGAAGTAATATTTTTTTTCAAATAGTGTTGTGAACATCCTTCAAAATATGTTGAGGAAAACCATTACCAAAAACAGATAGATTGTTGCACTGTGTAAAGGTATATAGCAAAAGTGTCTTCCACTTGGATACATATGTTTTGTCAAACAAATTTCTAATCCACCTACGCTTCTGTGAATTGACAAACTCAGGGAGATCAATCATACCAAAACCACCGTCATGAACAGATTTACAAGCAACTGATCTCTTTACTTTATCTGGTTTCCACTCCAGAGAAATTTAAACAACAGTTTATTAAGCTCCTTAGAAAAGAATCCAGGAGGATTTGGAATAGTATATATTCAGTAACACTTCATTGTGTCAGACATCGTATGTATTGTTTTGTTTTAAACATATTTATTCATGCGAAAAGGATTGGGTACAAGTTATACAACTTAGAACACCCTCTCCGTAGTATTTACATAGTATTATTTACATTCATTCTACAAGATGGACAGAGAAGAACAGAACAGAAATATGGGAAAAAGAGGAACAATTGCAACAATTAAGAAAATCGTTTTGAATGAAAAATATATGTTTGAACAATTTTAAATATGTTTTGATTTATGTGAACAGTCAGATCTGCATTGCCATGTAATAGTTACTCATAGGTTATATCCACATTTGTAATACTGCGTAAATTAGTCATCATGGTAGTTCTCTGTACTGTATATAATTGACAGTCAAATAGGTAATGATAAGAATTTTCACAAACATTTTCGCAAGAACTACTTGGGTTATCTCTTAAACCAGCACGGAATAGATCATAATTCAACTGACTACACATGTAACGTAGTTTTGTAAGGATGATGTTAGTGATTCTCGGTCCAGAATCAAAGTATTGAGGAGCAGTTTTATGTTTTATAACAATATTCGTTATAAAAGAATTCAATGACTCGCTTTTTCTCACTTCAACTGGAAGTTCATTCTACATTCTAATTGTGGATGAAAAATAAGAATCATACGAAAAAACGTATGTATTCAATAACACCTCATTGTGTCAGACATCGTATATATTCAATAACACCTCATTGTGTCAGACATCGTATATATTCAATAACATTTCACCGTTTCAGACATCGTATATATTCAGTAACATTTCACGGTGTCAGACATCGTATATATTCAATAACATTTCACCGTTTCAGACATTGTATTACATATTCAATACGTTCGATCTCACTGTTTCAGACACTGTACTTGTTTAATAACATTTCACCGTTTCAGACATTGTATAATTTATATTCAAAACGTTCGATCTCACTGTGTCAGACATCGTATATATTCAATAACATTTCACCGTTTCAGACATTGTATAACATATTCAATACGTTTGATCTCACTGTGTCAGACACTGTACATGTTTAATAACATTTCACCGTTTCAGACATTGTATAATTTATATTCAAAACGTTCGATCTCACTGTGTCAGACATTGTATATATTCAATAACATTTCACCGTTTCAGACATCGTATATATTCAATAACATTTCACCGTTTCAGACATCGTATATATTCAATAGCATTTCACTGTGTCAGACATCGTATATATTCAATAACATTTAACCGTTTCAGACATTATTTAATTATATTCAAGTCAAAGTCAAAGATGTTTATTGTACAAAAGGCCTCCGGCCCATATACATTGGAGTTATACATATACATTATACATATAGTGCAATAAGTAGTAATTAGTGATCCAAACAGCAAATCATGATACAGGCAGTAAATTATCTACAAGTAGTGAAATACGATGGACATACAACATTTTTTATGAGATTGTTACGTTTAATAAGAGCATAATTGATATAGTACGACAGCTTTATTATTACATGCTGGTCAGTTGATGAAAGAAGTAGTTTAAATGCTAATGTAGGTGGCTTACGTAGATAATATTCAGCTATATATTTCGTACGCAAATCTTTATACAAAGGACATACAAGCAAAAAATGGATTTCATTTTCCACATCTATATTACACAATGGACACATTCTCTTGCATCGTTCAATATAAAAATGTCTTCCTTCGTTTACCATTATGTTGATCAAACCTAACCTAAAACGTATAAATGGATATCTTAATTTCTTTGATGTTACAAACGACAGATATTTCTCCGGCTGGAGTAGTGATTTGTATATTCTATAAGAGTCGTACCGTGAACTATTATGTATTACTGAATGCCATTCTTGATTAAACATATTAAGACTTCTTTCTCGAAACTGAGTTAAAAACAAACTTTCATCACCAACTGACTGACTTAACCATACAAAACCATAACCATGTGAAAACAGAAGACTTCTTACATAAGATGCCCACGTCGATTTACCCATGTTGTCCAAATGAACAAGCATGTTATAAGCCTTTTTGGGTAATCTATGTTCTTGCATACACAATATCTTAAACCAGAATTTTATACATCGAATATGAGCATTTATGTACAGGGGATACCTCCCACATTCACCGTACACCATACAATTCGGTGTAGAGGGTCCTACATTTAAAAATTTCTTACAGGCCATCAGATGTATTTTTTCTATGCATTCATATCTCTGGAATCCCCAAATCTCGGATCCATACAAAAGAATAGGCTGAATTTGACAATCAAATAGTTTAAAGTAAACTTCAGTTACAGACATTATATAATTATATTCAATATGTTCTATTTCCCTGTATCAGACATCGTATATATTCAATAACATGTCACCGTTTCAGACATTGTATAACATATTCAATACGTTCGATCTCACTGTGTCAGACATTGTACATGTTTAATAACATTTCACCGTTTCAGACATTGTATAATTTATATTCAAAACGTTCGATCTCACTGTGTCAGACATTGTTTATATTCAATAACATTTCACCGTTTCAGACACTGTACAATTAAATTGAATACATTCTGTCTCACTGTGTCAGACATATATATTCAATAACATTTCACCGTTTCAGACATCGTATATATTCAATAACATTCCACCGATTCGGACATTGTATAATTATATTCAGTAAGTTCGATCTCATTGTTTCAGACATTGTATTTATTTAATAACATGTCCTTTTTAGACATTGGGGACGGCATCCTACCACCTGGCTACCGGACATTTAACGTCTCCAAACTGGCCCTGCGGTTCCACTACTACTGGCCAATGAACTGGACAGACGCACGTGACACGTGCGACAGCGAAGGCGGTCGTCTGCTCACTCTCGACACGGAGCAGAAGAGACAACTACTGCAAGACCTCATCATAAGCAATAAAGGTGAGTCAGTGAGTTTAGTGTTACATCGCACGCAGCAATATTCCAGCTATATGGCGGCGGTCTGTAAATATTCGAGTCTGCACCAGACAATCCAGTGATCAATAGCATGAACATCGATCTACGCAGTTGGGATACGATGACATGTGTCAACCAAGTCAGCGAGCCTGACCACCCGATCCCGCCACCAATAAAGGTTCTCAAATGACCAGAGCTACAAACTAAAAATTTCATGAATCTATTCTGTTTAAGGACGAATGCGGAAGTCCAAAATAGACATAGTGACAAAACACTATGGACAAGACTGTGTGAAAAGAGGGATGGCTTTGAACAACTTTCCAATATTCAATTTCCCTCTACAAAACATATGTCGAGCAATATTCCAACAGTAGCGAATCTGCGCAAAGTGTTCATACTGGTGTAGACATGCATTGTCCATAAGGGGCGGTCGGGTAGCCTAGTGGTTAAAGCGTTTGCTCGTATCGCCGAAAATACGTTCGATTCCTCACATGGGTACAATGTGTGAAGCCCATTTCTGGTATCCCCCGCCGTGATACTGCTGGAGAATTGTTAAAAGCGGCGTAAAACGTAACCCTTTCACTAACTATACGTCATAAGTGCATAATTATTTTGAAGTCAGTTTGTATAAGTAAATACGTCAATAATAGCATCACAGAATGGTTATTTAATCATTAACATACCAATATATAGTATGACCAGAAATTATTGAGAATTTTAGGAATATGTTTAATTGGATTTCTAGTATAAACAACCTTGACCAGCTATCAAGTGCTTGGTTTCATTTAAGAGAGACAACTCCGTTAATCCTTTTTCATTAGTTTGTGAAGAGTTATCCCCCTTTGTTTACTTGCTAGCAGACGACATTTTCAGTGATCCTTAGTATGGATGATTTAGAGAAGAGGAAGTTGATTTTAGAGTATTATAACAAGGACATCAGATCAGCTAAAGTGATTTCAAGTAGAACAGGCATCCCTTTGTCAACTGTTTATCGTGTTTTGAAAAATATTGCAAATGGATATGGCATTGAGCACCAGGGAGGCGCAGGTAGGCCCAGAAAATTGACTGTCGGTGACAGGAGGCGGCTTGGTATTCTTGTTTCTAAAAACAAACGAAGGAGTTTAGAAAACTAAGGCTGGATATGATTGATAGAGGAACTGTGGCTGTCTGTAAGGAGACAATTAGAACTGAGCTGCATGCAATGGGTTGGCAGAAAAGTTGAGGAATTCCATCACTGATCATGAAACCTGAACAAAAGGAGCGAAGGTTGAACTGGTGCTTACAGCATAGAAATTTTAACTGGGACAATGTGATTTTCTCAGATGAAAGTTCTGTGTGGCTGTTTCCTAATACACTGAAATTCTGGACCAAACAAACAGAAAAACCTTTGTATCAGCGCCCAAAGTACAGTATGAAATTTAACGTGTGGGGTGGCATATTTGTGTTAGGGGCAACGCCCCTCTGTGTATTTGAAGGGAATATGAACAGTGAGCGGTACACAGATATTCTCGAGGGACATTTACTTCCATCTGCTCACGTGTTCTATGGAAATTTTGGATTTTCCAGCAGGACAACGACCCAAAACATCGTTCAAAGCATTCACAAGCCTGGTTTCGGACCCAAAATATGACATTATTAGATTGGCCAAGCTATAGCCCTGACCTATATCCAACAGAAAATGTTTGGGGACTTATGAAGGAAAGTGTCAATAAGAAAAATCTGACAAATATTGCTGAAATGAAAGAAGAGGTGGTCCGATATTGGGACAGCATGGACCACGACTTTCTAACTTCTTTGATCAGTAGTATGCCCCGCCGCATTGAAGCCTGCATTGCTGCCCATGGTGACTTGACAAAATACTAACTGTTCACCTGTCTTTGAATCTGGAGTTATGTTCTGCTAATATTCACATTTAATACGTGAGTAATGAGTGAAAAAAAATAAAAAATTACAATCTTTAAATTCTCAATAATTTCTGGTTGTACTGTATATAGTACAGATAACCATACGAAATTAGTGTCATCGTTCAGTGTGTCAATGTGCCAGGATTCCAAGGCGGCGCGGCCTACAGTAATTTTGGCTTATGAAAACATAATCACATTGCATGGAAGGAATCGCTTGAAATGTGATCATTATTAAATATAAGGCGCAGTGTTAAGGTGTTATTGATTACTTGTGCTAATGCTGGTCGTGTGTGAGCCACCATAACAATGCGTGGTATGTGCATATGGACCTACCACTCTCCGCTAAGGGCACCGATGAAGGCGCAAGTCGATTCGTTTCGCTTGGTAAATATGAGGACATTAGTGTAGAAGGTGTATCGGGACACACGCCATTAAACACTCACTGTACCGCTTGCCCACGTGACGACATGACCACGCATGCTTGTAATGTGAACCCTCATACAGATAGATACTCGTTGCTAAACGATATCATGTATTTACTGACTTTCTGTTGGTATCCTCAGACCCACGGAAACAGCGTATATCAGCGGACGTACTGTCTAGTATGTCATGAAACTGGATCACAGAATTCAATACATTTGACTTTTACTAAATTTAGGTTAGGTTGCGTGTTCATGAGATAGTGGATATCCTGTTTATGCCAATAGTGATGATGGTACTATGTTCGAGTGACTGAATATGGTTCTATGTTGCTTTTAGCAATATTCCAGCAATATCACGGCGGGGACACCAGACATGGGCTCCAAACATTGTGCCCATGTGGGGAATCGACTGACTGACTGAGTTTAGTTTTACGCCGCTTTTAGCACTATTCCTGCAATATCACGGCGGGGAACACCAGAAATGGGCTTCACACATTGTACCCATATTGGGATGTGGGGAATCGAACCCGGGTCTTCGGCGTGACGAGCGAACGTTTTAACCACTAGGCTACCCCATCTCCCTATTTATCTAAGTACAACTACTTATGCCCATTATAGGATATATACCATCCAAAACACACAAGGGTGATAGCTTCTTTATTGTATAATGTCCGTCTTAAATTCCGCTGTAGAAAAACATATTCTCATCTCTCTAAAATTTGTTTTTACCATAACTACTATATTTTGTATGGTCAAACCGACAACTATTTGCCTACTTGCTCGCGTCCATCCATCTGTAAGCCCTGTAAAGTAATTTGTCTTTATCAAAGGGAAGCTACTGCTGTCAATAGTACTTCACGTTTGTTGGGAATGCCATAAAATTTTGAAATGCAGTCACATGTCCAGAATGTAAATTTAAAACACTTACAATTTTGAACACATTTCTACAAACTCTGGCTTTTGTAACTCGGAAAAAGACTTATAAGCGCACATATAGAAACTGATCTCGAGAGAGTTCTCATGAAATATTGCCAGGCATTTAGCTATTTTCATATTAAAGTCAGTTTTTACTCGACCTCCGATAGACAATGACCACGTCAAGTTTGTTTGTAAACAATGAAAGTAGAACCCCTGACCTTTTATATTTTCATATTCCATATAATTCAATTGCTTTTTTGTCAAACGATGTCACTGATATGAGCATGGTGATATATTTTTAGTTTTTAATGGTGTTTTGCTATACTGGACAGTAGACACCTTACGTTTTGTCTTGGAAGATATGGGATTGAACTCATTGAAATGGACGGTTGTTCCTATGCAGATAGCCGTATTTGCGAAGCGTCTACCATTTGTTTCAGACTTGAGCACTACCGGGACAGGGTTGTTCGTTGGTGGAGTGGTGAATGGTACAGAGTTCTACTGGGAGGATGGTACTCTCCTTGCAAGCAGAGATCCCCTATGGGCAACATCGCAACCTACCGGAACCGGAAACTGCACCATCTTGGACCGGGATAAGGGCTTCCGGCTCGCTGATGGCGACTGTTCGCTCAAGCAACCCTACATTTGTGAACACCTGCATTTTGAGACACAGAGTTCGCTCCCTTCTGTTGGTAGATACAGTTTAACGTAGATACACCAAGGGTGGGGGACTGTGGTTGTGGTAAAGATCATCTGTTTTCTAAACCTGATGTAAAGTCTGTACAAGATGCACTTGAACCTTTAGTAGGGTTTACAAATGAGCGACTGAACAACAAAACACAACTGAAAATCAAAACCACAAAATCTGTTATTGAGCAATATTGTAGATTCAAGGATAATAATTATCAAATTTGCTTAAATCAGAATCATTTGTACATCGAACTCAGCACATGATGTTGGACAGGTTACTTATGGAGACGGAGAACGTTTTTGTAGCACTCATGTACTGATAATAAATTACCCTCCCCTTACGGCTTTGTTTTCCCATGACCCTCCCTGAAAGAAATATGCAAATGCACCATATAGTCATAAAATGTCAACATCCAAACAATAAATGACCAGTCCCTAACGGCCTTGTATCACCTGTATGTTATGGTGTTGCCAGAATTCTGTTTCTTATGTTCACAAATATTGTTTTTAAATATCATTAAAATTGCAATTCCGTATTTCTTTCATTATACACGCACGTTCCATGTATGATGCTGGGCGTAGTAGGAAGGAACCGTAACTCTTGGATATATAGTCCCACCAGGGGCTAAAGACAAGTGAATACACAATACCATTTAGAAAGTGGTCCAATGTAACGTGTTATATTTGGGATTACACTTTCTTAGTAAAGAACAGAATCTTGTGTTTTTATTGGGTTGAGTCCCATCCGGGATTCGAACCCACACCCTCAGAGTCAGGCACCTAATCGCCAGCACACAAAGTCGCGGTGGCTGTGGAAGCCGCGGTGGCTCAGCGGGTTGTCGGCTGACTTTGTGTGCTGGCGATTAGGTGCCTGACACTCAGGGTGCGGGTTCGATCCTGGGTGGGACTCAAGCCAATAAAACTAATAGAATCTGTACTTTACTGAGAAAGTGTAATCCCAAATATAACATATGTTAAGACAAGTGACATGTAAACCATGTAACGCACCGTAATTCAGCCTCCCTTTCTAAAACAATGAGATAAAAGGAAAGGGATTATACTAATTACTTGACTAGAGATATTCGAAACAACAGCACTGTCAAGTGGCATTATATCTAAGTATAAATATATGCAACAGCATCGCGAAGGGACCAGAAGAAATGTGATGCGCATTATTGTACAAGTTAAGCAGTTGGATGTCTCTTTTCTAAAAGCTATCTATATAGCTATATATGACATCTATATGCGAGTATGACTTTCACCCTTTTTTCGTCTATTGTCATAGGGGTTATGTGGAGTATTTAGTTATCTTATCCCTCGAATACTACGACAGGAATCTTCATTTGTTACATTTAATAACAGCAGAGACCATTTACCGACTCTAATAACAGTAAGGTATATTGAATACAGTGGTCTCGTTAAAGATAAAGAGTGCAAATTTTTGGATCAGATTTGTGAATTTAAGAACAAATATACGATAAGAAAAGATTCTCAATCTTTGTTTGGGTAAATCCGACCCCGCGGGAGTGCAGGCGACTCTTGTTACACTGTGACGATTCTCCGGTCCCGGATCTCATGTAAACCGGACAGGAAGTACATTAAGAGTTGTCCGGCACACATAACTCGCGGTGTTGCCAAATAACGTTGGCGGAGGAGGTATCCGTGTATTTCAAAAGAATCATTACGAAAACGTCTGGGAAGGTACTTTGGAGAGACTAATGAAAAATGTCAAGGACGTTCAACAAAGCCACGTATTCTGTCCTTGTTGAACGCCTGCAAGGGTCATTATTCATGCTTCCAAATACTAAGATTTGAAGACAAATGTAATTATAGTATTCAACAGTTCGATGTCTGTCGTCCTAAGGTGTGAGGTAAACCCGTCACAGGGCGTTGATATTTGGTGAAGGTCTAAGGACAAACCAAAGATCATAACTGAGTGCCCGACCCGTGGATCTTTCATAGTGATGACCTTATTTTGACGACCGGCAAATTAACATGAAAGATGCAGGGGCTTTCTGAACTGGGTTGCTTTTACCACCGCCATTTAAAAATAACACTTCATAGACCTCACGTGTTTATTCGAGGGTACTCCCATTTAGAAACGACAGTGTGTGTAACATATCCATAAGGACTTAATGGCACGGCATGCTTTTCTATTCCTTTCGGCCCATTGACAATTACGCTTTAGCTATTGTTTTGTGCCATTACTTGGGCTATCAGACACCCGTGTGCCTTTAACTGAGGTATAAAGAGACAACAATAAATCAAGGTCCGTCAGAGGATAAAATGATAACATTCCCCATACATTTATCACACATATGTTGACTGTACAGAGGTACAGATAAGCTTCGTATCTGCGTAAATTACGCAAATAATTGTGTGAAAACTCAATTTCTATTAAGTCTTTTGCGTACAAGTACGTTGGCGTTTATGTAAATACTCAATAAATTTGATCTTACATGCGTACACAGAAAATAGATAAAATAACTGGGGTATATTGAGACTTTCTACTTCAGTACATAAACTTGGCAACTTGCAGTCTTCCTGATCGTTTGTCGTATTACAGATCAAATTTATATAACAAACACGTAAACCAACATTTGAACTTTATTATATTTTTAGAATTAAAGGAAAGTGGCAAAATACTCAACTGATTTTGAGTAAGGTGGGTGCAATTTGCAGGGGATTACTCAAAGCTGATTAAGATGAACACAAGCGAGTACATAACTCAATGACCCAAAAGGCCATCTTAAGCTCTACACATGTCCCTTACCCGGGTCTCGGTACGTTATAAGGCTATATTCTATAGTAAAAGTTATTTTTATTCAGTCATTACATATTTTGCTCAGTTTCTTGAATCAAACGCATTGTTATTACTTTAAATAACTGACAACACTCCCCTTTGGTCGACATGCATTTACACGAACAACTCATACTCTAACCAACATACGTCGAATTATCTGACTTAGGAGAGAAGCCCCTTCCCTTTTGAGTGTGTTCACTTTAGTCCCCCCAGACACACATCTCGTAAAGGTTTCATGGTCGTCGCAAACTGTTCTCACGAGTCCGTCGCAGTAGGGTAAATGCGCACGTAAAATATAACAAATGGTTCTGTTCAAAGAAGTACAAATGACTTCCCTGGTACTTTAACCACACAGAAACACCAACTGACGAACATCCAATGCTTTGAGGTAATTAATATGGATAAAAAGACAATTCCAAATAAAGCACTGATGGGTTAATGACCGATAAAGGCCGTTCCTACCACCAAGATGGCTTTGTTGATGTGACATCCAATGGCATCAATTAGAAAGTATGTGGTGATGTTGTTGATGTATGAGGTCTTGGCGTCAACAAGAGTGTCTGTGCTGATTATTTCATGTTAGGTACTGGCATCTAATGACATCAATAAAAGCGTATTTTATGTTTCTTTGAAAACATTTTGCCATCCAATGACATCAACTAGAGCATATATTTGTGTGATGTAGTGCAAGGGTTTGATATCTAAGGTAATTAATATGGATAAAAGACAATTCCAAATTGATGGGTTAATGACCACCAAGATGGCTTTGTTGATGTGACATCCAATGGCATCAATTAGAACGTATGTGGTGATGTTGTTGATGTATGAGGTCTTGGCGTCAACAAGAGTGTCTGTGCTGATTATTTCATGTTAGGTACTGGCATCTAATGACATCAATAAAAGCGTATTTTATGTTTCTTTGAAAACATTTTGCCATCCAATGACATCAACTAGAGCATATATTTGTGTGATGTAGTGCAAGGGTCTTGACATCCAATGATATCAACAAGTGTGTCTGAAATTACGTAGTGTAGTAAAGGCCTTGAAATCGAATGACAAAAGAGTCTAACTGAAAAACTAGCATAAGGTTTTGACATCCAATGACACCAACAGGACATCCCATGACACCAGCAAGACATCCAATGACACCAGCAAGATAGCCAATGTCACCAACAAGACTTCCAGTGACACCAGCAAGACATTCAATGACACCAACAAGACATACAATGGCACCAGCAAGACATCCAATGACACCAGTAAGACATCCAATGACACCAACAAGACATCCAAGGATACCAGCAACACATCCAATGACACAAGACATCCAATGACACCAACAAGACATCCAATGACACCACCAACAAGACATCCAATGACACCAACAAGACATCCAGTGACACCAACAAGACATCCAGTGACACCAACAAGACATCCAATGATACCTGCAAGACATCCAATGACACCAACAAGACATCCAATGACACCAACAAGACTTCAAATGACACCAGCAAGACATCCAATGACACCAACAAGACATCCAATGACACCAACAAGACATCCAATGACACCAACAAGACATCCAGTAACACCAACAAGACATCCAATGATACCTGCAAGACATCCAATGACACCAACAAGACATCCAATGACACCAGCAAGACATCCAATGATACCTGCAAGACATCCAATGACAATTACAAGACATCCAATGACACCAACATGACATCCCATGACACCAACAAGACATCCAGTAACACCAACAAGACATCCAATGACACCAACAAGACATCCAATGACACCAACAAGACATCCAGTAACACCAACAAGACATCCAATGACACCAACAAGACATTCAAGCAGGAGCGTCTAACATGTTTTGTAATGACAGTGTTCAGTACTCCCATTATCTGGTTCGGTTGTGTAACCTCTTTAAGTGTATATGTTGCAGGAAACAAGTATAATAAGTGAATATATCTAATGCCTGTCTCACTCAGTGGTTATGTCTAATGCCTGTCTCACTCAGTGGTTATGTCTAATGCCTGTCTTACTCAGTGGTTATGTCTAATGCCTGTCTCACTCAGTGGTTATGTCTAATGCCTGTCTCACTCAGTGGTTATGTCTAATGCCTGTCTCACTCAGTGGTTATGTCTAATGCCTGTCTCACTCAGTGGTTATGTCTAATGCCTGTCTCACTCAGTGGTTATGTCTAATGTCTGTCTGCCTGTCTCACTCAGTGGTTATGTCTAATGCCTGTCTCACTCAGTGGTTATGTCAAATGCCTGTCTCACTCAGTGGTTATGTCTAATGTCCGTCTCACTCAGTGGTTATGTCTAATGCCTGTCTCACTCAGTGGTTATGTCTAATGCCTGTCTCACTCAGTGGTTATGTCTAATGCCTGTCTCACTCAGTGGTTATGTCTAATGCCTGTCTTACTCAGTGGTTATGTCTAATGCCTGTCTCACTCAGTGGTTATGTCTAATGCCTGTCTCACTCAGTGGTTATGTCTAATGCCTGTCTCACTCAGTGGTTATGTCTAATGTCCGTCTCACTCAGTGGTTATGTCTAATGCCTGTCTCACTCAGTGATTATGTCTAATGCCTGTCTCACTCAGTGGTTATGTCTAATGCCTGTCTCACTCAGTGGTTATGTCTAATG